GTGGAGGAAGCACTGATGTCGACGTGTTGTTTGATTGGTGATGTTTAGTTAAAATTGTTGTTCTTGTGTTAATCATATTGTTTTTCTTAGTTGAAAAAAATAAATAGGCTGGAAAAGAAGCATCCCAGCACTTGAGGTGGGATTCATGAGAAGAAATAGGAAAGAAGGCCATCGTCTGTTTAGCTCTGCCCCGCCATCTACCTACCCGTCTCCCTGCTGGCTCAGCAGTGTGGGGAAAGGTGCCGATGGTTCTGTGGTGCATCAGACAGAGGGAGATGAATGGGTTTTTCTCGCTGCTTCTGGCCAGGACTGGACGACCGGAGAGGGACTGTAGTCCTCTCAAAAACAAAATTATGGCAATGGATAGACTAGCCTGACCTCATTCCCAGCTCTCTCCTGAACAGCTTTGCCACATCGCAGGAGAAGCAGGACTGAAACACCACTTAAAGGTATGAAGATGCACACATACGGATCACGGCTGCTCTTGAACATTTGGTTAAAGTGAATAATACAGCGGTACCTCGGCTCACGAACGCTTCAGTTCATGACCAAATTGGGTCGCAAACAGAAATTTCATAAAAATTTTAACTCAGGTCGTGAACTCCGCATTGGGTGGCAACCATGATCGCAGCCATCTCCCCCGCCCCCCGAGTGGGGAGATGGCCACGATCACAGAACCTCTCGTGCAGACAAGACAGGCGCGATTGCGGTTGTGCTCAGGTGCAGGTGGGGAGATGGCCGCGATCATGCTGTGGGCGGGGGGGGGGGGGGGAGATGGCCGAGATCGCGCCCGTCTTTCCTGCACGAGTGTGCCTGTGATTGCGCCCCTCTTTCCAGCAGGAGTGCAACTACGATCTCGGCCATCTTCCCCCCCCATATGATCACCTCCATCTCCCCCCCCAGCGCGCCTGCGATTGTGCACCTCCCCCCCCCCACAGCGTGTCAGGATCGCAGTTGTGCTGGGGGGGAGATGGCCACGCTCGTTGTTGTTCTTTGTCACTTTGCTTCACATTTTTCTGATAAAAAAAATAGAGAACAGATTAACCTTATTTACATTGAACCTTATGGGGAAATTTAATTTGGCTCACAACCAATTTGGGTCATGACCAGAGTCCTGGAACGGGTTAAGTTCTTGAGCCAAGGTACCACTGTATAGGCTTAGACAGGAAAACGTCCTGCAGCTTTCCAAATTGTAGGAATTGGGGGATGCAGGGAATCGTAGGACTTTTTTCCTGTGCCTTAAACTGTTTTTGGTTTTGTTTGTTTTTCATCTTCGGTCAGCAGACCTCCTGTATTGGCCGATTACCATCAAAATACTTGCCATAATCTACTGTAAACAGACCTCTGTTATCTGTAGCCTGCAAATTCTAAGAACTGGCTCTGTTACATAATCACATGGCACCGTAGTTCAAAAATAATGTGACTTTTAAAGCCTAACCCGTCCCATGGTTTTATCTGGAACTGTTAATATGTTCAATGTGACCAGTTTCCGAGTTGGTATACTTAGGTTTGCATTTGTTACGGCTGAAGCTGACTGTTTTGGCACCCACAACAATCCATTATTGATGATCCACTGCTGAAAGCACTCCAGCTGTTAGGTGCTATAGAAATTAAATTAATCAATTGCTGTGGCTTGTGAATTTGAACTATTCTCTCCTTGGTGTGCTTGTTTAAGGGCAACAAGCCACCCTAACAACCCCTAGCTTGTCTTAGGAGTTGTTGTACCCATGATTGTTGTTCAAATGTAGCCAACCAACTGCACTGCGGATACAATTTATTTGCTTGTGGAAGCTAGCAAATAAATTTTTGGCAAGAACTTTAAAAAACCCACAAAAACTCCACTGTTCTTGCAGAGTTCAAATACTCAAGCAGGTTTTGTTGTTGTTGTTGTTGTTTGGGGGGGGAGGGGTGCACTGGATTCACATCCCCTGCCACAAATGTGTGCTTTTGGCCCCTTTTCCAGAACCATACAGTTACAGATCTGCATATAGTTCCCTGTCCAAAAGAAAGGTCAAATGTGTTCTAGGTTTCAAAAAAGAGGACAAAAAGAAGTAAATGAAGAAAAGGGTTTTGATCGGAGCCGAGTCGCAGGACAAGACCGGTTTTGCTGCACAGGACCCTGGGACACGCACGGGCTGGAAGTTCAGGGACAAGAAAGGGGAGACCAACCCATGGTAAGCTTGGGCACCAACACTGCAGATTATTCTCAAGTGGGTCGCAATGTTGTGCGAACTCACCCAGTTCCTCTCCTTTCTGAAGTAGCTGGAGGCTTGCAGAAAGGCTGAGATGGCGGAGAGTGCCGAGAATGGTGCAGTCAACAACTAAAATCAAGAGGATTGCATTGCTACGTGATATTGCCCCCCCCCCGTTTTGGTGCACCCAATTTTTGCTGCTTTCTCCTCTTCCCTTATTCGCAGGGGTGGCACCCACAACTGTGCACAAATTAGTCAAAGTGCAGCCTTGCCTTTTCCTTTCCTTGCACCTTGAAACAGGAAAGGAACTTGACTCAGGGGACTCCACTGCCTGGACAGCTGTAACCCTGCCCCTGTGAAGAACCCGGAGACTACTTTTAATTAATGTACAATTTTGGGGGGGGCCCATAAATAAATAAATGCAAACCCAACTGCACTTTTGCAGGTGCCATTTTTATTTTTTTTAATGCAAGGAGAGTAAAAACGTAAGAACTGTCCTGCTGGATCAGTCCAGCACTGTGTACACAGGGGGCAGTCAGCCAGAATCCACACGCAGCCCATGGGTGTAACAGATTTCTCCTACCCATGTTCCCCAGCAATTGATGTACCCAGGCACACTGCCTCTAAGACTGGAGATAGATTAAACCACCAGGATAGCCCAAGAAGCGCCATGAATTCTCCAAAGCCTTCTTGTGTAGCTGATTCTGCAAGCCCCATTCCAAATTTGCTAACCAATTTCGTTCTCAGCATTTGTCCCCGTTAGCTTTGAATTCCCAGTGCTCAGTCCTTGTTTGATTTCAAGGTGTTGAAGAATCTCTTGGGAACTTGAAAAGCACAACAAATTAAGAGAAATGCGGCAAAAAGGGAGATAAACACACTAACTGAAGTGTGGCCAGTATGATCTAAGCATTGGGAAGAAGAGGGCATGGAAAACATGTGATGGGGAAAAACAATAAAAGCAAGCTTTATCTTTATTGTGGGCGTGCTAATGTGGTTATTTTGAAAGCGGTGCCTTGTTTAAAGTCCTGCAATTTGCCCACTGCATATTTTTTAAACTCTGGAAAAAGATAAAACTTTACTCCCTATTTTTGCTCTTGCTTTCATGTATGATAAATGCGAGTGTTGTCTCTTGCAGGGCAGTTTATGGCAAGGTAAGCAAACACACACTTTCTTTCCACAGTGAAAACGATCCTGCAAGCTCAGCCAGAAGGCATTAAAGATGAAACAGTCCGTGCTTTTCAAAAACCTCGTCATTTCTGCAAGTTTTAAGCTATAGAGAGAGGGCTTCACAGTCATTTCCGCTCGAGAGCGAAACAGGAAAAAAACCGGCTCCAGGCATGTCTCTCTCTTGTTTGCAAAACGAGAACTCTAAATCAAAATCTTGTTCAGGGAGTTGCTCCTGGTGCAGGGAATGGAGCGGACCTTATGCTGTTGCAATTAAGATCCGCAAGGGCAAAACCCGGCAAGTTAATGGTTCTTCTTTGACAGGTTGCTGCCTTCCTCCTGCAGGAAGGGGAGAGAGGAAGCCGCAGAATTGAATGTGCAGCGTGTTGCTAATCTTGTTTACTCAGAGGCAACCAAGTCCAATAGATAGCAATGAAACGCCCCTTCCCAAGCGCGCTCCCCCTAACCCGTTTGATCCGGTTTATAGGACCAGAAGGCCTACACTGGTGCCGCGGGCAGCGTGGGATTGGGACCTGGCTCGTGCAAATTGCAATCCCTGCTTTGGCTAGAGCTGAATTCGCCCTTGGGGTCTGTCTCCCAGGCCAGCTCGGTAAGGTTGCTTTGAAGGTTAACGGTGGGACAGGCTTTGCAAAGCACCCTGAGCCCTGGGGCGAGCGAAAGTCCCTCTTATGCAGATGCTACACAGAGGAACTTGGAAGTTAAGTGCCGCGGAATCGCCCTCGCTTAACAGCGCGTCGGACTGCAGCCTGGCGCGGAAAACAGTCGCACTGAAAGCAACGCGACTTCAACTCGACCTGCACAGCCTCTGACTATTGCAAAAATAGTGGTAGCCCCCCATTTCCCCGCTTCTCGTTACTAAGAAGAGGGATTCGGGCAAATACGGTGTTCCATCGTTGCAATTCAACACACACACACACAACAGGTAGCAGCAATATTCCCCTCCACGCGCGCGCACCCGCCTTTTCCCTGCAAAAAGGAAGCGTGCAAGCTGCTTCGCTATTTACTCGCGGAGAATTTAATTCAATTAACGAGAACACCCCGTGCTAAGCGGCTGGAGTCAGCCGAGCCGCGCCGCTCCTCCGCCCTCTATTATCTTCTCCTGACCCACTTTGCAGCAAGAGAGGCGGAGGGAGGCCGAAGGGACTCCTTTTCCTCCCTCTCCCCGCGAGCGTCTCGCGGAGCGGTGCGCAGCGCAGCATGCGTCGCCACGCCCCGTCTTCCTCGCGCGCTCTTGCCCGCCGTCCCGCCCGTCCACTATCCGAGCCGCCTCAGATGTCCGGCGCGGAGGAGTACGGGGTGTGATGCGTCCGGCGCGAGGGGGCGTTCCCCATCCGTTTCCCCCGCTCTGGCCGCAGTGCCCGCAGAAGGCGGGTCGGCGGCGCTCGAGCGGGGCGCCCTGGTTGGCTGGCCGCTGCCCCGCCCCTCGCGCGCGCGCGCCGGCGCCCTTCCCCCCTCGCGCCCTGCCGCGCGCTCGCTCTTTTTGTCTCGTCACGGCCAGTGGTCCCTCGCGCCCTCCTCGCAGCCCGTTGGTTCTCGCGCCCGCCCGCCCGGCAGCCGCGGCGTCGGTCGGCGAAACCGCGCAGTCGGCCTCGCGTGGCGCCGCTCCCGTCGCGTCCGCCCCGTCGGCTCGCCGCCTTCGCTCCTCCGTCGCCTCAGGCCGCCCCGCGCCCCGGTGGTTCGGGAGCTTCCCCGCGGACCACGGCGCTCCCCGCACCCCCGACGCGGAAGGCGCCTTTTCTCCCCCTCAGCCCGGACGTTCCCAATATGAGCGGCCTCGTCGGCGTGGAGAGGCGCCAGGTGAGGGGGCTCGGGCGATCCGCGGGGCGGCTGGCGGGCGCGCAGGCGGCCGGGGGGCTTCCTGGGAGGGCGGGCGCAGGCAGGCGATCCGGCGGCGTGGGGCGCGGGGACCCGGCATGTCTGTCCGTCCGGCCGGCCCGCGAGCCTGCGATGGGGAGGTGGGAGCAGCAAGGGATTAAGCGGCGGCCATGCCGCGTCGGGGCGGGAACGGGGAGAAGAGCGGAGAGGATGCTGAGCGTGCTTGTCGGTTCGCGTCTGGAGAGCCCTTGCAAGGCGCGGGAGGTAGGTAAGAGGGCGCTACTTGGAGGGCGGAGGGCGCACCTCGTGCGGGAGTGGCCCGTGCACATTGCAGCCACCTCAGCACGGTGCCTTGGCGAGGTGTGAGACTACAGAACCCATCTCCCCAGTCAGCATGGCCGTTGGAGATGCTGGCTAGGGATTATGGGCCTGGCCATCCAACGCGTGCTTGTGTAGGGCGCCAGGTTGGGGATCGCTGCTTTAGTGCGTTGGCCGAACGGGCGCGTTGGGAACTAATGAAGAATCTTCGTTGCATTTTTATTTATTTATTTATTTATTTATTTTTAAAGAAGAAAAATTTTATCCTGAATTTGGCTACCTATCTGCCCTTGCCCTGAGCCAGATGATTTTGCTTCTTTTTGAGATTATCTTCTGACTTAAGGAAAAAAATAAAGAGGAAGTGGCCTTTATTGTGCAAGCACTCCCAATGTTTAATGCGGATTGTTTCAGGGGTGGGCGTTATGCTCTTCATGGGAAACAACGTTTTTCTGTGGTGTCTCACTAGGAAGTAGCTCTGTCGTGCTTCTTGTTGGTGGGAAGGAAAGGGTGACACAATGAGACATGCCAAGCCCTGTGCATTAAGGCTTAATAAAGCTTTCTTGATGTGAGTTCTATAATTGCGTTGTGATTTTGAACTTAGTTTCAAGGAACTTAAATTTCTACCTCTCCAAGACCTGCCTCTTAAAAAGCTGCATAGTCTGGTAATCGGGGCAGTAAAGAGCAGCCTGATAACTTCTGCGCAGTCATCTACTGCATATGCTTTCAAATGAGAGGTCCAGATTAAAACAAAGATGGCTTAATTCCCTGCGTTTTTCAATACATCTGTTTGTTATATAAGACAGTATTGTTCTGGAATGGAGGGAAGGAGCCCTGGCTCTTCCCAAGACTTTTAAAGACTTGGAAGTACAGTTGTTGCACTCTAAGCCATGTTCTTCATGATGGCCATTTCCTGGAAAGGTCAACTTTGTAAAGCTTTTGGGAAGCCTGGGCATGTTCATTTATTTGTTTCTCTGCCTGCAAAACATGGCATAAGGATGCATCTTCTTTAAAAGCAAAAAGAGAAAAGATAATTGTGTTAACATTGTGTCAGGATTATTAAGAAGCAAGGAAAATAATTACAAAGTGTGAATTCTTCAGTGTATATGAGAGGTTAGCATATTTTTCTGCATTGCCTTTGTTCCTTTTCCACGTTGCTACATCCTGTTGCCAAGCTCATGGGATTGAAAAGCTGCTGCTCCAGTATGCTTGCTGTAGTTGAAAGTATGATTGGGTGAATAAGAAAGCACCTTAGCCAATCCAGAGGTAGTTATAATGTATAATCAAATGTGTGTGTGTGTGTGTGTGTTGTGTTGTATAGTTAGGAAAGAGGGAAGTAGGCAAGGCCAAAACTCTTCTTAAAGGGGTCAGTCTTTCACATGTTTCAGTATTTGGTTTCTTCAGTACAAAAATCTGTATAAATCCTACACACAAACTGTATTTCCCAGCCAGTTTATCAAATGTTTTTGGACAGTATTTAACCTTAATTTCTTTACAGCTGTTCTTAGTGAATACTTTTGGCGTTCAGGTGAGAGTTAGGGTTCATGTAGCATTTGCTCCTAATAGAGTCAAGCTGGAATCCATAGTACAATTACTGTTAAATGTGGGGGGAAACTCTGATAACTAAGTGTGTGTACTGAAGCCCTAGGTTGAGTAGGGATGGAAAGGAGATAAAGGTGCTTGACTCTTAAATCATCATAGCAGGCATTATCCTACACACACGCAAAAAATGTCCTGCCCCAGCTGCTTCTCTGCTCTTTGAAATTCTTGGTTTTTGGTCATAAGCTAATCATACAACTGGAACCTCACTAGGATGGATTTTGAGTGGGAAAACAGAGTAGGGAAAATTGGAAGCACTGACCTCTTCTGCTTTGTTCAAAATTGCAGCCTTTAATAGCAGCTGGAGTATTGTGGAACAATTTATTTTGGCATAAACTTTTGTGGGCACTGCCCATTACATCAGGTGAGGTGGGCAGCTTATGTTGGAACACATTTGTTAGTCTTTAAGGTGCCACAAGACATGTTTTTGATGCAACAGTGTAGCACTGGATGTTGCTGAAGATCTGTAATACTGGTTTGTATGCAATGTGCTTTTTATTCCTGAAGGATTGTATGTTCAATGATACTCAAGGATAAGATGGATAACATTTTCTGGGGCTGAAATTGCAAGTGATGTGGGAGATCAGTGATGTTGATAATTTTGCTTTTCCTTTAAAGTAGCTGTGAGGGGCTCTGACATTGATTTGCACATAATCCTCATGCACCATTTCCCTCTAAGGAGGAAATACAAATATAGCATCTGTGCCTGCATTTCCCTCCACCTCCATTACTGCTACTCTTTGTATATTGACTGCAGCTTCAGGAGAGTTAGAAAAAGGCTAACTTCCACCTATGCTATTCCTTTCATCAAAATCTGCTTCAGAGGGGATAAAAATAGGGAGCTCTAATTGAGGATTTCTGTCATGCATCAATTCTGCCAGATAAGTTGTCATACATGATAAACATTTCTTCAGATAAAAAGCCATATAGATGTGTTCTAGTAGATGAGTAATAGAACTGAATTTAATCCATGCTGTGAACCTTGTGCTGCTGTTTTTCCTAGCTTCTAGATGGATAGTGGTGGCGTTGTTAAAATAGGGAATATTTTTCCATGATGCATTTTTAGCACTTGCCTTTGGCTTTTGCACTTAGATTAATTCCACTTATTCAGATTGTGAAGATGGTTGATACCAGTTTGAAACTCAGTGTGGCTTTTGCTAATGGTTATCTGGTTCTGCTCTTTTTATTTATACCACAATGATGTCTTATAAGATATACAACACAAGAGATTTAATTTTTTAAAACCTATACATGTTTTTAATTTATATAAGATTCTTCTTTGTCTCCATTAACATAATCTTTGCCTGAAGGAAATCTCAAGAGTAATGAATCTTTAGACTTTTTGATTTAGCAAAATGGAATAAAGTCTGTAAAATGCAAGAGTAGCGGCTATGAGATGGAAGTGGATGGTCCTTAGTAATAAGAGAAAAGGGTGAATGGTATTCCAAGGAGAGATTTGGACTTTGTTTGCTACTTTGGAAATGATTTGATTTGAAAATGACAAATGAGAAAATCAACAAAGGGAGTATATAAGGACCGACAAATGTGACAGCTTGCTTAGGATTTCAAATAGGATTCTGCAGCTTTTTATTATTAGCTTTTTATGTGGCCTGAGGAGACGGTAGAGAAGTATTTTTAGGATTTTCCCCCCTTGGCCTTTTTTAGTTTACCTTGAAAAGGCTGAGTTAAAGTAAGCAGTTCATTTTATAGAGCACAGGAAATACTGCACTGATGATCAGACTTTCTTCAGAATCAAGGTTGATAATTCAAGTGGACTTCTAGAGAAAAATAAGGCAACTGAATGATGGTACAAATTTTGTGAATAAAATATAAAGTTTAAAACAATGAAAATCAAAATTGCATAGTAAAATTCCATTTCATTTCATCTATTGTTGGATAACATTGATGCAGTGGGGAGCAAATCTATACCACTTTGAATCCCACTGCTGATTGAGCTTTCCACTAATGTCCATCTATCTAAAATAATTTCTAAGCTGCCTTTAAGAATCGAACACTGTAACAGATTTTCTTTTAGAACTAAATTTATATCCTGTTTCTCCACAAGGTAGAGAACAATAATAAAATTGAGATTGAAACAAAAACATGTGAGATTGAAACACATCAAACAGGTCCAGACTCATTCAGCATCAGACCAGCTTGTATATCAATGGTCTGCCTGAAGTTTTGTCTGGTTGTGGAAAAACAGAGAAGGATCCAATCCAGCTTCCTTCAGCAGGAACGTTTGGTGCCTGGGAGCAGCCACTGAGGAGGCCCACTCTCCCACACCTCTGAGAAGGGCCTCCCCAGAAGAAATTAAACAAACAGATTCATATAGAACAGTGGAGTCCTTTAAATAGCCTGGTCCCTAGAATTTTGCATAGGGTTTTCTGGGCTATAGGTAGCACACTGGATTTTGCCCAGAAATAGACTAGTAGTTGTAACAAGTCATTTGCTCCCCATAGCCAGCTTCAGTCAGCCACCTGGCCTCAGCATTCTGGACCACTTGAAGTTTCTGAAGACTTTTCAGTGGCAGTCCAATATATAGCCCATTAGAGTACTCCAAATGTGATCTAACTAAAGCATGTTTCTAAAGATATGAGGCAGAAAATTTTTCAAAGTGGAAAATTTCCTACTGTTTATTTTTCCATGGAATACTTTCATTTCATAAGTTCATTGGTAGCTATGAATGGATGCCAGTGCAGATACAGTACTGCACAAGGATGGGCGTTTCAAGATTGTGGGTGAGTGCTTATCTGCAAGCCATGTACAATCCTTTGGGTTCCCAAAATTTATTAGTGTCAACAGTTGAGTATCTTCTTTCTGAAAGGTAAATGATGTAAGGGAAGTAGATAGTATAGTTTTTTAGTTTGTACAAATCTGGTAAAATTTCTCTCTATTGATTACAATATATGTGATTTCACACCCCCCCCCCAAAAATCAGATCCAGTACTTAACTGCTGGGACAATAAAATGCATGTTGGGTACCTTTTAAAAATTGTTTACGAAATACAAATAAAGAAACTTGTTAGATAAGATTAAACTAGAACTGGCACATTTGGTGCAGTGGATTAAATAATGAGGATGTATATGTTTGTTTTAATGACTAACAGAAAGATTTTGATTAAGTAAAGCATGATAACTTAATGGAATTGTTGGCAAAGACCATCTGTAAGCTGCTGATTATATTTCAGAAAGACATTTTTGAAATTCCAGAAAATAGAAACAATTCCAAGTCCAAGATAAAGAGAAAACATAAAATGCTGCAGATCCTGTCACTCCATACTGACTTTTGCTGTTTGCTATTGGATCATAATCTAAATGTAACGCAAAATGTAAAGTAAGATGTACACTAAACAGCATCATATATAAATGATATGAGTGGTATATCAGTACTGTATTCTTCTCTGGTACATAGACTCTGCCAATCTGGTACCTGCCAGATGTGTCTGACTATAACCTCCATCATCTCCAGCCACAGTGACCACCAGATTTGCAAATGGATGATGGGATTTGTGGTTCAATACAGGTAGAGGGCCAGTCTACAACAAAGCAAATACTATTTGACACTGGTTGAGCAATGAACAAAGAAGCAGATTTCAAAAATGTTTTCTTGATTAGAAACAGTGATAGATTATATTGGATATGGAAGCTATCCATACGCTTTCATATGCAGTTTCTGCACTCCTAATCCTTTTTTCCCAAACATTACTGTTTCTGCTCTTTCCCCTACTCTCAGGGACTGGACATTATCATGGTTAAATCATCTCTGGATAACCATAACAAGCAACAAAACTGGAAGGGCTAAAAGCAGTAGTAGTGCCTCATTAAAAGTTATAGATGCTGTGGGGGCACTCAGAAATGAAGCTGTTTTTGCTGCTTGCCTTTAAAAAAGCAGTAACAGAGTCATGTGTGCCTCTGTAAGAAGTTTTTTATGGTGCCCATCTGCTACACATCTGACAGTGGGAATCAACTTGGGGAGAGGTCTCTACCTTGAACCGGAGCTTCCAGGCAGGGTTAAGTAGAGAGAGGTGATTCTTGATTTATTCCTGGTCCCATACAATCAAGGGCAGTGCCATGCAGAGTCAGCACCTTTTAATAGATACTGGAAGCAAATTGTTAATTGGTACAGCTGGTAAAAGCTGGTTGCAATATAATCCACTCTATTAACTCCAGTTAAATCCTGGCAGCCATATTCTAAACCAGTTGATGCTTCAAAAATTCCTTCAAGGACAACCGCATGTGGAGCATATTAAATTGAGCCTGTACTGTGATTCAAGAATGGATAAACTAAGCCAGGCCTGTTTTTTCTAGAAAATGGGATATATGTCCAAGGTGAAACTAAAAGGGCCATTCCAAGCTGTTGTTGTTACTATCCAAGTACAATGCAGGAGTCAGGTTTACTACCCATTGAAAACACTTTGAATATCTGCATCCAAGAATAATCCATCTGCACTGTCTTCTCTCAACCACATGTCAGATTGGGCTCATCCATCCATCCAATCTCTTATTCAAGACCTCAGTTCAGGAATTCCACTGCTTCTTCAGGATCAGCAAATGGAAATGAGAGAGATCCCTCAGCAGTTTCATGCAGATACTGAAAACTGTGGAAGATTCCTTGAGGCATTTCATATGCCAAAGACCATAGAGTAGAAAAGGAGAATCCCAGCACCATCTTTCAAGATCTGGTCACCAGAAAGGACTGGATCTGCTCTATTCCCCCTCCCCCAATTTCATCTGAGCAACATGGCCCAGAAGGATACCACAATTCAGATGTTTTGAATTGCAACTTCCATCAGCCCCAGTCAGCATAGTTAGTAGTGAGAAGTTATAAGAGTTGTAGTCCAGACCATCCTGAGAGTACCAGCTTGCCTTCTTGAGCCTGCCATAGTGGATTGGTAACAAAAGCTGCCAAGTAGTGCATGAGAAACAGTATTGTACTTTCCATCCATCTACCAGTTCGGATCTTCTACACTAGGAAAAACCATTTCTCATTGGAGGGATGAACTGGCCCCCTCTGTGATTTCCATGGGCTGGATGACTACGGATGCCATCCCCTTTTATTCTCTTCAGGACTGGGAAAGCCCCAGAGTTCTGTGTCTCTCAACATGGAGACTGATTGCAAACTGTATCAAAAGCAGTTTGGTTCAAAATGTTTGCAGTCATCGTTATCTTGGTAGGAGGGGAACTATTGCCCAAAATTGTAGAAGACAGTAAATTTTAATTGATTAATTGAAGTTTGAGGGAAAGATTCTGAGAGTAGAAGAGAATCTATATTACAGTGGAATTAATGTTTACAATTCAGTGTCTAATAAAGAACAAATTATGTTTTGCTGACTTTGTTAATAACTTTCTGATGAGTAATCATTAAACAATTATATCTGCACCCATCGTTGTTAGTGGCTTATGTAAGATGTTTTAGTTTAGTTTTTAAGAACAATTTGTTATTAGCTATGGTTCAGTACAGTAAGTGTGGTTATGTAACTTCTGTTCAGTCTGTCCAAATTTTTTGGTCAGGTGCAGTGATTTTTAGGTGTAATTGAACTGCCATAGACTGTAGCTAAATATTTGGAATATGGATCTGCAGAATATGGATTATGTTATGCTTTGAAAAGTATATTATGAAATATTATGTAAAAAGTGTTGTTGGATGAAAAGGCATGTCAGTCCATTAAAATCTTATAGTATTAAAAGGAAAATGTTATTTTCAGTTTCCATACTATTTTCCTTGTGCAAAAGTTCAATACTGAGGTATATACAAGTTTTGAATGGATATGCACCAATACTAGATCCATCAATTCAATATGTTTTCTTTTGCAGAGTATGATGCATGACTACCACAGAAGAAATTCATGCCTATAGCTTTTAAGGACTTAATTACATCGTTTTAAAGCCTGGTAGTTTTGGAGTCAACAGTTTAGAAGACACAGTTGCTTGCATTTCTTCAAGCTGCTGTTCACTGAAGAAGGAATATAAATTGAAGTGTTCCATATTAACACACAACAGAACTTGGATTATTTGCAGTCTCCTAGTCATAAAATTACAGCATAAATCTATTTGGTAAGCATTTGTGCAATAATATGGGCCCTATAATGCCACTTCTTGTGAAGTACTCTGCAAATACAAGTTACTTGTACTGTACTTAAGCAAATAAACTTGGTCTACATTGTGACGCAGTCATGCAAGCTGGCAAATACTTGAGCGGCAGTTAACAAGTAGCTAGCTCACCCTAATCAAGTATATCTACAATTGATGTAAGCAGTTTAATTAGAAAACAGATGCAGAGTTTCAGCTGTGAAATGCTATAAAAGGACTGATTAATATATAAAAGGGCAGGTCCTCACCTCTCATTCCTCCTTGCTAAGGGGAGTTGTTCTTGTGGCTTGTATTTCTTGCTTTCTGTTCTTGAAAGCAAGGACAATTCAAAATGGTTATGTGCTATGCTGTGGAAAGACTGTAGTGCCAAGTTTTTCATGTGCACACCAATGTGTATACATCATGTAGGCCAGTAGAAACTTGGAATATACTGTGTTTGCCCTCTGTATTTCCTTGAGTAACCTGCACTCAAGCATAAGTAGCTGCTGGAGGGAGATGTCAGAAACATACTCAGATCTCCCAGCTCTTGAAGAAGGTACTCTTTGGCAATGTGCCAGCACTGGGTTCTTACCTGTAAAGATTATGCCTTGTATTCTCACACTAAAATCTGGTCAATTTTCTGGCAAGTGAAAACAGTAAGTGTTATGACTTTAAAAGAAGTCATTAGTGCATTTTCCATAAAACTATGCAGGACATATTTAGAGTAGTAGTAGTAATAAATGTTTCTACTACTCAACTATCTTGTACTGAACTAAAGAGAATTTTCTGCATTTTTATTTTCTGGTATCATTATCTAGCATTAACTGGATACAGTGGATACTACTGGATACATACAAAGACAAAAAAATAAATGGAATGGGTAATCTTGTGCTTGTCCCCTTACTTTCTTTGGGACTGATTCCAAAGCAGCATACCTAGTATTGCCGCTTTAACAAGTCTTAAGGTTAAGGAAGTAACATTGTATTGGACTATATTGAATGCTACAAATGCCTCTTTCTTTCAGGCAAAAAAACCTAGCAAAATGATTCCTAACGGCTATTTGATGTTTGAAGATGAAAACTTCATTGAGTCATCTGTTGCAAAGCTAAATGCTTTGCGCAAAAGTGGACAGTTTTGTGATGTTAGACTTCAGGTAACTTAACAATATAAGTTGTCATTGTCTGCTGTGCTTGGCAGATTTGGGTTTCTTGGAGATTTTTTTTAATGCAGGGCTTTTATTTATGCTGGTAATTTAAACTTCAAAGGTGAATAATAGGAAGTTCTTAAAATGGCCCACTCTTATATTCTGAAAGCTCACCATATCAGTCAGTAGGTGAGCAGTTCTGAAAGCCTTGTTTTAACGAGCGATCCTGAGATCCCTAGATGTTATTTGGAGGGCCATGGGATTTTTCATATTTCCAGCTCTAAGGCAGAGAAAGTGTTTGAGCCATGGAGCTGGGTACTGGAACTCTGCTCCTCCTCGCATGCCCCCTTGCAGTTGGTGCATAAAGAACCATGGCAAGTATTTGCTCAAGGCAGAAAATTGACCTTAAAGTGAGGCTAAAGTGGGCAATTGTGTTTGGGGGGGGGGGTGGAGGCCAGAACAACCAGGATGCAAAGGATAGTGTCTATGCCATAATTAGACAACTGAAAATGGCCATCCAGCAAAAATGCAGAGCAGGAGAAGTGGAAGGTGAAAATTGCCTCCACTGCTCCTTCCACTCTCCATAGGATATCCATAATTTCTTCAGTCTGGGGGCCTCAGTTGGATTGTGCCCTAAATCATGACCATGATCAGTTGAGCACTGAAATCTGTAGCAAAGATATGCATAACTCACCTCGGATCAATGAGCCTTAAAAGTGCTTAGCTATGACTGAATCATGAACTAAAGAGATTAATTAATTTAAAAACCAACATTGTTAATTTTACGGCTTTATAGTCTTTTGTGAATACTTCAAAGAGTATGTATTAACGGCTTAACACTAGTGACTGGTCTTGTTTTAATTAAGGTGTGTGGACATGAGATGTTGGCACACAGAGCAGTGCTAGCTTGCTGCAGTCCTTACCTGTTTGAAATCTTCAACAATGACAGCGATTCTCATGGAGTTTCCCATGTAAAGTTTGAAGATCTTAATCCAGAAGCTGTTGAAGTCTTGTTAAATTATGCCTATACTGCTCAGTAAGTGGTACTATTTACATGCAAACTACATGTTATTTTATGTTCTTTCAAGAATAAATCCTAAAATAACTATAACTTCAATAGGTTGAAGGCAGATAAAGAACTGGTCAAAGATGTATATTCTGCAGCAAAGAAGCTGAAGATGGAAAGAGTCAAGCAGGTATAACTTTTGGACACTACAAAATACAGTGTGGTGGCTGCCTTAAACCTTACTTAGTTTGAGGAAAAGTTATATTTTAATGCGTTCCTAAAGTGCCTTAACAGGCACTTAAACATTCCTTGTTTTCATTTCGGAGCTATTTCTATTCATGTAACTAATAGTGGCAAAACAGTATATGGGGCAAGGGGGACATTTTCAAGTATATACAGGATTTGTATGAAAGCATCCTTCTCATCTATGAACAAATACAACTAAATGGGTTCCCTGGTAGAGCTACACATTTATAAAACCAAAACCCTAACATAAGGGACCCTGGTGCTTTGAGACTTCTCATAGTAGTTGGAACAACTGTAATAGAAGTTGAAAGCAGCAGAAACAAGATTATAGGCAAGAAATTAAAAGAAAAGGAAAGGATCCATAGAGCCTTTAGTAAAAAAAGTATGATTCATTGTATATCTTTTTGAAAAGGTTTGTGGAGATTATCTGCTCTCCAGAATGAATGTTGAAAGCTGTATCTCCTATCGAAACTTTGCAAGCAGTATGGGTGATTCCCGTTTGCTGAACAAGATTGATGGCTACATTCAAGAGCACTTGTTACAGATTGCTGACCAGGAGGAATTTTTTAAATTGCCACGTTTAAAGGTATGCCATTTCCCCTAATATTTTTAATTTTGAAATAAAATTAAATGTCACATTTAAATCTACCTGGAAATAGGAACCCTTTGTCATTTACATACAAAACATTAATGTATTGATCTGGAATCACTGTCAGATACACCAAAAAGAAAGCATATAAATAAAATACATAATTAAACAAAAGTCATTAGTGACAATAATACTCCACAATATAAAATACAAAAACAGATTGTGGAATCTAACTGGTCCCAGAGTTTTTTACAGTAAAAATCATCAGTTGCAGAAGCAGAAGTGCAGTAATTTTGAATTGTAAATTAGCAGTAACAATAGACCTTTTGTTTCTGTGCATAATGATAACTTTTTTTTTTTTTTTGCTGGGGTAACACAAAAGGCTTTAATAACTTATAAAATAAAAAAAGATTTGCAGCTGGCATTTTGGTAAATTACTGGCTTCTGTTAATCATTTCTGGTGATATAAAGGAAAGTGAGTAATACATCCATTTCCATAATAGATAAAAAATTGTTTTTGCCCTCCATGTAGCTTTGTCACATGAAATGTACATTCATGGGCTAAGCATATGTAGACATGAGAAATAACTTGTAAACCATTTAGTGGGGACACTTTGACCCTTAACATGCATAGTATTTCATCTGCCCTAGTCATTCTAGTAGGGAGAGAATTTACCCAACAGCTGTGTGCTGTTTTAGGTGTTTTTGTGCCAACCTGTCGGAAAGTTAAACTCAATTGCATTGGTTAACGTGGTTTTGCGTACATATTGAATAGCTTAATTTAGTGTAGTTCCTCCAAAGTTCTGGAGATATTGCAAGGATCTCTTGGGTGTTGCACACCTGTGGCTATGCATGCATTTCATCTCCCAGAGTGAAGGATGGCCTCTCAGCACATTTCCTTAAGTGAAGCCATTCATCACCTGGGAAAGGGGATGCAGGATATACTCAGCCGCTCTACGGGAGGATGAACTAAACATAGTTGTGATGCCAAATGGACTTCAGCCCCTGGAGTGGAATAAATCTAAGCTCTTTTTTCAGCAGCGTCCACAGATTGTAGCAATTTTGGTTTACCCCACCGAACTTAATGAGAATTAAGCTTACCCCTCTCTGCAAAGTTCTCTTCTAGAGAACATGAGCAAACCTTGATAGATCACCCCTTCTATGTTCTGTGTCATTATTCGAGATGCCTGGGATTGTACTTAGAATACTGTGAATGACTCATATATTTTTAAGTGTGGCCACTATACCTTGTCTTTAATTCCAGCTGGAGGTCATGCTTGAAGAAAATGTTAGCTTACCCAGCAATGGCAAACTATACACAAAGGTAATCAACTGGGTCCAGCGCAGTATCTGGGAGAATGGAGACAGTCTGGAAGATCTGATGGAAGAGGTTAGTTTTAAGAAAATGAGATTTTCTGGTCTTCAAACACTATTATTTTTTCTGAAATTAAGGATGTTCCCCTTTCTTTTTTTTCTTTAAAAAAAACTATGAAAAATTTAAATTTTACTGTAGGTATCCCTAAGCTGAGAAACTAGGGGGGTTCCAGGTGAGCTGCATAAACTGTTCAATCTGGTCTTCTGTTTTTGTTGTTTTTTCTTACTCTTTAACTTCCTAAGTAGCATGTGATTTCACTTTTAAAATGGGGAGGTGGTCTTAGAGCTCACTCCTGAATGTTCTTAATATGTTCCTTTTACAGGGATTTGCTTAAAGAGAAAAAATAGGTAAAAGGTTCTAATGGTTGTTCCTCCCCATTGATTTATCTCCCCATAGGTTTATTAACAAAACTAGGATACCCAACGCTGAAGAACCATAGAAGATACCTCAAGTGTAATGACACGTAAAGAAGCAGCAGTCCTGCCCCAGTTCTCCTAAGAAAATCCGCTGTGGGCAGAGAACGATGATGATGTTTAATGGTGTTTAATTCTTTACAGGATATCTTAATGTTTGAAAAATTTTGTGTAATTAGGTAGCCTTATTCATAAACACAACTTCAGCAGTTAGTTTGGTCTAAATCTGAAGTGCCAGTAGCTTGACAATTGAAATTGGAGGTACACATTTATATCTGGTCAAGCTTGCTATCATGGGCGAAGTTGATACGGAGAATAGTTGTGCTTACTTTACTCTTGCCCTTTTATACCTTTCTTTAGAAGTCCAGTTAAATGGTCAAATTTTCCTTGCACTTCTGATGCATTTCATACGACATCTAATAATTGGCAACTGATCATCCAAAGTTGAAAAGTAATTCCATTATATTTAATATGACCCGATTTATAATCCAGTTGTGCTTGGTTTACCTGCATGATTTTCATATTCTTAATTGGACAAGGAAAAATGTTGTATTTTGCAAATACATTTGTTCATCAGAAACAGCAAAAGTTCATTCTTGAGATTGTTAAATTTGTTCAATTTATTCTGCAAGATAATGTACAGTACACTTGTCAAACATCTTAATATTATGGTACAGTGAAAATAGAAGTCAAGGAAACGAAGATTCCCTTTGATCGGTGAGAGCAAGAATTCATCATCCAGTGTTTGAAGATCTGTCATCATGAAAGCAACTTGCTTTTTAAAAATTTTTGCCATTCTGCTAGATGGAGAGAAGATAATCTGAACTATACTGGAAACCTTATGGAGTTCATGTGCAATACACCAAAAATTAAATAGCAATGGAAACTATAGCCACATGGCTGTTCTGTTGTTTTGCAGGTTCAAACGTTGTACTACTCAGCTGATCACAAGCTGCTTGATGGAAATCCACTAGATGGACAGGCTGAGGTGTATGGCAGTGATGATGACCACATTCAGTTTGTGCAGGTACAAATTGCACATGGTCTGAGGTAATCTCAGGTACAACTGGCCAGTGTAGTTTAGCACAACTAACATGTTGTGTACTTCAGTGAAAGGAAACCATTTTCAGTTGTTTGGAAGTGGGCTGGGCGATGCGTCTTGGAGTGCAAGTACCCTAGTGGTTAGTTAGAAATTATAGCTGCTATAGCTGGAACATCTAGGATGCACCAGGTTGTCTGTTCCTGGTTTAAAAGATAGGAAAATGACTTCGTTAGATGGCTTGTGTGGTCTTGGTTCATCAAGTTCTTTTGAGCTGTAACTGTAACACAAATGTGTGCCATGTTAAACATACTAAGCACAGGAATAATGGAGTTTTGAGTGAGCTGCTAGAATGTTGAAGGTAGTGTGTGCGTGTGTACTAAATAGCATCGTGGAAGTATGGCCATGAGTAACAAGTCCCCACCCCTAGTGTGTGAATTAAACTGAAAGAGAACTGAGACAGATAAGGAGTACTAGAGAATTGTCTGTATGCAGAGCTTCATTATACGGTGTCGAATTGGTTTTTTTTTTTCTTTTTCTTGCTTTCTTTAATATGCGACTTGGACTGGGAACATGAATTTACTCGAAAGAGTTTCCTTCTGGAAGCTTGGTGTAAGGTACAAGTTGAACTGAGTGGAAGCAATTTGACATTGCAAGGAGAATTATATATCTCATAATCTTCAATTCATGCCAGGAAGCAGTGGGAAGGTGGGCGTACAGGGCACTGCAGTGCCTTGCTAACATTACAAAAATCCTGTTCACTTCCTGGATTTAACCCTTGCCTCTGCTGTGATGTTTTGTTTTGTCTGGTTGAACTAGAAACAAGTGTAGGATCAAATTGTATTTAGTTGATTTTCGTTCTGGTGTCTGAATTTACAAGAATGGGATGAAGATGGAATTATGGAGGTTTTAATTGCCATTCAGTAAGTTTGTTTGCTGTATTTAACATCAGAAGAAGTTTATGGGATCTAAAACTTTATAGCTGTAAGTTGAATGTGTCATTACAAATACCAGCAACATTAGTTTGGAACAAAGTGAGGATAAGCATTCTTCTCTGCTAGAAGGCCTCTCTTACTTGAGGCTGAGCAATGGCAGACTCATTGGGGCGGTTAACAGCTGGTGTGTCTTGTAATACCAGCTGCTGGCCAACATGAGTGGGAGAGGGCAACTACACTCGTGTCTGTGTGTGCATTCCTCACTGGGGCTTATGAACAGCCATTTTGGGAACAGAAGGCTGGACTGATCGGTCTTTTCTCTGATCCAGCAGAGCTGTTCTTACGTTCTTCATTTGGAAGCTAGGCAGCGAGCTGTGTGTTGAGGTAACACTGAAGACAAGATGGGTTTTGTGAGTAAGTGGTGCGTTAGGTGCTCCGTCGTGCTGCCAAAACATTATTTCATTAAATTGCCCGTTTAGATTTGCTTATAAATGAGGCCATGCAGAGGTTGGTTGGTTTGTTTGTTTGAAGAAGGAGAAATAGATCTGAAACAAAGGCAGATCAACTTGTGCTCACTGGCTAGGTTTCTGTAGCTGCCTTTTAATTTTACAGAAAAAGCCACCCCGTGAGAATGATCTCAAGCAGTTAAGTAGCAGTTCTTCTGGAAGTCTTTCTCCAAATGCAGCAGTGCAGAGTCCAAAACACGAGTGGAAAATTATTGCTTCAGAGAAGACTTCAAGTAAGCTGAATTTTGCATGTGGCCATATTCATAGATCATTATACATCCATGTTAAACATGAAAGTAGTGGGAGGAGAAAGCAGTAGTATGTCTTTGCCAGATGTGTATAGTACATAAGCAGACTAGCATTTTTCCTTCAAATAGTTGGGAGAAGGTTCCTGGAATTCCAGCTCACCTGCAACGTAAAGGTGTAGTTTTAGTGGAAAGAAACAAAAGTCATATTTTGGAACTGAATACATTTTTCTGTTTTTCCAGATAATACTTACCTGTGTCTTGCTGTTCTGGATGGTGTATTTTGTGTTATTTTCCTTCATGGGCGTAACAGTCCCCAAAGTTCTCCAACCAGTACTCCACGATTGATGAAAAGCTTGAGTTTTGAGATTCAACCAGGTGATCTTGTGGAAAAGCCCATGTCTCCCATGCACTACGCACGATCTGGATTGGGAACAGCAGAATTTAACAACCAGCTTATTGCCGCAGGTAAGAGCAGTGGCAGTATGTTAAACACACAGGTTGCAGTCTTTCATGATTGCACAAACTATCATCATATGTGCACCTTAAGTGAACTTCAACAAAGAGATTCAAAAATTTCAAAACAGAGCTTTCACACTTTGTATTACTACTAGGTGGCTATAACAGAGAAGAATGCTTGCGCACTGTGGAATGCTACGATCCCCGAAAGGATTGCTGGACTTTTGTGGCACCAATGAGGACGCCAAGAGCACGGTTTCAGATGGCAGTTCTTATGGTATGTGTGGAGTAGGGGAGCCATGTTCCCTTCCTGGATTACTGCCAACACCCATTCATAGCAGCTGCATTATTATAGATTAGTTTGCAACAAGAATGAAAACGTAATTATCTAATATTTACAAACACTTTGGGAAGAGGGGAATGTTACATTTTCCATGATTTTTGAGATTAGAAAAAAAACTCTCCTTTTTTAGTGGATACTTTCATGGTTGTGATTAAAAACTCCCTGGTAATTCACAAGCTCTAGGTATACATATTAAATCAATATAAGTTAATGAATGTTGTTACAATACTTACCATTTGTCCAATTTAGGGGCAGCTCTATGTTGTTGGAGGGTCAAATGGTCATTCAGATGACTTGAGCTGCGGGGAAATGTATGATCCAGAGATAGATGATTGGACTCCTGTTCCAGAACTGAGAACGAACCGTTGCAATGCAGGTAAATACTCATAATGCCTTAGGGAGGTTATATCTTTTTTAAGTATTGAAAGAGAAAGTATTGTATTGAAGTATTGAAACAAAGTATTAATACTTAAGTATTGAAACAAAGTGTTGAAACAAAGTTGATTTTTTTTTCCTGTGCCTAAACAGGTGTGTGTGCTCTAAACGGAAAGCTGTATATTATTGGTGGCTCAGATCCTTACGGCCAGAAGGGTTTGAAAAACTGTGATGTTTTCGATCCTATAACAAAATCTTGGACAAATTGTGCTTCACTTAATATCCGTAAGTCCATGTTGCATTGAGTTTGTGTGGCATTATGTAAAGACTCAAGGTCTGTGATGGGTCAAAATGTCTTGGTCCGGGAACTAATACTCTTTGCAGCTTATGCTATAGTCTGCCATTGGAAGAGGTCATGGTATACTATTACCACTTTTGAAATGTGATGGGAAAAGTTATATTAGGCTTGAGTTTTGCAGGATGTATGAGTGAGAGTCACAGCTTGTAGAATCACCCATCCTTTTAGGCCGAGGCTTTCTTAGTCTAGGTAGAGTTGTTAAACTTTAAACATTTCTGCCAGCTACAAAAGGTAACTTTTGTTGCTTTTGGGACAGTTTTGAGCATTGCCTCTTTTGTATCTGATTTCTAAGCTTCTGCTGGCCTTTGACCTGTAGGTAGACATCAGTCTGCTGTGTGTGAGCTTGGAGGATATTTATATATCATTGGAGGAGCTGAGTCTTGGAACTGCCTTAATAGTGTGGAGCGTTACAATGCAGAAAACAATACCTGGACGTTAATTGCACCGATGAATGTGGCTAGGCGTGGAGCTGGTGTTGCTGTGCTTGACGGTAAGCTCAGTCAAGTAGACAAATCTTGCAGTCTTTGTCTGCAGTACAGACGTCTTCTGCGTGTGAGCCTCCCACTGCATTTTCATTTTTTTTCCTGCAGCAGCTACATCATACAACAAACTGCTTTAGAGTTTTCCAAATTTGAAAAAGCATCTGATTTTGCTGTTCATGACGGCTTTGAACGATTAACCATAAAATGCACACACACACACACACACATTGCAGTGTGGTTCCTAGAACCTTTTGGGTGGTCTGTGAAGAAGACAGCAGTTCTCTTGTCTGCTGTCCACTAGGTGCTGTGCTTCAGGGCAGCCAAAGGTTGAGAATTCCCCCCTGTGCCCTTTCACAGTGTGATATAGCAGATGAGCAGAATCTGACCATATGTCGCAAGGATGAGGTGCCCAGCACACATGTGTCTGTTCTTTAAAGCAGCTATCTACAGAAACAGAATTGAAAGGGTAAAGTTAAAAGAATAAAGCAAGGCTTTTAATACAATTTGCTTCTAACTGGAATTAGATGTTTCCTCTATGCTGCCCTGCACACTAGTAGAGAATCCGATGCAAGGTTTAATTTCCTCACACATTCTGGGAGGCATACAAATGTACACAAGGGGGGAGGGAGGAGGAATCTCACCCAGTTACTCAGTTCTCCAGGGTGTAAAGGGACATTGAGAGCCGCTACTGACTCCTACTGGCAGATGCCTTAGTTTGACTTAAATTGGGCATTTGGAGCACTTGTAGAGCCCAGTGGAATAAATAACAATGTGCGATTGGCTTGCAGGCCCAGCTGCTTCTTTGAACATGAACTGCAGGGAGAGATGATGCATAGCTGTGAAGAGCTGCTCGTATCCCCAAAAAGGTTCTGCAGTAGGGAATGTCTGGTGATTAGAAAGCATAGAAGCACCTTGTTCAAAGAACATTTAATATAGCTCATTTTGCTCAGTGCCCAACTGCTTTTAACTCTAGAATAGGTTCTGTAGATGAAAAGCTGCTTTTGACATTAGGACTCTTTAAGGACTGGCTTGCATTCACTTCCCAGGGAAACTCTTTGTTGGTGGCGGCTTCGATGGTTCACATGCAGTGAGCTGTGTGGAGATGTACGATCCTGCCAGGAACGAGTGGAAGCTGATGGGCAGCATGACCATTCCAAGAAGCAACGCCGGTTATGCAGCAGTGGGCAACGCAATCTATGCCGTGGGCGGATTCGACGGCAACGAGTTCCTGAACACCGTCGAAGTCTACAATCCAGAGACAAACGAATGGAGCCCCTACACAAAAGTCTACAAATCCTGACTACCACAAGTCTCCTTAAAACTAACAGGCTTAGTGATGTAATTGTTTTAGTAGAGGTACACATGTGAATAGAGGGTGGGGGGTGTTAAAAGTTGCCATCAGCAACACAAAGCTTTTGCATATTGCATACTATTAATATGCTGTACATATTTTTATTTGGAACACATGAAGGTTGTTTTGTGTATTAGAATGTTACTTTAGACTTTGGAAGTTATTCTGAGAAATAATGAAGCTGATGGCATATCATTTCAAGAGCTTCCCCCACGTTTGTTTTGCCAATTTGCACACACAGATACTTTTAACCTTAGAGTTCATTTCTGGTGCAGGAAAATGTAGTGGTCTTTTTCAATGTGAGCAAATTGCTTTTTAGGCCTTGTTTGGGTTTTTTATCTTAAGTAACTGGAATGATCTAATAAGCCTTATTTAAATAGATAGATGGCTTTATTTAAAAAAAAAGCTGACACACCTGCCAATTTGACTGCCTTTTATAACTTTTTATATATAAATAAAGTCAGGAGTTCTCATTCTGTAGTGGCATAAGATAAGTGTTGAAGCAAAAAGACAATCTCAGTGTTCATAAGACTGGAGTGAGATGTGTTGTTTTCCACTGTGAGAGCTTTTATTTTCTCCTGCTACAATGTAATATGAACTCTAATATGCAAGATTGATTTTTTTTGTTGTATCTGAGTGGAGTTTCTAAACACGGCTGTAATATGACTGCAGAAAAGTCTGGCGCTGAAATTTAACTAATGTAAAGGGTGCTTTTCTGTATGGTTCTTAGATTAAGCAGTTGTAACAAGCAAAGCTGCACAAATCATGTGGTGTGTTAGCTAATAAGGTTACCCATCTGAAAATTATTGTACAAGTTTGTATCTTTCTACTGCAAGCTGAAAACATGCAATAAAACAAGCTTTGCTTCATTTCTTTAAAAATAGTTGTTCAGTGTTTTTGTTTTATCCTGATGGTCATGGGTAGTTCTTTGGTAATGTTCTGATGTCTATCATTCTACAAGTCTCACTGGGAGATGTAATTGGCTGAGATAATAGAGCATTTTATGCCCAGCCAAACAAGAATTTTCTAACCATAGTGTTACACATACTAGGAAACTATGGTCAGTAGCTCTGGAATAAGCCATGATACTAAACCAACTTCCAACTGCCAAAAGAAAAAGGTTATTGCAAGTAAGTGCCTATACACAATTAATCTCTCTATGAAATTATGGAATCCCTGATACTTCTGGATTATTCTCTTCCCCAGTGCTACCATGGGGAGAATTCTGCTTCTGGGAAGCCCCCCTGACCCAAATTCCAAGAGTTCCATGGTTACACCAACATAGAGAAGGTCCAGTACACTGAATTAAAGTGATGTTGAATCTTAAAGGGGTGTTTGTTATGGCTAGGCCAGGGTAAAACTGAGGAGGTGGAGAAGAAGCATTCTTATGAGTTGACCTTCAGATTTTCTACCAGAAGTGCTATCTCTGTTGATCTTTGTTTCAATCATTCTGGTTGCAGAAATCAGAAATAAAAAATGCATTCACACGAACACTTCTCAAGAAAATGAAAGCAGGCGTCTACTAAAATGAAACCCCTGAGCATCCCTTTTAAAACATCAGACAGAATCCATCCAAACACTAAAATTATATGAAGTCAGTACATATTTATTTTAAAAATTCAACTAAAAATGAAATAGTCTTAAACGTTTTAAAACAATCAAATCCTTACAGTTCGTATTGACTTCAACAAAGCTGCTCCTCAGCTTTGGCCACTGCAAATCTCAGGCCCTGTCATGCATCTGGCAGAGTCAGATCGCAAATATGATCGTTGAAACAACAAGTACGCATAGACAATCATAAGCTTATCTGGTGTTCCTTTTCTAGCTTTGCATTAAGAGCACTACCGCCTCTGCCGATGTTGAACAGATGCAGGACTCCGAAAGTTAGCCTTTGGCTTACAGAGGCTGCATTTCCATCTCAAATCTGTTTACCGCCAGTTTTGTTTCTTAGGACCTCCCTGCTCTGCTTGCCACTGTTGCTTGCCCAGACAGCAACTGCTCCCATGCAAAATGCCGCTTTCCCTTCCAAATGCTTCACGCCCATAGTGGGGCTGGAACCAAGCACTGGGGATCCCAGGGTGGTGGTGGTGGTGGTTTTTGTGCCCCCCTCCTCAGCACAGTGCTACACCGATGGGGCCAAAATGGCCTCCCCCCGCCATCTTCATACGGTTCTTGCCCGCAGAAGGCCTGGCGCCTTGTCTGGGGGCTCAGATGCCTGCCTGCAAGCCCTGCCTCCGCCCTGCCTATTTTGCTGCGCAGGCAGTGTTAAAATGAGAAGGGGATTTTTGGCAGGGTGACAGTGCTGTGTCAGAGAGGGAGCATGGAAAGGGTTAAGTGAGGTCACGGAGGCCTCTTCCTTATTGCAGATTGGTACCTTGCATACCTGTGCAGTGGGGGGTGGGGGGGATTGTCAAGGCAGAAATTAAGACTGGTGGCCTGCGACACGGTTGCTAGGCACTCGGCCGGCATAGGCATCCTTGCTGCTATGCTGAATCTCTTTCCTGTAACTGATTTTAGGGAATGCACAGATTGCATTCTGTGTGTAGGTTCGCCTTTTGTCTGCAAGCGGCAGCTCAAGCAGGGGTAGCCAGCGTGTAGCTCTCCTGATGCCTTGGCCTTGCCACACCCATCAGCCCCAGCCACCACAGCCTATGGTAAAGGATAATGGGAGCTGTGGACCAAAACCTCTGAAAGGCCACGGGGTTGCCACCAGTGACAGGAACTGGGTCAGGGCTTTCGTTCTTCACCTGATGCACCTGACTAAAGTGGTCCCAACAACTACTGCTAAAGGACCACGGACATTGGCACAAAGAGCCGCTCTAGAGAGGTTCTAAATTTCTTTCTCAGCTCCCAATCGCAGATCACCCATCCCCTGCCAGGCAGCTGCTAATTATGCACGCGCGCACACTCTCACACACACACACAGGGTACATTCAATGTAATGTGTAGTTTGACCTGCAAACACTCATTGAAAGAGAGAGAGAGCATGTGCGAGCACAAAATCTTAAGTTTCAGGACAGCGGTGGCCAACTTGGGCTCAACTGTGGAATTCCTGTGCCCAGCTGAAAAGAAAATCCCTTTAAAAGCTTCGGTTGATGGCAGAATCAAAACCAGCCCCTGGACGAGATTTCCGCGCAGACTGATTCATAGCACTGTTTAACGGTGTGTTCCAGTTGAACGAGCTGGCCGCATCCAATTGATAACTGACTCCTGGGGTGGGAAGGGACCAGGCAGGAGAAAATAACCAAATTAATAAAAAATTTCCAATGCTGTTAAGTTGTTTCTCTTTCATTTTCCAAACCACAGGCAGCCCCCTGTTGCAACAGTTGCACGGGATCCTAGTTTGTTTTGAGGTCTGATTCCTTTGCCATTATGAACCTGCCCAGATACTGAGATCTTCTTGCACTCAAGAAGCAATTGGTGCAGACATGGGCAAAGGTTTTCTGAAATGCTGCTCCCAGGCTCTGAACTCCCTTCCAAGGCAGGCCCATAAAACAGAGTCTGTCAGCCATCTGCTAAGAAAGAAAGGAATGCAAGGCCCTTCTTGGATCACAACAAAAGCCCACCCACTCCTGTATTCGGTTCCTATGGTAGCCAACTGCTTTTGGAATTGTGCATGGGATGATGAGAACTTAATTCTTACGAAAGAAGGACTGAATACCCAATTGACTTTTTTCCTTCAGAGCAACAAACTCCTGTTACAAAGCAATGTTACTCAAAAGCATCAGGTTGCATTTAATATGCCTTGGATCACTCTTGGCATTTCTCTCAGGTTGGCCAATGAAGTTGGTAACAAAATCAGTGATAAAGTTGGCAACAGAGGTAGGCCTGCAGGGAATGTTGCTGTGTGTTTTACAGCTCCATCAGTGCCTACAATACCACTACCTCTAGATAGTTAACTAGAGCACAGAACATGGACGCATAGTTCCCTAATTCAGCTGGGCAGAGTCCCTTGCTGGCCCTTCTTCCTGGTACTAGTCATGTCACTTCTTGCGGACGCTAGAGACCTGAAAGTAGCAGCTGAGCCCCCTTCTCCATGTTTCTGCAGAGTCTCTGTTCCAGAGCAGCTGCTCCGAAAAACTGGCTACTGACAGACCTCTATGCCAACTCTGAACTTGTTAAATGCTCAGATCATTTGACGACACAGCCTAATAGCCTGCCTCTTTGAAACACTATCAGGGTACGTGTGTGCACAGGTAAGGATCAATTAACTGGTCGTGTCTTCCTTGCTTAATTATAGCCTTTTTCAAATGTTGTAACATCAATTCACTGCTTGATGACAGGATAAAAAGCAAGGTTGAACATATGCTATGCAGCACCATGGATGGGCAGGTCTTGAAAGAATGTACCAATGCGATGGGAGCGTTTGCACATTCATTCGAGTCGGAAAATGCCTTCCATGGGGGTGCAAAGACTGGCTCCTTTCAGACCTCTCAAGGACAGGAGAAGTTGTCACATGCAGTATCTTTTCCAACATCAAAGGGGCGAGCGAGAAAGGATTGTAGCTACCAATCCCTGATTTTTATTTTTTTTTAATGGCTTACCGGTACACCTCCTGGGAAACGCAGTTTTGGAGTTCTTCAGCAGAAAATTTTATACTATTATTTATCTGCGAAGGAAAATAAGCACATTAGAACATGTAGGAAAGGCTCAAGAACTCTCAATTGTTGACACTGATTACCAGAAATTATTCCTTTTGGTCAAAGAACTCAAGCCTGCTTCAGTTTCTTTCTTTTTTTTATGCTTAAGAGGCAATGACCTAGTAAATTTCTTTAAAGTGTACAGAATAATTTGTTCATACTTTAAAGCTGGAGCAAGCAACAGAACCCCCTGAATTTCCATGGAAGGGTTTTGTTTTCAACAACAATAAAAATGGCAACTCTGCCAGTAAAATGGTGTTTTCTGGAAAAAAACAGAAAATCTGATCCAGCATGTTTGTCAACACCCCAAAACACATCCTCCCCCAATAAACTTACAAAATATTTCATATGTAGCAAACAGAACTAAAAAAGTCAATTTTATGTTCAAATTAGAGAAATCAGATGTTTTCCCGTGAGCCACAAAATATTTGAACTGAACTAATTGCTTAGTGGGAGATTAAGGAAACCAAACATCTACCTTGCATTCAAACACAATGCAGGGGCTATCGCATTTATGGCCGGTTGTGAGATCCCATGGGGAGCCAGCCTTGTCACTGTGGGTTGGCACTGCTCTTTTAGGTTCTTACATTCTTAGGTGAAGCAAACAGGAATCATGGTTCCCACCTTCCTTCAGCTTCCAGTCCAGAATGTTAGCACTAGCAGGCAAACACCCCCAAACAAGTCTGGTCCAGACCCAGCCAGGAGCCAACTCCATTGAATACAGGATAGGGCTACCCATGCCTTATTTTTCAGCCCCCTCATGGGCGAGCTGAGCACAAGGATGCGTCTTGGAAGAAGAACTTACAGGAGTTCATTGCGTAAAATTTAGCACAGGTATCGGGGTCGATTGCAAGAGCACAGCCTAGACAACTGTGGATAAATGTAAACATACGTGGTATGGGCGTTCCACCAAAAATAAAAGCCATCAGGACAATTTTCTGAACCACATCACTGGCCTGTGTACTACAGACCATCCAGAGGGTTAAAGAAAATATCCAAACAAGCTCAGCTTGCCCTTTTTGGCGTCCCATAGCAGTCTGGGTGCTTTGGAGAGAAGCTGCGTGAAAGGTCGGTAAGGTTCTTGGCTGAACTGCATCATTTGTCATATAAGCTGATGTAATTTGCGCACCAACCAAGAACTTGCCAGCCGTACTGATGATTGCTGTTGCATTCTCCTACAAATGCGCTGGCTGCTTTCAGTGAGCTCTACCCTAGCTGTGACCAGTTAATCAATGTTAATCCAGGAAGCGATACTTTTCTTGGCTTCCCCTCTAATCCTCCTTCCTCATTTGTGTTGGCTTCATGTACAGGCTGGTTTGCTATGTTACTGCTGTAAGGTAAAAATATACTGTTCCATTTTCCAACTAGTTCGAACACATGCTAGTCGTTTTGGTGGTACATGTAACTTTTTTAAGGAAGGTATGTCCCTTTTCTAGAGAGATATATAAACTTTCACTTTTTGCAATTACTTAGAAATCAGCCTGTTTTGGGCTATGTGTATACCAAATTTCATTGTCATATAGGACTTCCACAACCCAATTGAATATTTTAAAAGATAAGTTAACCCACCTCATGATTAGTTAAGAAGCTATAGAGGGGTAAAACATCTTGAAAGCTGCTATTTGTGATTAAAACTCTGGAAAAGAAAACAGATAAACAGAAAATTCATTGAAGGATTTTTCACATGGATGTCTCACTGAAACAAAATATTCAGATCCCTGGTTAGAGTGTTTGCCACTGTTTATCAGGAATGAGGTTCCTAATGCCAAAGACGACCATTTGGGTCCTCCTGGGAACGAGTGGGCATATTCCATATGCTGTTTGAATAAAATGAACTTCCACTGAATACCAACACCCATGTTTGCAAAGCTCCACCAAAAACCCTCCACCAAAGCCCATATTTTAAAAGACCTGGTACAAACAGGCTTAACCTTGCCAGCACAAACTATAGCTCATTAAGTTTGCTAATGGTTTAGCTTCTAAACAATGGTTTAGCTTCTAAACTAAATCCTGATCCCAAATAACATGTGCAAAGAAAAACAGTTAGGTCAGTTTGTCACTTGGCAAGATGGAAGGCTGGGGAAGCAGCCCTAAATCATGCTTTATGCAAACCATCCTGGATTGGGAGGACTCTACACACTGGCCCAGTTTGCACGGAATGATAAGCCTGGTGTTCTGTTTCCTTTAGAATCCTGGACTGCTGCGAGGGTATCCCTGCCCACCTGCCATTTCCCTGGGTTGCTTAATGTGACACCAAATGAAGAATTCTCGGGTTGGGGGAAAGGCAAATTCTAACATTCCAATTACAGCAAGCTACAAATTACAAAAAAGAGCACCTCTCCCACCCCCTCAAAAAACCAAAGACTAATCTGGCTCACAGTACAGTATGATTTTAAAACAATTCATAACAATTTGTAAATCTGTGTGCAAACATTTGGGGGATTAGCATAAGGAACTAAAGGCAAAATGTGTGTTCTCTTAGTTAGACCATCTGCAGAATGACTCTATTAGCGGTACTTGGCTCAGTTGTTTTCCTTACGGCATACTCTGCTGTACAAATTATCCTGTGCCCCCTCTGCCTAACATGTACAGTTGAATATCAGGGCCGCTTTAGTCTGATTAAGGTGTGGACTGCACAGGCGGTCACTAGAAAACATGCTGCCATGTTCCTTCATGCCATCTCTGCTCTCCCCTAGGCAGTCTTTAGAAGGCTGCGGGTATTTCTGCACCATGATGTCCACTGGACACACCGATTATTTCTCATGGGTGAAAACAGCTGAATAGCCATCTCAGTCCATGATTTCTGATTGTCTCTTCTTTTTAGACACCAGAATGCTATCGACACAAAAAGTAAACCAACCTGTTATTGTAAAAGCACACAGAGAAGCAATGGCTTGGGGTTTTCTTTGAAGTGAATCATTTCCTGACATCTGGGTATGGTTTTGAATGTTGAAGATCGGGTGGTGGCCCAGATGCTGTTAGACTGCAGCTTCCGTGCCCCCCACCTGACGCAACCAGTGGTGAGGGATGGAGTCCACAATCTACACACTCCCCATCCCTAGTCCAAAGATTCGTGGCACCCTCTCTGAAGGGACGCACAAAACACCTTATCAAAGAAGCACTGCTATCTCAGATGTCTTTGCTCAGTCTTTCAGAATCTATTATGCTACTGGGCCAGTTTTACTGGTGTGACAAGGAGCTGTATTTTGAATTATACAACAGCCACAGAATTATTTATAGCCTTCCGTAGCTTTGGTTTAAGTAGAACTATAAACAGCACAACATGTCGTGTGTTAACAGGCCCACCTGCTAACATCAAGTAAGACTAGAAACCGGTTATGACAGTATGCTACAATTATATCCTGCCCTTTTCCTCTTGCAAGAACCCCAAGGCAGCTGAGAGAGCCCTCCTCCTTTCCATTTAATTCTCACAACAACTCTGTGAGGTAGGTTAGGCTGAGAGTGAGCAACAGGCCGAAGTCGCCCAACGAGTGTCATGGCTGAGCTGGGACTCAGTGTTCCTTCCACAACTTGGCTACCTTACCCACCCTCACCCTTCTCCAGCTTGCCCCATTACGATCCCACCAAGAAATCAGCTCCTCTCCCAGAAGTTCCCTCACAGCTACACTCAGCCTCTGCTCCTTGGCAGACACTCTGCTCTCTTGCCTCCCAGCGGGGAAGGTACCCAGGCACATGAAACCACACAGGTCAAGACCACCAGCAGACCCATCCACCAGATCAGACTGTGGGTCCACCCTGCACACCCCTGTGTTTCCGAGACTGCCAGAGGAATGCTGCTCGGCAGCTTCCACGAAGAACATGAAGGTGACGCGGCCTTCTTCGGTTTGTCGCCAGCACCGGGGAGTGAGAGGTACCAGACTGGCTTGCTCACTTATTAGATGTCTCCCACCAGATGTGGCAGACACCCAACCCAAACACACCAGATCTTTTCAAAGCTGAATGGAGGCAGGCCCACCTACAAGAAGACTGGTGATGACAGCTTGGCATTAAAGAGGGCTTTCATATAATAAGACATGTCTGGCTGGTGGTTGGCAAATGACTGCATTCTGCAGAAGGACTGTTTCAACAGGTCTTAAAACATGTCCATAAATTCACAGCACCGCAATCAAGGTTATGAGCTGGGCATTTCATTTTCATTTTTCTAGTTGCATACTACTACATAGTTCACAGGGTTGAAAAAAGGAAGTTTCTGGATTGCAATAAACCTAATAAAAAGATATGCATGTAAAAAAGGATTGGGGTTACCCTGCCAATCATCTTAAGTTTATATGGTTGGGATTTCTAAAAGTTTAGATTAGAGTTACTCTAGAACCCTAAACTGTTGTCATTGGGTGGTTATGGCCTTCAATTCAACCAGTTTTCTCCAAACAATGAACATTCTTACTAGCTACATTTGTTCACGTTCAGTGTCCTCTCTCTTTTATCGCCTCAAGTAACAACCTTTCCTGCCTGCAAGCTGATGGCTGGATTTGGCAGAGGGGTAGAATTCTTTGGAGGAAATGCAATGGGGTTAGAGAAAAGGGTAACCACAACAACAGGTAAGACAACCCTGGATTTCCCTGAGTAACACCACAACTGCTACTCTGATTTCGACACCAGAATTTGGCAGCTGTCTTGCACCAGAAGAGCGGTGACGAGACCTCTGCGAATGGCATGCATAAACGGCACTCCTGAATTGTTCCCACTGCTTTCTTCACTAGAAGCCAACATCTACACTGAGGGTTCCGGTTGTTTAATTCTTAAGTTCTGGGGAGCACTCACAAACCTGGAGTGTATGAGCTTTGCTCCACATTCCAGAGGGAGAAAAAAAAGCAGCAAGTGGGAAACGCCGCATTTGTGTTCACTGGGCTGCTTTCTCTCCTCGACTGCTGAATGCCCCGCTGCAGAATGCGGCCAGTCCGATCCAGGCTTGTTCACTCAATGCCCAGAAATGCCGGGGAGGGCACAGATCAGTTCTCCATGAAATGTGGCCGCTGTGACTGTTGATGATATGCAGGCCCAGTCACTTGTCTCGGGCATATCGGTGTTGCCTTGCGCAATGTTAGGAGCACTACAGGACAGGCCAGCTTCACTTTCGGGAAAGCCCCGATGGGACAGCAAAATGGAGAAGGCCCCTGCAATCAGAGTGGTTATTCCACAAAAAACCAGCGGCTCCTGCCTTGGATGGGAATGAACACATCTCATCAAGCGTGATCCACCACACAGGTACCCCCAGACAGCTGAGAAAACACCAAATTCAGCCTGAATTGCCCCCTTTAGTTAGCTCATGTAAACTTACTGCCGAATTGCTGCAAGGATTTCATTTACAGCTACCATTAATTTCTGAAGGCCTAAGAAAGCTTCTTTGAAGGCAGCCATATCCTGCGGAGTTGTTACTGTATTGAGGTCCAACTTCTGGAAAACTTCAAGGCTACAAGAAGGGAGAAGAGGACTCACTTTCAAGGGACAAAGAGCTTCACATCCGTTAGCCAAAGCAGTTGCATAACAGAGCCACCCAACACACTTTTCTTGGGTGCAAAAGGCACACAGGAAATACTGACGCGAGAGGCGACTCTTTCCACTGTGCAAAGTTGGGCCAAACAATGGGACACAGTGAACAAAACCTTTGACCCAGTAGCTAGAAAGACATCTGGTCCAATGGCTCAGTTCTCTGTTTTTAAAATGCCGTAGACTTGAGTAGGCAGCCCCCAGTCTTTTGGTGGTAATCCTAGACATGAAAAGCATAAGGCTCTTCACTGAATCAAACAGACGAAGGCCCCTGCCCTGAAGAGCTTACAATTCACATTCAGCACTGGAGAGATATGGCAAAAGGGGTACAAGTTGTTCCCCACTAGTAAGCAAGCCTTCTGAGCAATGTGTAGAAGGCAGGAAAAGGCTGCCTTGGAGAAACAAAACATCGCCCAGCATTTAGTACCTGAACCGGTTCATCGTGTTCCAGATGCTTTCAAGGACGGACCAGATTTCCTGATGCCTGTCTGCCTGCGTTAAAGGCTTGGGTGACTTATCCTCTGCCTGAGTGGCCAACGGCACATCTTCCATTTTTTCACAAGCAGCACTTCCTGAAGTAGATTTGAAGGTATCTGAAGAATTTGGTCCAGTATCTGACTGAATCTTATGAAAATATAGCAATCAAACAGTAAATGTATTGGGACGGCTACATTAAAGCCCCAGATCACCAGATAAAGGAATGCCACATTAAAAAAAAAAAGAATTTTTTTTAAAGGGCAAGGTCCAAAGCTAAACTCCCCCACCCCACAAAATGGCCCCTAGATAACACCCAAATGGCCACAGATTTTTTTTTTTTCAGTTCTGAGGATGGAAAATGCGCCAACCTCAGAGCCGGGGATTCTGGGCCCAGGTGCCCTCCCGCCTCTCGCAGCCAGCTCGGAAAGACTGGTGCTTGCTTCATCTCCCAAGCAACAGCTTGGAGAAGGAACATAGGAAGGGAGGGAGGAGGCTGGTGCCCCAGGACACCCCATATATCTTGGCAATGCGTCCACCTCTCTCCCCCATTCCCTGAAGCACCCCCCTCCCTGGTTACACTGGTGAAATGGGCAACCCAGCTAATTTGCAATGGAGGAGCAGCTGGAAAGCTGAAGGCAGCCAAGAGGGTGGCACCCCAGCTTTCTTAACGAATTTAAGGCCTTCACATACCATCCTGAACCAGTATTAATCCCAAGACCATTTACAATCCAATTTAAAATCATTGCACCTTAAAAGGTACAGTGAAACCATGAACATTAACAATAAAATAAAGTCCAATAAAATAAGCAGACAAAAGAGCAGGGTAAACAACTTCACACTTAAATATCAAAAATAACTGATCAAAAATGCCTCAGTGAATACAAGTGTCTTTGCCTGGTGCCAAAACACACACACGTGCACAAACACACAGGCAGGCAAATGGCAGATGTTTAAAATGCATTTTTAAATAAGATGCACACCCAAGCACCCTCTTAATTCTGGGTTATCACCACTAGCTCGGAAAACAGCCATCAGAAAAAAATAATTCAAGATGGTTTTAAATAAAATTTCCGCTGCACACAGAGCTGTAGAAAAGAAAAACAGCTCTGGCAAGGATTAGAGAGATCTAGAACTAGCAACGAAACAAGACTGCAGGCAAACCTAACACAGCTGGATCAAAATAAATAAATAAAAGTGTGAAAGCACATCATGTGTCAGTGGCAGCAGTGGGATAGATGTGGCCTGCTTCAGCTTTGGGTGTGTCCCCTCCAGCTGGTTTGGGGATAGCAAAGCCAGAGTTGCTTACAAATAGCAGGTGCCTGTAGCCAAGAGGAGGTCACAGCTAGCTGATCCCCCTTTCTCAGGAGTAGGGAATGTGTCCGTTCCCCCCGCCCGCCCAGATGTTGGTGGATTGCAACTGGGAAGTATATGGATTTCCCTACTATTTGTATCATGAAGATACACCACAATTGCAGGAGGTCATGTCTAAGAATGGCTGCAAATGCCAAAACTTCGCATTTGCACTTAGACAAGATACTTTTACACTTTATTTCCATGGGAAGAAGTGTGGATTGTGGGTGTGCTCTTTTGAAAATACAAATCTGCCCCCTTTCAAATGTGTATTTATTCCGTTTGACCAACATGATAAGTGTGGGGACCAGGTGAGGCAAGCCCTTCAAGGTGGCATCTGGGGAATCTGAAAAGCATTGCCCCACATTCCCTTGCATGTGCCTGACAGCGAAAACAATGTAATCAACACTGAGCACGGAAACAGAAGGAAGAAGTGATCCCTTCCTCAGAGCTCCCAAGACAGTATCTCCCAGGCAGGGGCCAACTTAACAGCTTAAAATATTCAATTCTACAACTGCCTGCTGCTTTCTCAAACTCTGTTTTCCTGCTAGCGAAAGGTGGGCCAAACTAAAACAAGAAAATTTTGTTCAGGAATCAGATCTGGAATTGATGCTGGCCCTCGGCGGCACTGATGAGATGGGCAGTGCAGTGCAATGTTGTCTACTAAGAACACAGTTTCAAATACAAGTAGCTTTTCACCTAGAATGACGACACATTAGCATGAGCAACGCTGCAACCAGGATCTCTCTGCATGCACATGAAAAGAACTGTATCTGTCAAAGTTTGGCAGCTCTAACCTTCTCCAAAGTCTGCAGCAGTCTATCTATTTGAGATAAGGCCTGTAAAAGCACACCGTCATAGTTTGATCTTGAGCGGAACGTCTCCAGCAGCATCTTGGATTCCTGAAGTACCACCTTCATTGTGGACTGCTGAATTATTTTAGCTGAGAAAAGGCAAGAGAGGTCAAGATGGAACAGCAGCACACATATGAGCAACTCAAGAGGCTTCGGCAAGGGGCGGTATAGAAATGTTCTAATAAAAATAAAAATAAAAAAGAGGAAGAGCAGCACAAACATGTCCCAAACATGTATCACAGGCCTCTTAATCGGCTCTTACAGTATTTATAAGCCAATATGGAACATCCAAAGCATGCAAGGTTTTCACAAGCGAATGAATTTATTCTCTGGGGAATGTTGGGGATCCTGAGACATTCATAGCCCCATCATGTATATACACATAAACACATATATAAGTATGCATATACTTATGTACTCCTTTGTAACTACGACAATCATGCTTGGTGCAAGTTTTCAGTTTTCAAATGTAAAAGTAACTTCAAGAGTGAATAAAAATGTTTCTGACCTTTGCAGAGATGTGTATATAAATATTCAACGGTTGATAAAAAGCTTCTTGAAATAACCATCCCAAAAACAGCCACCCAGTGTTTTTTGTAGCACTCCAACACATTTGCGAGTGTCCACGGGGGTTTATGATATACTACCTGGGTGGGGGGAAAAGAAGGTTACACTTGCATCTCTCCTCTGTGGCAGTCAAATTTCTATTCCCTGAAGCCAGAATTGTGCGACAGACCTTGTGACTAGGATATTTTCTCACCCACCCTCCCCGCAAAAATTGTGTATGCAAACCCTACAAATCTCTATTGAGGTCAGCTTACTGGCAGGGCCCTTTCAGGCTCCTGCCTAACCAAATATTTTCTTCGTCTACAAATACAAATGACATCAGTGGGACCCAGAAACCATTTCAGGTTTGTTTGTTTGGTTTTTTTTTGGGGGGGGTAGCTAATTTGTAGCCTCACATAATCCCATGGATTCCCTGAGAAAGTAAAAAAAGAAAAAGAAAAGAATGCTTGACATTGTATTGTGCAGTATTATGAAATTACTGCTCTGAAGTTAAGCATCAGACCATAGAGTTGTCTGCTTGTTATTCCCCTAACATGGCAATCACAGGGGAAACCCCCCCCCCCCCACAATGTTGCAACAGGTGCAGAATTCAGCATCTGGGGAACCTTGGTTGTAAGTGCTTCCAGCCACCCCAAGCCATTTCTCCTGAACTGGCCCACTCTAGGAAGAACTCGGGTGCACGGGCATTGCTGCGCCGTCACTCCTGCTAGTGCGGCTCCGTGGCTTTGCTGGAAGGGGCAGTGAAGCACAAGGCGCAGCAGTGCGAGAGCTTCATGCCGCCTGCTCGGTGCCCCATCAGCCAGCATGAGGCCCTTGGCCGCGAGTGGGAGCACCATCCCCTCACCAGTGCAGAAGCGGATTTCAACCACACGTGCGGCTGCCTTCTGCACGCGTAGCAGCGGTGGGAGTGCTCCCTTGTCCTTGCTTCAGGCAGCAAACCTTGTGGGGCTGGCTGCGGGGCTGGTCCCCCGTCGAGGCAGGGTGCATCTTCTGCCTCAGGTGGTAAAGCAAGGGGGTGGTGAATTGCAGTTTCTCAGAGCAAGAAAAAAAAAAAGCAGTGGTTGTCTCTCTGACTTGTCCCTCACTTTAATTAAAGTTGCAGAGGCTGCGGGGTCATGGCAGTGCCTTTTTTCTGCCTCAGGCACCACGAGAGCTTGTTCCACTGCTGGCTGGCTGTGCACAAACCTCTATGACATGCACACACAGGCATGTACTGTGATAACTTTCTCCCATTTTTTTTCTGGGCAATCAGAAGAACTAGATATGTCAAACTGAAATAGAACTTCTGTCACTATTACAATCACCTCTGTCCACAGGTCGCCATACGCAATCTTCAATTCTGTTACTAGTATAGAAGACAAAACTTCCCCCAAACATTTTTGAGACTCTAGAATAATTTGGGACAGAGGTTCTGTGGAATTTTCCATCTTCTTGGAGTCCTTGTTAACTTCTTGTTTAGCAGAAGCTAAGAAAGATCAGGTAAGAAAATGAACAACAAATAGCCTTTGTCTAAAATTACATTGCTATTTACTTGCTTCAAAGGTTCTATTTCCTGGTTTAGGAAAAATCGTGGTATGCAAAGCTTTATGAAAATCTCTAAAGGCTACTGATGTCGGCTACTGTGAGTGCAATAGGATCTGAACTGGCTGGGGACGACTCCAAAAAGCAGCTTTAAAGCCATTAGCTGTACAGAAAGGCGGGACCACCCACCCAATTCCCAGGGAGAGCAGGCTCTGTTCCAAGAGAGGGGATCAGCTGCAACTGCAATCACATACTTAAAATTACTACCACATTAGTAGAGCCCTGTCTTGTAGAAAGCACTGAGGCCAACCTCCTCAGTACCAGAACTTTTAAACAGTATCTGAGATCCTTCTTCCTACCAAAAATCCCCTCTGAAGATTTCCCGATTTCCCTGAAAAGTTTCACCAAGACCAAAACCTAAACCACGTTTTTCTCCACTGCTATGCCGTCCTTCTTTTCAGCAGCTTAGTGAAGGGCGTCCCCCACTCCCATTGCTTGCAGTGATCTCTACTACGGAGATCTGCCATCATATCCTCCTTTAATCTTACTAAAATCATTCGGAAGGAAAACGAACATTTTGCCAGGTTTCCATATACCAATTTTAGTTGCTTAGTATACATCAGAAGAATATTTGCATTATGTTTATTAGTGAAGATAACTGGAAGCTTTCATCCTGTAATTCAGATTCCCCAGAGGGAAGTCACCGAATAAAAAGTTTTGCAAACTAGAATTGGTCGGTTTTGGGCTGAAATACACCTGAGTGTAAGCCACATTGAACTCAATTAACTTACTGAACCTGTTAAACTCAACGGGGCTTATTCAGAATACATATGGACAGAGCTGCACTGTCATTCAACTTTTCCAGCCATTACAGAAATCCAGGAGAAGCTAACCTTTGTTTGATTTCATCCAGCTGCAGGAATTGTCTTGGTTCACAGCTACAGCCTCCCCAGTAAGTTTCTGGAGTGCAGTCACAAAGTCTGCTTTACTAAATGCCCTTACTTCGCTCACCAGGGCTTTGTTGCACAAGTTTTTATCATCCCTGTGGAAAGAAAGTTGCTTTAATTTTTCATTCCTGAAGTGGCAAAGAATTGTTATTTTTCTCTGTAGCAAAAGGGAGCTAGTGGGTAAAACTCAATGTAAGTCCAATACTGAGCCAGCCCATGAAAATGAATGGGATTGTTCCCTTCCATGGGTCTACTCTAAGTAGGATTAATGCTGGCTTTTATCTAGCATCTGATGAACGGATTTATGGAATCCAGTGGAAGCCACTGGAAAAACAAAATTGCCCCACCAAACTAGCATGGGCTACCGTTATTGCAAAAAAACTGATTTTTGGTTATATACCTGATAGAACTTACAGAAAGAAGTCACAGAATTCTGACATCAGCAGGCATAACAAACCACCAGGCCCTACTCTGAACGTTTTTACTCTCGATGCTTGCCTACACTCATCAAAAAAGTTGTTGCTGCTCTTCCATACTGCACCAGCCATCCAAGATGCTGCCAACATCTTGAATCCGTGTGGAAAAGGAGCATCATTTAAGTTAAGCAGGATCAGCTTTCTGAACTGCATGGTGCAGACAGCAGCACCAAGCCTGAGGAAGTCCTGCCCTGGGCTACCAATCTAAACAGGCAGAAATGCCTTTTAAAAAAGTCTTGTATTTAAGAAGGTCCACTGAGCACTCCCTCCTTAAAAACAACTCTGAGCCAGTTGTTGGCTTATTATTTTATCACTTAAATTTGAATCCCCGTTTGGAAAGTGAACATGCAATTAAGTCAAAACCTACGTCAGCAGCACAACTTCGGCCTGAGGAAAAAGGCTCTGGTACTGCAGGCAACACTGCAAAACACGATCATCGTTGTTCCTAACGCTGAAACCATCTGTAAACGGAGTAAAAGGGGAAAGCATGACAGTGTGGAAGAAAAGTTGCTTAACCGTTATAAAGAAGCAGGGACGAGGCCAAGATTCTCTCAGTGAATTCTGTAGATGACATTTCCGGAGGAAAGTGCTCTCACACCGAGTACTCTGAAATCTCCAGACCTAAGACACAATGCAAGTTGCCACATGGTAACTGTTTGTGATACCGAGTTCCTTCCTTCCTGCTTTACTTGTGGTCCAAGCAGAGATCAGACAGAACCAATGCGACCTATAAAAAGCCGTGTTTGTAACAGGAGGGGGAGTTGCTCCTTGCACACTGTGTGTGCGCTCTGGGATGCTGATCAGCTGATCAAGAACCCCCCTAAAATATTGTAACATCAACAAACATCTGCTTGGATTGCAACTTTCTCTTAATTGGGTTGGAATTTCTTTAAATTCAAAGCCTTTCCTTCCACATGTCCAAAAATCACTTGATGTCGACGTAGCCATATTTAGATCTTCTTCTTCGAGACTACAAGAAAACCAGTGGTGGCTGTTGCTTGCTTTCTAGCATGTTTAAGTGGGTCTGGAAACATAGAGTGTACATGGTCTCTAGGTTCTCTCTCACAGGGTTAGGCAGATCCCACACACCAAGGCGAAAAGTAAAGGCTCGCCCTGCTCTGCTCAGGACCCTCCCTGCACAGTAAGGGAAATGGAGAGGGTGCACACACCCCTAAGTTAAAGCTTCTAGGTACAAATGTAACAGAAGCATTGCTATGGCAAATATTTGAAGCAGAGTAACAGATTTAACCCCTTCATGGATCACTGCCTTGTCGTGGCAAAGGAGCTTGCATAGCTCAATGAAGCTATGAGCTATGCTGTGCAGGGCCACCCAAGACGGACAGGTCATAGCAGATTGCTCTGACAAAACGTGATCCACTGGAGAAGGAAATGGCAACCTAGTCCAGTATCTTTGCCATGAAAACCCCATGGACAGTACCAAAAGGCAAAAAGATATGGCACCGGGAGATGAGCCCCTCAGGTTGGAAGGTGTCCAATATGCTACAGGGGAAGAACAGAGAGCTAGTACTAGTAGTGCCAGAAAGAATGAAGCGACCGGGTCAAAGCCGAAAGGACACTCAGTTGCTGATGCATCTGGTGGTGAAAGGAAAGTCCGATGCTGCAAAGATCTATACTCCATAGGAACCTGGAATGTAAGATCCATGGATCAAGGCAAGCTGGATGTGGTCAAACAAGAGATGACAAGACTGAACATCGACATCTTAGGAATGGGTGAATTTAATTCAGATGACCATCAGGTATACTACTGCGGGCACGAATCCCTCAGAAGAAATGGAATAGCCTTCATAGTCAATAAAAGAGTAGGAAAAGCAGTACTGGGATACAATCTCCAAAATGACAGAATGATCTCAGTTCGAATCCAAGGCAAACCATTCAACATCACAGCAGTCCAAGTCTATGCCCCAACCACTGATGCTGAAGAGGCTGAAGTTGACCGGTTCTATGAAGGCCTACAACACTTTCTAGAATTAACACCAAAAAATGATGCCTTATCATCATGGGGGATTGGAATGCTAAAGTAGGAAGCCAAAAGATAACTGGAATAACAGGCAAGTTTGGCCTTGGAGTACAAAATGAAGCAGGGCACAGGCTGGTAGAATTTTGTCAAGAGAATACGATGGTCATAGCAAACACTCTTTTCCAACAACCCAAGAAAAGACTCTACACATGGACATCACCAGACAGTCAACACAGAAATCAGATTGACTATGTGCTCAGTAGCCAAAGATGGAGAAGCTCTATACAGTCAGTAAAATCTAGACCAGGAGCTGACTGTGGCTCAGATCGTGAGTTTCTCGTTGCAAAATATAGGCTTAAATTGAAGAAAGTAGGGAAAAGCACTAGGCCACTCAGGTATGACCTAAATCATATCCCTCATGAATATACAGTAGAGGTGACAAGTAGATTTAAGGAATTAAATCTGATAGACAGAGTGCCTGAAGAACTATGGACGGAGGTTCGCAACATTGTACAAGAGGTAGCAACTAAAGCCATCACAAAGAAAAAGAAATGCAAGAAAGCAAAATGACTGTCTGAGGAAGCTTTACAAATAGCTGAGGAAAGAAGGGAAGCGAAAGGCAAGGGAGAAAGAGAAAGATACACCCAACTGAATGCACAATTCCAGAGAATAGCTAGAAGAGATAAGAATGCCTTCTTCAATGAACAGTGCAAAGAAATGGAGGAAAACAATAGAATAGGGAGGACCAGAGATCTCTTCAAGAAAATTGGAGATATGAAGAGAATGTTTCATGCAAAGATGGGCATGATAAAGGACCAAAATGGCAGGGACCTAACAGAGGCAGAAGAGATTAAGAAGAGGTGGCAAGATTACATAGAAGAACTATACAAGGAAGAGTTTAACGTCCCCGATAACCACGATGGGGTGGTCACTGACCTCGAGCCAGACATCCTGGAATGTGAAGTCAAATGGGCCTTAGGAAGTCTGACCAAAAACAGAGCTAGAGGAGGTGACAGTATTCCAGTTGAGCTATTCAAACTCGTAAAAGACGATGCAGTAAAAGTGCTACACTCAATATGCCAGCAAATTTGGAAAACTCAACAGTGGCCGCAGGATTGGAAAAGGTCAGTTTACATTCCGATCCCAAAGAAGGGCAATGCCAAAGAATGTTCAAACTACCGCACCATTGCACTCATTTCACATGCTAGCAAAGTTATGCTCAAAATCCTACAAGCTAGGCTCCAGCAGTATGTGGACCGAGAACTACCGGAAGTACAGCCAAGATTTTGAAAAGGCAGAGGAACTAGAGATCAAATTGCCAACATACGCTGGATCATGGAGAAAGCTAGGGAGTTCCAGAAAAACATCTACTTCTGCTTCATTGACTATGCAAAAGCCTTTGATTGTGTGGATCACGGTGGGTTGGCTGCCGTGTGAAGGATCAGGCTCAGTGTGGGGTTTGGCCCCCCTCAGTCCTCCTATGAGTATCTTTTCCTGCCCTCCCTGCTGAAAGTTCACTTTTCCTTCTTTCTCTTGGGGGGATCTGATAACAAGCCCACTGAATGGATTCTGCTTGAACCCAGCAGTTCTGCCACGGCTTACCTGTTTTCTCAGAAGCAAGTTGCATGGATTGCCCCCACAACTTTGGATCTTGGTTTTTCAGGCAAACATAGATGAAGTTCACTGCTGGGATTGCTCTCTGCCCCACATTTGCCAATATTTTCCCTTTCTTTAAGTTGTCCAGTTCTTGCAACACCACCCAGGGAATTACAAGTACAAATCTGCCAATACCTAAACAGGAAGAAAGGTGCAATTTTGTCATGATGATGAATTGCACTGTTTTTAATTGTATTCAGATCATTTCAGCTCAATATTGGGTCCACTGCCGGTGACCATGAGCTATACTAATTTTGGAAATTTAGTTGTGGCTAGATCACTCAGAATTCCCACTGGAAGTCTACCATTCTGTCAGCGTCCAGCCCTAGGATCTGGGAATGGGCCATTATGGGAAGTGTTAGCAGCAACTGAATCCAACATACAATGGATGCTTTATGCATTGTACAATATTTGACTTCCCTGGACAAGGATCTTGCGTTTTCATAGTTACATGTATGGAAATATGACACAACGGGTAGAGCTAACACATGACTGGCTTCCCTACTTGGGAAGTGGGTGTGGAGTACTTGAATCTAGGTAGGTTTGCATATATAATAATAGCTAATAAACAACCTACAGTGAACAGCCTAAGAAAAAACCATAGGTTATCTTTGTGGGTTGTTTGTGGTTAAGAACCCACAGTTCACCCACATCTCTGGATTTACATGCAACCCATTATTTCATAACAATCCATACTCTGCATTATCATTACAAGTAGACCAGGTCAATTAACGCAGGATTAATTGAGTTGCTTTTGGCTGAAAACAAACTAGTGCATTGTCTCTCAGTTAAACAGGAGATTAAATATGCATGGAACTTGCAAGGAATGGGAGGCAGAAGGTCAGGTTGGCCCTTTACTGGCCTGTTCCTTATCTTAAATAAAGCTGACGAAAGAGGCTAGAAGGTCGCCTACTGACGCTTCCCAGCTATGATCAGCAAAGCCAAACCAAGGCCGCCTGCTGGATGAGTGAAACAGGAACTTGAGGCTCAGCCCTGGTATGCAAACAGCCCTGGCTTTGGGCAGGACCTTTTAGATCCACACGTTTCAAACACTTCCCATAGGGCTAAATCCACACATACCTGGAATAACCCTGTTCTTCAAAAACTTAATGTATTCTAGATGGCGGATCATTATATTAGTGTCAACCACAATCAAAGTATTCAGGCCAGAAAGAGATCCTGTTACAAAGAGAGAGGAAGTCAATTATTTGGCTGCCCCCTGGGACTTCCTTCCTTCCATCACCTTATTAAAGAGTGGACAACACAGAACGCTTGATTACAGTTCAGCTTACTGAAAGACATATTTGATTCATCATCTCGCAGGTCTATCTCCATGCTGGTCAATTCCCCACAGGTCTGCACCACTGGCAACGCCATCTTATTGTCAATGCGAGCTGCGTGCAAATCTTCCACAATCTGCATCTATGGAAAGGCAATATTCATATGAAATCGGGGTGGAGTCAGTAGTTGGCATCCGCGGGCACCTACTTAGGGTCAAACCCCATCAATGCTCCCCGGCTGTTCCTCCTCAGGGACAAAGAATGCCAGCACATCTTTGGATACTGGGGAACATAAACGTAGTCGTACCCACCCTCTTGTGGGCTGCAGCACTTCCTGGCCACTATTCCCTGCTTTTCACTGCCTACCTACTCCCTGGTCTTCACTTCTGCCTCAGAGGAATGGCTTTGACAGAGGAGACACGGCGGAAATTTGTCCAGCCCTGATCTATAGAAATAACCGCAAATTTTGGCTCCAGTGCTACCTACATGGTTCTGCTCTTAGGTTTATTTGGAAGTAGGACCTGCAACAAAACATTGCAACAGGGAATGCTCCAGTGCATTGTTCTAGCCAGCCAGCCTTGCCCTCAGTCCTGATCTTTCTCTCTTAGTTTTCCAACAGTCAGTAAGGCATCCTTCCCCACCCTGGTGCCTGCCAGCTGTTTTGGAGTTCAGCTCCCAATAACCTATGCCAGCATTCCTAATGATGAAGAATTGTGCAAGCTACATTCCGAAGCATCTTAAGATACCAGCTTGGGAAGGCTGAGTAAGCCTTCCATGGTGATCAGGTGTACTTTGTCTTCACTAGGCTTAAAAAAAGAGAGGCCTCTTTTTTTGTAAAAGTTTCCTATACCTTTGCAAGCCCCAAGTTCCCCCAAGCCTGGTAATTCCTCCTTGCTGTTCATGGACAACACCTTTTTGGCGTACTCCAGCACCCCCTGTCAGGGAATGAGTTTGCTATTAACGTAAAGGATGCATATGGTTTTTGAAAACCTACTGGGTCAATAAGAATGGAAAAGGAAGTTGTTTAAAGGGATGAGCTAAGGGTAACCATTCACAAATAGTGCTGTGTCCTGAGAATAAAGTTACTTAACCACTAACCTCTTGGTCCTCATCAGCATCTTCAATGGCTTCACAGGAAGAACATGAAGCTTCAGCGCTCTGTAAAAAGCAAACAAACCCTAAAACCCACAAAAACTCTGGTGTACCAAATATTTGCTGATGAACAGTTTGACTGATTGCAGAGGTGGCATTTTACTGGAACCTTGGAGCGATTTCAGAGGAGCAGGGAAGACAAGTACAAGGAGCTCATTCACCTAAATGAGGCCCTAGCATGTACACACTCCCGTTCTAGGGAAAACGGGGCAAAATTCCATGAGGGCTAGACAATTGTGGGTTTGGTTTTACTTTACAGTTTCAACTGAATGACAGTGGGCATTCCCTCTTGGCACCCCTTCAGCCTAGAAATCTTCCCCAGAACAGGCATTAGAGTGCCACCTCTCTTTACCCCTGAAAAACTCTCCCCCAAAATCTAACTCTTCTGAGAAACCTTTGGCTTCATTCTAGCCACATTCCCAGCTCTGAGCACAGCTAAGTACACATAAAGGCCTTGCTCAGGTGCCACTGCTGCACTGTAAAATGTAGAGTGTAGACCTCTGCAGGGCAGAGAGGAGATTTGCCTCCTTTACTCACGATGTGATGTTAGCAAAACACCGATGGCATCAAATAAGCAACAGCTCCTCCACCACTCAACTATGTCATTTGCTACCCTTCCTGCATAAACAATGGTCATTATTTATTTATTTTTATTATTATTTATTACATACATTTATACCCCGTCCTATTGCTTCAAGCACTCAGGACAGCTGACAAGATATAAAAATACAATAAATATAAAACTACTATATAAAACATTAATTATTAAAACAATAGAAAACACATCGCTATAGAAAATGCGACTGTGAAAAAGGGAAACATAGAAATGGAGACCCATCCTTTTTCCCAGTAAGGAACCCAGGTGCTCTCTGCCTCCTATCCATTTTATTCTTACAGCAATTAGAAACATAGAAACAGAGCAAGTCAGAAAGGGATCTCCTGGACCATCTAGTCTGACCCCCAGCTCCTGCTGGTTCTGCTCACGACATGCCTACCATTCACCAATGGGGCCTCACCCACCTCCTGTGGAAGCCCATTCCATACCTTAGGGGTCCTAACCATCAGGAAGTACTTCCTGGCATCCAAACTGAACCTTGGTTAGAAACCGCCTTCCTTAGAGCTCAGCAAAGAACTACTACCCATGAGAAGATTTTCATTTTACCTGAGTCGTATGAAATGCCACAGGTTTACTTTTATTTCCCAGGATCCTTGGATTACCAATATCCTTGGTGGACTCTGTAGGCAATGGTCTTTTCTGTTTATACTTCCAACACTTGGATGGTTCAGTCAAGGGGGGGGCTTGCATCTCTTTGTCGTTTTTGCTAGGTAATTCTGGTGAAATATGCTTGGTCCTTTCAGAAGTGTTTCTAAAGGCCTGTGTGGGTGATTTCAGACTTGAGAAATTAAAGGCTGAAAAGCTGGAATATGGCTCCTCTGAAATGCCCTGTTTTCTACGCAATTCACATGATTTCAAAGTCTTCTCCTTATGGTGGGAAGAAGAGTTCACAGGTAGAGTAGTTTCCTTGAGCTTCTCCAGCAAACTTTTCTTAATTACTTCTTTTAGTCCACTATGCTTCACTTTGGTCTTCATTTTGTTTTTCCTCCGGTTGTTCAGGATCTTCAACTGCAGTGACTCCACTTTTCTTCTTTCAGTATCAGGGTCAACACACATATTTTTGTCAGAGCATTCCTTGCTAGAAAATGCCACTGCAGAATCCATGTGGCTTCTCTTCCCAACAGGTTGAGCCTTATTTTTAAAATGCATTATGACCTTCCCATGCACCACAGGGGGCACCAAAGCACTACAAGCCTTTCGTCTATCTGTTGAAATGTCTTCTTGGAGGCCTTTAGTATCTCTGAGATCCAGACAGCTTTTTGTCTTCATGTGTTCAGTGTTGCCAGCCAACCTGCAGATGCATCACAATGAGAAATTATCACAAAGAAATTTGTGATAGTGGAGATTAGAGTCCAACAAACTGAAGGTTATGTTCAAGCAGAAAAAGCTGGAGAAAAGTTCTAGTGTTCTCTCAAGCTTATGAATGGTGTACCTAGAAAAACTGACAGAAGCTAGAATGTTTTCAATATTTTTGGTCATTTTAAATAGAGATGTTGGTCACATTCAGCTCTGTATGACAACAGCAGCTCACAGTTCCACATAGGAATCTGCATCCCCCTCCATAAGGCACATGGGCAACGCACTTATAACTTAATGTGACCAATGTGAGCACCGCAATGCATAAAGCAATGCACAGTCAGATGCAAATCTCTCTCATTTTCCTTGCTGAAATAGCAACAAAGCAACATAGTTACAAATCTAATGAATGGAGAACATTTACAATTTTGCCAGTGAAAACAAGTTGCCTGTACTTCAACTGCCCCCAGTTTTCTATAGGGCAAAAGTACATGGAGATTGTCAGTAAGGAAAACTAGTAAAAAAAAAGGTATTACCGAAATGGGATGGTCAGATCCTGGAAATTTATTTAAAAGCATTTCTATACTGCTCAATTAGAAACAAAGAAGTACCTCTTTTACTGTTCACCAAATCATTCAGAATATCTGTGATAATATCTTTCCATGGCCAGGAATCTGTAGGTTTGAAACCTAGATACCCTTACCAGGCAGTAAGTCCCATTGAATTAAACGACATTCTTCTGAGTGGAGCCTAAGCAATGGGCAATAAGCAAGCATATTGGACATATGCTCCAATCTGAAGCCCCGGAGTAATAAAATAAATAAATATTCAATTGATATTTGCTAAAGAACACACACACACACACAAACACACACAGAGGGAGAAGGAGAGGTGATTTATCATGATTTATCATATTCACTAGCTACTTTAATTATCTCAAACTCTGAAATACCTTTGAACCCCCCCCCCGCAAAAAAACTACAATTAGATCACTGAATCATAAAATCATGTGCATATACATGGGATATGCTGAAATCTCTCACACCATTCCTGAAGACATTATCCACATTCCCCCAGTACGAAGCTTGGGTGACCAAGGCCTATCAATCTGTGAGCAAAACAGGACCACCCAAACAAAGTACAGCCTTTTGCCTAACTGAGAGACTTCCTAGGAGGAGAGAAATATACACACTTGTACATTAAAATTAAAGTGATATTGCAAAACACGACGTCGAACAACTACCCAAGAGCTCAGCATGGCACAGGGCCTATTGAATGCTGAAAATGGCAACTGGAAAAAGGAACAATGGAAGGTGAAAGGCAGTGCTAGACTATTTATTGATTTGCTGGGTTTTTGTTCCGCTTTCTCAGCAATGACTATCTCACAACGTAGCTCACAGAAATCAAGAGAGAGAAATTACCACCTGCCCACTGTATGCCAAAATTCGTTCCAGTTCTTCAGGGTTACCTCACAGTTGTGTGTGCGATTGCTTCTAACCCCAAAATTGAAAAGCGTCTTGATGTCAGCCTGGTATCCACTCTTAGGCATGTTGTGGGCTCGACTGCCATCTTGCCCAGGCCTTTCCTACAGGCCTAGAGGAAGTGTCACCCTCAACCCCATCTCTCCAACACTTTGGTAAAACAGTCATCCACAAAGGGCACAAGACCCTCAGACCTTGGAGGCTACAGAAAGAAAACATGCTAATTTCCACTGCTTGTTCTGTGTAAGCATCACTGGGCCTATGGCCCAAAGATTCTTCCAGTATCAACTGTCTGGTACATTGAAGTGCATAACCCTGCCGAATCTCAGCAGCAGGTAGATCAGGTCTGGTTGAAATCTGGACGGGTGACTTAAAATGTTGTGAACCACCGAGACAGCTTTGTCTATGGGCAATATAGAAATGTAATACAATAATTACTTAATAATTAGAAAGTGCTGCAGTTTCATTTTCACAGTTCTTTCAGGAATCAAAAGCTTTAGAACTACAGATGGTCATGATACCACTTTCTTCATGAATTCCACACAAAAAGAGGATTTCTCTCGCTCTCTAGGGTGACTGATGCCTTTCTTTTAACATTTTTTAAATTTTGAGGATATTGTAAACATTATTTATGTATAACTGTGTGATAATGTAATTCATTAAGTCGGACATATGCTCCAATCTGAAGCCCCAGAGTAATAAATGGAACTCATGCAATGCTGTTTTTCTCCAAACATAGGCAATTTAGGTTTCTGAATTCTCAAGGAAGAACCATTATTTTGCTAGAATAAGAATAAATATTTTTAAGTGACTGCCCTTAATGGAAAAGAGCGATTTACCTTTGACTTGGCTGCTCTTTCACAAGCTTGCTTTCAATTTCTGCCGTTTCATTTTTCTGAAAGAATAATAAAAATTGAAATCTATGATTCCTAGCCCTCCAATATGACCCAGAGCAGTATTCCTCCTTCCTTTCATAACAAGTTCCACGCTACAGCAAAAGAGAGAGGGCCGGGGGGGGGGGGGGACTTTGTTGGTTGTCCCAAATCTGCTCTGTTCCATTTACAACCCTTCTTAACTTTTAACTGTTCTATGAATTAAGATCGCAGTCCTGTGGACATTTAGTGAGGCTTATTTCTGAATAAGGAAGCAAAAGGTCTAGCTGAAAAAGTACATGAAACATTTAAGAAAGACTCTTCAGCTAACCATATGCAACCTTTGCACTGTTAAAGGACCACATATTTCCATAGTCTTATTTTAATCTAAAAGCCCTAAAGAGGAGAAAATCCAATTCTCCAGCCTCTACACAGTAGCTTTCCCTACTGTTTCTGCTCATCAGTTTCTTGCAGTTCAGACTAGCAGTCTGAAACATTAGAATTGGAAGTATTTGCTCCACTGTGAATGAGACTGGCAAGCCTGTAAGAGCAAAAGAGAAGAAATCCACGCATGCATCTGCCCTCTGCTTTGAGCTGAGTATGGAATAAAAAGGCAGGCAAAGGGAACAAGAGCAGTCACTGTGGCATCCTTGGCAAATCTCATGTGTATCTTACATGAGACTGATTTTGAGGATGGTTCTCAAATGTTAGCTAGCACAGAACCTACTAACCGGTATGGACTGATATTCTCACAGTAGCTACTGTACATATGCTTAATCCCCAGGACTTCAGCTTTAATTGATATATGGGATTATTAAGATGATGTATAAGATGTGTTTTAATACATGAAATGCACTATACAAAGAATACTGTTAATGCTTGGACATTCATATCATTCATCCTAGTCAAAAGGGAGGTTTTGGAAGTGCAAGCCTTGACGATACCTCTAGTTAGTAAGGCAGAGAGGCGAAGGAGAGCGCCACCATGGATGCGAAAGGAGGTGGTTAGAGGGATTAGATGAAAGAGGAATCTCTGTAGGAAATGGGTACTGGGGCAAATAGACAAAAGGGAATACCGGGAGGCCCATTGCAGAAGGATTCTTCGCAAGGCTAAGGCTGAATACGAGCTGAGACTTGCCAAGAATATCAAGAGCAACAAAAAGGGCTTCCTTCAGCATGTAAATAGGAAGAGGAAGGGGAGACAAGTGGTGGGACCACTAAATAAGGAGGAAGGAGATCCAGTGACTGATATGAGGGAACAGGCACAGATGCTAAATGACTATTTGGCCTCTGTGTTCTCCCCAAAGCTGGACAGGGGAGATCCGCATAGGAGATTAGATGAGGCCGGGGACTTAGGGGCACAGATTAGAGTCACCCCCCCTAGAAGTTGAGGGGCTCCTCAGGGCATTGGACATTACAAAGGCATTGGGCCCTGGCGGATTACACCAGAGAGTACTTAGAGAGTTGGCAGGGCTCCATTGTTGAGGCCTTGTGGAGAAGGGGTGAAGTTCCAGAGGAACTTCTGGCGTCAGTGGTCCCAATTTTCAAAGGGGTAGTAGAAGGGACATGAGGAATTACAGACCTTTTAGCCTTACGTCCATTGTAGGAAAAATAATGGAAAGGCTCATAATAGCAAGAGATCTAATGAAGCTAGATAGGGAAGGGAGGCTGGCAGCCACACAACACTGTTTTTGCAAAAACAGGTCTTGCCAGACAAACCTTGTGGAATTCTATGACAAGGTTTCGAGATGGCTAGATGAAGGGGATGCAGTGGATGTGGTTTACCTGGATTTCAGTAAGGCCTTTGACAAAGTGCCCCATGATATCCTGGTGGAGAAATTGAGGAGTTTTGGGATACACCAAAGCACTGTCCGGTGGATTAGGGCATGGTTGACTGACCAAAAGCAGAGGGTAACCATTAGTGGGGAATAGTCGGGATGGCAGCCAGTGACAAGCGGGGTCCCCCAGGGCTCTGTCCTGGGGCCGATCCTGTTTAATCTTTTCATAAATGACATGGAAGAAGGGGTGAACAGTCTGCTGATAATATTCGCAGACGATACTAAAACTGGGGCAGTGGCCACAACTGAGGAGCAGGTACTCCCAAAAGAATCTGGACAGACTATGGAAGTGGGTAGGAGACAACAGTATGGCGTTCAATGTAGATAAGTGCAAGGTCTTACACTTGTGGCATAGGAATAGGTGTCATAAGTACAGGTTAGGGGACAAGTGGCTGGAGAGCAGCACTTGTGAAAGGGACCTCGGGGTGCTGGTTGACTGCAGGCTGAACAAGAGTCAGCAGTGTGATGTGGTGGTCAAGAAGGCAAACGCCACCCTTGGTTGCATAGCCAGAAGTGTGGCTTCTAGACTGAGAGAGGTATTACTGCCACTCTACACAACTCTGGTGCGCCTGCAACTGGAGTATTGTGCTCAGTTCTGGGCCCCTCATTACAGAAAGGATATAGCCAGGTTGGAGTCAGTGCAGCGTAGGGCCACAAGGTTGGTAGCCGGTTTGCAGGGGATGGGGAGACTGAGGGAACTGGGTCACTTCAGCCTTGAGAAGGGAAGACTCAGAGGGGACCTGTTGGTACTATACAGGTATGTGAGGGGATGTCACATGGAGGTGGGTAGAGATCTGTTCTCCCCCACAGAGGAAGGCAGGGCGTGCTCCAACGGAGCAAAGCTCAGGGAACCAAGGTTCCATTTAGATGCCAGGAAGCACTTCCTGACAGTTTGGACCCCGAGAGTGTGGAATGGGCTTCCACGGGATGTTGTTGCAGCCCTATCGGTGAGGGTGTTCAAGGACAGGCTGGACGTCCACATGGTGGGCATGTCGTGAGCCGAGCCAGCTGGAGTAGAGCCGGCTGGATCAGACTAGATGGCCCAGGAGGCCCCTTCTGACTCGCTCTGTTTCTATGTTTCAGATTCACCAGATTCAAACAACACAACTTACAGTGTGCCAAGGAGCCAAAATGAGGCATTGTGCAAACCTGGACCATTTCCCAGAGAGTGGCTTGTTTGCGAACAACAAACTAGCATGTCCCATCCACACCCTCACATGGCCATGTCAAAAACAAACAAACAACAACATGGAGAGCCTTGTTAAAAAGAATAGAAAAACACCTTTTCAACTGTACCAGAGTTTTGACAGTCAGCTGTCAAATCTCCATGGTCATGTAGAAAAGGAGTGTCTTGCACCTTTCCAAACACCTAGAAAAGAAAGAGTGGAAAAGTGAAAGCACCCTTAGAGAAGCCAGGGACAAAAACAGAACAAAACCTTGAAGATCTTGCAGCAAAGGGGGTGAGTTACAGGGCACATATTTCATGAGCAAAGATCACTCACAACTTTCCTTTGCTATGACAGTTCACCTTTTGACAACTGTCAAGACAGACAAAGGTGGAAAATCACCTCTTGGTAGCCTGGGTCAATACCCATGAGGAGTGCCTTTTGCTTTTTGACTGCTGATACCCCTCAAGGTGTTGCTCAGGTGAGGCAGACCATTTTGGATGTGTGAAAGCATGTACGCAATTAAGTATTTAAAAAATGCTTGTATTTGAAGCACTTTTTTAAAAGGAGCGATCAAGTAATGCTGTGCTGTTTGGGCACTTTAGAGAGCCTACCACTAGTTGCCAACTGGAGATCGCTTTTTGGAATTTTTGAAAAAAAGGGGAAAGGAGCCAAAAAGGGAGAGAAAAGGGCATGCAATCATAGTGGGGAGAAGGCAGACAAATCAGTCCTGATATGAGGTCCAAGTCTAAGACCACTCATCCATTGAATGCACTGTGGACTGCTCACATGCCAACTCAGCTTGGCTTATTGGCAGGGTGAGTCATAACATGTGAACATGCCCATTATGTAACTACTAATGTGTTTGCAGCACTGTTCTCCACATGTTTACAGCCACACTTTCCTTACCTTCTTATCAGAACTCTCATCCTTTTCTCTGGATACCTTTTTGTGTTTTTTGGACATGTTGGCATGTCAATACCTAATAAAAGAAAACACAGCAGAGGAAAAACATTAGAATCCTATTCCCAATGTACTTATAAATTTTTCTATGGAATTACTATTTAAATAATGACTAGTTGGATCCAGTATGACTTCTAGTTTCCTGAAGCAGATCTTGATTTTAGTTTTACATTTCATAAAAGAACAGCCATGCTACGATATATTTAAGGCACACTCCCATGCTTGGTAAATGCTGTCTGGCCAGACACAGGAAAATCTGGAGTCCGAGCTCCAACCTCAGAAACGAACTCTCATGTCAGAGTTAGGACTCCGAAGGTGGAGCACTCTTCCCCTGCTTTCACAGCTGGCATGGTTCTTTCTGCATCAGTTGTGACTGCACAGTTGTAAGACCAACCTTGGATCCAGCAAGAGGAGTGAGCGTCTGCCAGACTACATCATACACACTGGCACTTCAGGTTGTCCTCACACACAGAGGCAGAAGACACAGATGGCCGAAACTTAACTGCCTAAGTTCCTTTTTGGGTGGGAGCGCCTGGCTCCCTCTATCCTTGAAAGGATGTCCCTACGCTGCGGACAGCCTCATTGGATTATGCCCTTAGCGTGTGAGGAAGGGAGCATGTAGGTGAGAAGCTGTCAGTACAATCCTTTACTTGTCTACCAGAAGTTGTCATAAACAGATTATGCCCAGATACATGGGTATAAAAGCTGGAACAAAATTAAGTACCTTCTGAAACTTGAGGAGTGCAACAAAAGTCTACCCAGCCAGCCAAGCTGAATAATAAAAACTTTTAGGTGCTATAATGCAGAGAGTTCTGAGCTATGAATGTGGAGGTGAAAGACGGGCAATTAACATCTAATCTATATGACTAATATCCGTCTAGATTATCATTCTGTTAATTGCTTTAACCTATTAACCATCATAACAACAAGCAAACCTGAAAAAAAACACCACCCAACCTCAAATTGGTTTTTTTGGTTACAAGGTAATGAATGGTGTCAGTTTTCTGATACTAGTTGGATCGCACTAAGCCACTGTCAGAAAAGATGTACCCCAGCCTAGCATTTCTCTTGCCCGGGTTCAACTAATTTTACTTCCCCATTGGCTTGGCTTGGCTTCCTTCTCTTCTCGCCTAGTCCAGATTACCCTTTGATAGCTTCTCCCCACAGCACCTTCCTCTGCAGCCACTTCCACTCCATGCCACCAAGGGACCTCCTCCACCGGGTTCTTTCCCAGTATTCCATGCCTTCTCTTACGGCGAAAGCAGACCAGTCACAACGGACTCTGATGTTGTTCTACCTAGTATTGCACAGTGTTACACCGTCCAGGAAATGCTGGAACACACACCTGATTGTAACACCATCAGCAATGCATGATGCAGCGGCAACACATTTCCATCTCTGCTGAAGCCAGTTGCCCGGATTAGCCAATTGCTTGCCCACAAGTGCTTCATCTTGAATTGGCCGGCCCGCCCCCCCCCCCCCGCCGCCCCATTTTTTTCCAGAAATGAAATACTTTCCTCTTCACTGTTCATGCAACTCTTTTTACAAATAGAAGTGCCTTGGGAGACCATGTTCCTTCAAAATTCATGCACACGCACAAAGACAGAGAGAGAGAATGACTTCAGAGCATTTGTATATTAGTATAAGCAAATTTGTGCTGTTTTGGTCCTGTAGGCCTGAGCTCCAGATCTTTTCCATACCTAGCACTGCCCCTGAACAGAAACTGTGACCATTCCAAAAGAAACCAGCAAATACTGACAGCAATCCCAAGTCATTACATGGATTAAGGAGTACTGCCCCTGTCTGTAAACTCAGACTTCGAAGACTGAATAAAGGAAAGTTGGTGGAAGGACAATGTTACATTTTTATACCACTTTCCAGATCACTGCATTCATTTCAATATATTAGAACATTACATTGTATTCATTCCCCGTCCTTTTTCCTCTTGTAAGGAACCCAAGCCAGCTTGCATAAGCCTCCTCCATTCCATTTTATGCTCACGACAACTCCATGTGTTAGGGTAGGCTGACAGTGAGTAACTGGCCCAAAGTCACCCGGTGAGCTTTATGGCTGAGTGGGGAATAGGACCTGGATCTCCCAGGGCCCAGTTCAACACTTTGACCACCACACTGGCTCCCGCCTCGTCCTCCAGTGTGGTAGGAAAAGCCACAAACCTCACAACTTTAAATAAAGTAGGGCCCGTTGGAAATGCTGGCCAACCCCAAAGCTGAACATACTTGCCCATCTTTGAATCAGTGTCCTTTCACACATGCTCAGAGTCCAGCCAGACTGTTGGAACCTGCTTGTGAGATGTTCCCACAACGTTCCACGGACATCTCGAAAGAGCACAACAAGCCATGAGGCCAAGTCACTGACCGCGCCGTGCAGGTCCCAGCCGGTCAAATCTTCCTGGCACCCACCTCCTTCTTTCCTGCAAAGTGTTCAGTCACGCTGGCCACCTCCAGGAGCTGGTCAAACCTCCTGAACCCCAAGCCCAGCCCACTGTTGATCTGCTGAGGAGTGCAGCTTTCTTGGGCTTTTTCTTTTCTTTTCCATCCCTTAGGACGCTGAGAGGAGTGGCTGCTAGGAGCAGGGGCTTTTCTGCAGCTGCTCCCCAAAATTGGAATGCTCTCCCCGAAGAGAGTCACCTGGCACCTTCCTTATACTCTTTTCGGTGCCAGGTGATGACCTTCCTTTTAAAAAAAAATACCTTTAAGAGTTGATGTCACTCAACCTTCTGATTTGTATTTTATTAATATTGCATTTTAAGTGTGCTTTTATCTTACAATTGTGAGCCACCCAGAGGTGCTGCGGCACAATTGGGCAGCACACACGTTTTAGGCAAATAAGCTAACAAACCCACAGAAGCGTTGTAAAGATCCGTGCGGGGCATTGCAGCCTGCCCGCTTCTCCCCACTGCTGCATCCCCCACAAGAGATTCCCCGCACAATCCCCAAGGGTTTCTTGCAGCGAGAGCCCCTGAATGCCCTGCGGCTCCCCTTGGGTGTAGCTTCCCCACACCCGTGCCTTCCAGATGCGCAGGACTACAAGCCCTATCATCCACCACCCTTGCTGACCACTGGGCCAGACCGCTGCCTGTTCCTCCCTCCCAACACAGAGATCGCGGCCCCTTTCCCGAGCTCTGCCCGCAACACACGCTTCGCCCCAGGGCCAGCCCGACTCTGGCCTTGCCCTTCCTTGGGGAGCGGGTGCTCCTCCTTGCTGGCCAGCCCCGCAGGCCCGGGCCGGCTCTGCGTGCCTTTAAATGCATACTTTCCCCCCACTTGTTTCCCCATTATTTTAAATGTCAATTCGTGTTTTTGCTTGGGGTTTAGTGAAGCGGCGCCATATTTATTTATGTACTGATTTCGCTGTGCTGCCGCCCCCAGACACAGGAACTTTAAATACGCAAATGCACACCCCCCGCTCCCGACTGCGCCCCCAGACCGGGTTCAACCCGCGGCAACCCCCCGCCCCGTTGAATGCCGTGGGACTTACTCCTGAGGAGACGCGTCGAGCGGCGCGGAGCGAACTTCAGGCGACGGAAGGGCCGCCGGCCCCGGAAAAGATGCAAACGAGCGGCCAGGGACGCAAGGCAAGAGTGCTCCTGAGCATGTCTTAACGGCAGGGACCTCCGCGCCCCGCTCTCTTCCTTCGGGCAGCCGAGCGGAGCATCTCCGAGGCCACGGAGCGGCCTGTCCAGACCCGGCGGTCGACCACCCACGAGCGCGGCGCCCGTACAGCCAGACCCCCTCCTTCAAAAGGCCCTTTCTAACTCTAGTAACGTTTGCCGTTGACCTCACTTCCGGCTTCCGCCCGCGCCGTGTCGCGCTGCATCCTGGGTAGCGTAGTTTTTCGGCCGCGCGGAGGCGCCTCGCCGCGGGGTTGGACTGCTGCGCCCGCTCCAGCCTGGAAAGGGCGGGAAGGGCCCCTCGAGGCGGCGGCGCTCTTCCTGGGGGCGAGACCGGAGAAGGGGCCGGCGTCGCTCGCCTCCGCTGCTGCGGGAAGATGGCGGCCGAGGAAGCGGCGGTGCTGATATCGCCCCCGCCGCCTCCCTCCCCGGAGGGGGGACCCTTGGAAGACGGGGAGGGGGAGGAAGAAGAGGAGGAGGAGGAGGAGGAAGAGGAGGAAGAAGCGGAGCTCAGTAAGGAGGGGGAAGGGGCCCGGTGGGGGGGGGGTTGCCTCGGCTGCGCGCGGGTCCGCTTCAGAGCAACCTTTCCCGGCCAGGGGGCGCGTTCAGACGTTGCGTGTCTGGGTCGGGGTTGCGTGCGCCTCTTCCTCTAGCGGTGGGTGCGAGTCTGTGGTGCGTGTGCTTGGAGTTAAAATCGGGACGGTTACGTTTTAGGGTTGCTCCGTTTAGGGACCACCTCCCTGGAGGGGTAATAAAATCGTGGCGCCTCCAGCCCGGGCGGAGGCAAGTCGGTCGTGCCGGGCTCGGGGACTGCCGCAGGGGCGCGACGGGCAGCCTCGCTCGCGGGCAGGGCCGCTCCGTGCGTGCGGAGCGACTGAATGCAGCGGCTGCACCTTTGCATTCTCGCAGAGGATGGGCTAATCGCAGGGGCGGCAGTGGTAGCCCTGAGGGGATCGATTGAATCAAGCACCAAAAAAGGAATATAGGAATGAAGGCATAATTTTTCTATTAGCATTGCATTGCATTGCGTTTATGCCCTGGCATTTGTCTTTTTGCAAGGAGCCCAAAGCTCGCCTCTTTCCATTTTTATTCTCAGAACAGTCCTGTGAGGTAGGCTAGGCTGAAAGCCTGTGGCCAGCTGAACGTCACCCAGTGAATTTCTTGAGCGAGTGGAGACTACAGAGTCTTCCAGAAACCCTGACAAAATAAGCACAAAAATTAAGGGAAGTCCAATATGTTCTGCTTTTTAATCTCTTCTTGTGATGAATTATTAGCTGCTGTTACGGGCCATCAACATATGGAGTCCCTTTGAATGCCCTGCTCTTTACAGATCTGCTCTGCTCTTGCAAACTCAAGTTCCTTTATGGACTTGATCCATCTCCTAGTTGATTTTCATTTTCTGCCTTCCACTAGCGTGATTGACTTTTCCAGTGAGTCTTCCCTTCTCTGGATGTGCCCAAAATATGTGAGGCATTCCTGACTTCTGTATAGGAAACATTCCAAATGCAGGTTTTGAGAGTTACCTTTACTGATGCCTTCTCTGCTGAGAAAAAGGTACAGTGGTACCTTGGCTCACGAACTTAATCTGTTCCAGGACTCTGGTCATGACCCAAATTGGTCGTGAGCCAAGTCAAATTCCCCCATAAGGTTCATTGTAAATAAGGTTAATCCGTTCTGTAACCATTTTTAAATCAGAAAAATGTGGAGCAAAGTGACAAAGAACAACAAAGATTGGGGCCATCTCCCCCCCCTCCACCCCAAGCACAAGCGCAGCCATCTCCCCGCCCCCCCAGCACAACCACAATTGCGCCCGTCATCCCGGCACATGGGGTGGGGGAGATGGGCGCGACCGCGGGCACACTGAGGGGGAGAGAGACGGGTGCGAACAGGGAACACTGGGGGAGGGAGAGACAGGTGTGATCTCGGCCATCTCCCCCCCCCCCCCCCCCCCCCCCCGACCGCGGCCGTCTCCCCCCGGGAGCCGGGGGGGGGGGGGGGGGGGGGGGGACCCCCCCCCCCCCCCCCCCCCCCCGCCCCCAGCACGATCGTGGCTATCTCCCCATGAGTGCTGGGGGCAGGGGGGGATGGCCGAGATCACGCGCATCTTTCCTGCAGGAGTGATCACGCACGTCTTCCCTGCACGAACGCAACTGCAGTCGTGGCCATCTCCTCACTCGGGGGCCGGAGGGGAGATGGTCGCAATTGCGGTCACCACCCAATGCGGAGTTCACGACCCACGTCGAAATTTTCATGAAATTTTTGTTCACAACCCGATTTGGTCGTGAACCCAGGCGTTTGTGAGCCGAGGTACCACTGTACTTGCCTTCTCAAAAATTCTCTTATTTCTTATGCAGCAAAGTTAGCTCCTACCTCTTTACCCTGCAGATGAAATAGCCATGTACAAGCCTACAGACCAACTGCTTCTGGTCTTGTGCACAGTAGATGCCTCTTTACTTGGGAGAGCAGCAGGTTTGATTTAAAGATGTATCAGCAAAGTGACTCAAGCACATGGAGAATATTTTTTTCTTGGCAAAGAGAATTTCCCTGTTCGCCCAATGGGAGAGCAGACAGACAAATCAATGTGAGGTCAGTTTCCTTGAGCCTGTGCAAAATGCCTGCCCTTTGGTGAACAATGTGTTCATTTTAAATGAGCCCTTACAGAAGGCGATTGCAGTAAACATTCTTTTTGGCCTTACCTGGCTGTGCAACTGGCCAAGAGGATGAAATTTTGGCACGTATATTGGGGGGGAAATTTACTGAAGAATGCCGGATATCACTGGTCCAAGAAATCACACACTAGTGGGGAATATCGTGCATGGACACATGTATTAGGAGGGAAAGATAGACCATATAAAATATTTTCAATAACACAGACATTTTTTTCAGATGTAAACAGGTGTCACAAACAGCAGCAACAAATGAGACTTTTTTTTCTCTTGTTAATCACGTTGATTGAACTGGCGGCAGTAGTGCAGATGTGTCAGCAATTAACTTATTCTAGATAAACTTGAGTATATATTCCTTCTGGGATGTAATTTGGATGAAGAAGTTTAGGGTTGCTTCTTCTTTAGGCCCATTTCTGAAACTGAATTTGATAGTGCTTTTGCTGTTAGGATTCAATGTGATGAATAAGGGAAGATTAGAAGACTTACAAGTATTACAATTAATCTATTTTGGAATCTCCTTCTGGATACACACATTAATGTGGTGAGAGGTTTTGAGAGCATCACAAATGCTGAGAGCAACACTGCCAGGAGGCCAGACTGTCTCACTAGGCTGGCCAGGAGCAGCACCAAACCTTAATTCCTCGCAGAACATAAGTGCTGTGTAAAATTAATAATAGGGATGCAGGTGGCGCAGTGGTTTAAACCGCTGTGCTGCTGGGCTGGTTGATCAAAAGGTCGCCGGTTTGAATGTGCACAACGGGATGAGTTCCCATTGCTCCGTCCCAGCTCCTACCAACCTTGCAGTTCGAAAGCATGCAAATGCAAGCAGATAAACAGGTACCACTTCCGTGGGAAGGTAACAGCGTTCCGTGCACTTCAGTGTTTAGTCATGCCAGCCACATGACCACCGAGACCTGCGGACAAGCGCTGGCTCCCTCAGCCAGGAAACAGAGATGAGCATCGCCCCCTAGAGTCAGGCATGACTGGACTTAACGTCATTATTTTACCTTTAAAAATAATAATGCTCTCTGAAATTGTTAGTACATTTACACTTACATGCACATAGTTCCTGCTTCTATCTAATATGTTCTGTCCAACTGTTGGACCAAACTTTTCTTGATAAATATCTCAGTAATAAAGAAAGCCATGTATGCCCATGCTTGGGGAATAAATCTCACATACAAACAAATCTAGTAAGTATCATCAGCAATAGGTCAAAAGCAAACATTTATTTATTACATTTATATCTTGCCTTTTTCCTTCCAAGGCAGCTTATACAATTCTCCGCCTCTCAATCTTATCCTCACAATAACAACCCTGTGAGGTAGGCTGGGCTGAGAGTCTGCAGCTGGCCCAAAGTCACCCAGGTGGCGGCATGGCTGAGCCTGGGAACTAGAACCCAGATCTCCTGGGTCCCGGTCCCACACTCCTAACCACGACACCACACTGAACGTTGGTACTGAGAACCTTTTCAGCTGGGCCTCCTTGACTTGCCCGACCCACTGATTGCCTTACCTTTGATATGTCTGAGAGGAACCCCTAGTTCTTACCCTGCGTTTTCATTCTGTATCACAATAACCATACATTTCAGCCTGCTACTCTGGTTTTTCCTCTTTCTCCAGATAGCATGGATGGCTCTGGGAAAAAAGAAGTCCCCAGACCAGATGTGGAAATAATAGAAGAAGTAAAAACCAAAAAGGAAGAAATGAAGCAAGAGTGTATACAAGAGCCGAACAGTGTCCTGTTGGATGCATCATCTGAATCCCCAAGAGGTTTGTCAACATAAGGCAGAAATGTGTGACTACACATGCATTCTTTCAGATTTGAGCAAGTGCTTGGAAGGATGCAAGTTACTCCTTCTTACGTAGATTCTCGAGATAGGGATTCGTTAGGGGATGGATGTGGTGATGCAGAATTGTTTAGGAGGAGAATATTAACGATTACCTATAGAACTCTACAAAACAACAAACAACTGGAACATTAATTGAATTTATAAATTGAAATCTACTTAAATAATGCATTGTTTTGTTCTAGAGAAACATATTTCAATTCAGAGGACACTTGCTGATTTAGAGAAACTGGCTGATCTGAAGGAAGGTTGCCTGATCCCAGCAGGTACCCAGAATACAGACCAACAAGTGGCAGGTATTTAAATTCACACAAGAGTGGAGTTGTGGTGTTAGAAGTGCTTGTGATCTGACAACTACAGTGAAGAACCTGGTTGCCTGGCGGGAGAGAAATGCATATTGTTGATCTCTGCCTGGGTGCTGGGGAAGACCCATGCCTTGGCAATATGTTTTGAGCTGTAATTAGAGATGTATGTGCTTGAGCCATGGCAGATGGTGTAGAGGCTGGTGAATAAAAGGATTCAATGAAAAAGTGGGAAAGGCAAATGTAACTCCCTGTGGGGTCCACACACCTAGCTTTAAACTTGCAGTTCTTGAAGAACTTCTTTGAAAGGCTAAGAATATTGTCTTTGAAGCTTCAGATAGTCTCCTGATGTGATTTGAAAACAAGAGGCTGTGCTATCACATATCTCCTCCGTTTGATCTATGTTTCTTTAAAAGATGGCAAGAAGTCTTGTCCACTGTGTCCTGAAGAGAAGTTCAAAGCTTGTTACGGACATAAGCTCCATCGCCACCTTCAGAATCTGCACTGGAAAGTTTCAGTTGAATTCGAAGGTAAAGATGGCTACCCACCCCATTGCTGATGCCAGTAGTTTTCCTTGCCTAGTGCTTCAAGTTGCCAGACAAAAGCCATAATCATGGAAGAACCTAATTATAAATTATGGCAATTTTAAGGTTTTAGCTCAAGTAATAAAGTCATTCCATGTAGCTAAAACACTTGATACAGAAGCAGCGGTGGAGAGCTTAAAATAATGGTCCCTCAAGAAGAGCGTGTGCTGTTTTGGGCACATCTGTGCTGTGTCTGCATCAGACGGTCAGATGATCAAGGACCTTTCTTCATTCCAGGCTACAGGATGTGCATCTGCCACTTACCTTGTCACCCTGTGAAACCAAACGTTGCTGGAGATCAGGTAACATGTTCAGTCACAGAAATCCTTTTTTTCAGAAGCAGAAATAGTTCTGAGCTAGTTTAGTCTTCTGTGTGCGATGTTTTCATCTTTAGTTGTTGAGCTTGCGCTCTCTGGTTACCTGACATGGTGGATGCTCCTTTCAGACCTCCTTTTCAATCCCCTTTTCACCATCAGGTTAATAGAGGAGATGGAGGACTCACTGAATATGTAGCCACGAATATAATATTCATGCTTAAATGTTGTATTTTCTTTGACCTGGTGGGGTGACAGCATGGCCCCTTATCATTTGGCAGTATTTTAATGTTATAAGAGAGCACTTCAAAATAAGCCAACCTTAATAGGGTACTATGAATCAACTCACTTACCTGCCTTTTGCAAATTAATTACATATCTTTCATGTCACTCATATTATTTATTTATGTCATTTTATGCCACTTTGTAGTCAAAGCTCTCTAGGCAGTTTACAGCAATGTATAAAACAATTCAATACAAATAACATAAAACAACAATGTTTAAAGAATTTGAAATTAATTTAAGGTAGCTTAAAATACATTGAAATACAATATAAAGATCCAGCAGGAATAAAGGTGTTAGGATAAATCCCCTCATACCCCTGGATGAGCAAGGAGATCTTCAAAGGCCTCTGCACAGAGGACTGTCTTGACCTGGTACCGAAAAGATGGCGCATTTGGCATCAGGGAGGCTGCAGAGTGAGGTTGTTCCAAAGATGGGGAGCCACCCCCTTAGTTGCTACCCTCTGAGCGTCTTGAGGGCTTTGGACTTTAGATTATATTCCTGCCTTGACCGAACATATGTATTTTGGATATGGTGTAATACTAATTCAGAATTAGGTGGAAAGTGAGGCATTAACAGAGGACTGAAAAGGCTAATTGGCGGATAAGCGTAGATGGCACGGCGCCTCCTTTTACTCTGCACAGCTGCGTTTGGGTAATTTATTTATTTATTTAAAACTTTTCTAGACCATCCCTGGCCGTCATCTCAGGATAGCTTAACAATAAGACAAAATAAAACACAGCGTTGAATAAAATAAAGCACAGCATCTGATAAGGCTGACAGGAAGATCATATGTAGCCAATTCTGCTCCATTTTCTTCTGTGGGAGTGGGATCTGGACCACAGATGACACAAAGATGCATCGAGAGCTCACGGGGCCTGAGGAATAGCACACCAGACAGACCACATTTTTGGTTCTGAGGCTGAAACGGTCAATGTGCCTCCTAAACAAAATGAAGTATCTAAAACTTAGTATTTGACACAACAGCAAAATACACATTTGAGAAAGTGCCCCATGGTATTCTGTTTGAGCAAGCTAGTCGGGCTCAGCCGCATCCTGCTGGGTGTACATGCACTTGGCTACAGAAGCATACCCAGAACCTGTGTTCTTGCTTGAATTGGAGGGAGGGATGCTGCTTGGTCTGGTACTTGTCAACATTTTTATTAATGGCTTGGAGGGAAAGGTAGAGACAATAGTGGAAGTGAGTACTTGTGGAGTTGTTACACTGGTATTAATGAAAGTCTTGTAGGTCTTTGGGGGTCAATAAGCCCCCCCTTAAGCACTGATGCAAGTGATCAGAGGGTAACTTTCAGTAAGTTCTATTGCTAAACTCAAGGATCAAAATTTGATTTTCTCGGTAGCCTCAATGATACCTTTTTTATTTGGATCCTTACTATTTTTGTTATATTACAAGATGTGGTATAATCATATCAGAAGTCTTCTCTGCTAAATTTTAAATCTGTGGGCAATTTGTGTTCTAGGTCATAAAGATGGGGGCTCATTATCACTGCATTATCTGTTCAGCAACAATTACTCGAAGGACTGATATGATTGGGCATATTAAGCGCCATGTCAATAAAGGGGAAACAGAATCAAGGTTTATTCCAGGTACGTTTGTGAATATTCCTGTTGCTTCTGCCAGATGATGTTTTATTCTGATCACTGGATGGGTAGAGTTTGTGATGAACAGTAGAATGAATGGAACTGTGTGTGAATTCATATTCCTTCCAGTCCGCAAGGACTTCCCATCATCTGTCATACCATTTAAAGGCATTTTTCTATATATTTCAATATGAGTTTATTTGTCTAAACACAATAAATTGTATTATTAAAATGGTGCATCATAAATTCTGCCATATTAGCATTATGATAAACTCCTGCATATAAGGCAGAACATGTAAATTTAGCTGACCTGGAGAAAGAAAGGTCGTAGAAGGGATCTTTTTACTTGAATACAAAGATCCCTGGAGTATCACTGCATTTTTTGTCCTTTTGGGACTCAGAAATTTGGATTATCAAACCATATTTTCAAAGGTGACCAGTTTCTGAAAGTTCAGTGGCAGCATTTTGCTATACGATTAGATCTGGCTTCCTTTTTCAGATAAGGAAGGATAAAATAATGTGATTGAATCCAAACACAACTCTCAGAGACCTTCTGTGAAATGTTCTGTGTTTACTGTAGATCTAATGATCTTGATGATTCTTGAACTTCATAGAAGATGCAAATGCCCATAGGTCCAGTTCAGACAAGCATCAGAGCCAAGTAATCCCTCAGTCCCTCCCTTCACATGCCACTTCCTAGCTTTGTTCCTGACTTGAACTAAGCCAGAGTTCCCTGTTATGTCCAAATTGAGTAGCTTGATTTAAAGTCAGTTAACATGCTGGGATAATAAGCCAGGATCTCATCCATAGTTTATAAAGCCTTGAGAGATCATCTGAACTGGGCAGTAGTCTCCCTAATCCTTTCACTCTGAAAATCACTTTTAGCCCCGGCTCCGAAGTCTACGTATGAAGTACTGAAAGAGGCAGATACAGATGTACAAGTCCTCCCTAACTATTCTACACCTCAGAAAACAGATTCCTATTTTAATCCCAAAATGAAACTCAACAGGTAAGAATTTATGGCATTGTTTGGAGAGGGGTTTTACATATACAGTGGTACCTCGGCTCACGAACGCCTCAGTTCACAACCAAATCGGGTTGCGAACAGAACTTTCATAAAAATTTTGCTGCAGGACGCGAACTCCGCATTGGGTGACGATCGCGAGCGCACCCGCCTTCCCTGCACAGATGCAATCGTGGTTGTGCTGGGGGGTGGGGAGATGGCCGTGTTCGTGCTGCGGGGGGGAGATGGCCACGATTGTGCCCGTGTTCCCCGCCTGAGCGCGCCCGTGCCCGCCTCCCCGCCCACCTCCCCACCCCATGCTCCCACGCCTGCCTCCCCCCCCCAGGGCCCCCCCAAACCCCCCCGGCCCCCCCCCCCCCCCGCTGCACAATCGCTGGAGGGGAGATGGCTGTGATCTTTGCTGTTCTTTGTCACTTTGCTTCAAATTTTTGTGAGTAAAAAAAAAATAGTTGCAGAACAGATGAACCTTATTTACATCGACCCTTACAGGGAAATTTGACTTGGCTCATGACCAATTTGGCTCACGACCAGAGTCCTGGAATGGATTAAGTACGTGAGCCAAGGTACCACTGTAGTTTTATGATAAAAGTTAACATTAAGCTAGTAGTCAAGCCCAGTCAGCAAACCCACTGCTGACCTAGGATTTGAAGCAATATAAAAATAAATCCCGGTCAGATGGACCACACTGTGGAAGTGGGCTCACCCATCAGAAACTACTGCTCACTGTAGCTTGACACTGGGAACTTTTAAGCCCTACCAAAAGTGTTAGAACTCGGCAACTTCCAGGTACACCTAAATAAGGCACATTTTAATCACAGGAAAAAAGCCCCCCTTAATCTGTAGTTTGTTTGTTTGGTCGAAGCTGCCCTTAAATTGAAACTTGCAAGAATGTGAAGTTTGCATTTATTTTAAGTAAAGTATTTTTTGCTTCTCCTTTTAGGCAACTTATAGTCTGTGCTTTAGCTGTCCTGGCTGAGGAACGGAAGCCTTTGAAATGCCTGGATGCATTTGGAGCCACTGGTAATCTCGCTGTTTGGTGCTTTGACACCCTTCACATAACTTGGAAAGGGAAAAGGTGCACCTCGGCCACAATTCTAAGCACATTTACTACGGAGCAGGTCCACTGAGGTCCGTGGGATCTGTTTCTGCGTAAACGTGCTTAGGATTGGATTGCTGTCCTGTTTGTTGCTCTGGTATTCCAGGTACGGGGAAGAAGGATGTTCCTCTTAGAAACACACACCTACTCAGTGTGGAATTTCTGAAATTCCTGTTCGTGTGATGTTCATAGTGTGGATCGGTATCTGACCATTTCTGAGAGGAATTGGCAATCTTTGCATAAGAGACGAATGTTCTGAACCTGAGCTGCTTTCTCTGGAGCAGCAAGACCTGCCAGACCAGCCCACTTCTGACGGAGCACGTGTCTTTCCTTCCAGGTATAATGGGGCTGCAGTGGGCAAAGCATCTCGGAAGTTCCGTGAAGGTCACCATTAATGACTACAATCAAAATTCCGTGACAATGATACAGGAGAATTGTCATTTAAACAAGATGAAAGTGGTGATGAACATCAAGGAGGAGGAGGACTGTGAGGAAGCCGTGGAAGAAGGGGAAGCGAACGTGCCCACGATCGAGGTGACTCAAATGGACGCCAACGTCATCATGCACTTGCGGGCGTTTGATTTCATGTAAGTGGCATCCCTTGCTTGAATCAGCACTCTCCCCCCACCCAGCCCTGAAGCAGCACTGGGGGATAGCTCAAAACGCGGAACATCTAAAATGGGAGTGCCCAAGATTTGCAGGGTAAACCAACCAATCTTTTGTCCGGCATATCCTATTTGCCCTCCACTGATGAAATGTGCTACATGATTAATTAACCTAATGAGCTAATCTCCACTGTAGAGCATTCAGCAGCATGTTAGTGCACCTTAGCAGGACTTTGAGATGCTTCTGGTGCATATGGTACACTTTAAACCAAAGTGTATAAGTTCTTATAATATTTAAAAAGTGAGAGCAACATACATGCTACTGAAACTTTTAAAGCTGGGAATAATGCCTGGTGGAATCCCCACGTAACTCAAGCAAAGATTCTGCTAAGAGAAAATATGTGAAATTGATTGCTTAATATACATTCATTTCTCTTCTCTTTCACCTGTGTGAGGTGTCAAAACAAGGTGTGTGTGGCCAGGGTGGGGGTGGGGGCTCTTAAAAGTGTCCTGGGCTGGAGAAGGGTTAGTTTATACCAGGGCTGAGCAGACTTCAGTTTTGCTGAATCTATTTTGTTACTGAATTCCCAAGATATACCAATCAGAGCCAGCTGGAAAAGAAAAATGTTTGGAATTCACTAAAGGAATGCCTCCGAGCACATTTCTAAGCCAGGGAATGTTCATTAGCAGAACTGAGCTGACTTCACAGTCACGCAAAAGTCCGTGCATTGTTACTTCGAGTTTATTCATTTCAGGAGAGCATCATTTGGATAGACAAAGCCACTTTTTAATTCCTAGTGCTAAAATAGCAGGAGTTAGACAACCTGGCTGTTTAATGACGAATCAGCCAGAGATCTTCCAATAGATCCCAAGATGCCTTTTGTTCACTCTGGTTTGCAGTACAGAATGGCTGTCCTCTGGGTATGAAGAAGGGACGATTCCTTTGTTTAAGGGTGTGAGTGTTGACTTGCAGTTGGGATTCATTGTGAGCTTGCAAATCCCACAAATCATTCCTGATTTCTGTCTGGGAGCTGCTGGCAGAATGTTTTTCCCCAACCTCATGTTCATAAGGTTTTCAGCCTTTTCCAAGGCAGTTACCGGGTCAGGGTCAGGGTTAGAACCATGCTTGTGTACCAGCATAGAAACACTACAAAAAAATGGCCTACCTCACCAAAGAAACTTTGTGTAGGAGAGCTGTTGTTATTCTGAACATTTCTCAAGTTAAACGCATTCGCCCTTGTAACAAACAGCAGTGGGCATGAGAACCCCACCATCTTGAGTATCAAGCAAGGGCAAAGGTGCAATTTTTATTTATTTTTTTGTATTTATATGTGGGATTTTAATGATTGTAGGCTGCCCCGAAGCTTATGCGAAGGGGGTGGCATATAAGCTGTCTAAATAAATAAATAAAAATTTTCTACCTGACCCCTTACCACCACTCAGGATCAGGATTGCTCTTGGGAGAAGCAGGATTTAAACTCTCTCCCCCCCCCCCGCCCCCCGTGATCCCATACCCTGATCTCAGCTGACAGGCAGCTGAAACCTGTCAGGAGAAGAATGAACACGGGTCTACACGCAGCTCCCAGCCCCCACAGCCAAAAACTTGCCCACTCTTCTTCTAAAGTTAGGTGAGCGAGGCAAGAGTGAGAACCACATTCCATCCTCTTAGCACTGAAGTTCTGTCTCTAACCTTTGAATCTTTTTATTCTCCATCCTTCCCCAGAATATCTGGCTTGAGTTTAACCAGACATTTTGTACCTTTGAGCAGTGTTTCCATTCATAAATGAAATTAGAGTGAATTTCACCTGCTGTTTTGGAATATTTCTAGCCTTGCCTGAACCTGGATATTTTGTGAAACTTTCTAAAGTGCTGAGATGTAGTTAATACGACCACATGGTTTTATTTCTGAAGTATGGACATGACTTTTTTTGATCAGAAACATTAAAAGACAGCAACTGATGTTGCAAATGTAAGCAGACTTCCTTGGAAATTAATCCTGCTGAGCTCAGTGCAAACTATTTCTGGGTAAACAAGGTTAGGATTGTGCCATAAATCCCCCACTGTTCTCTCTGCCATACTGCCTAACAGACACTTGGACCCATTTGGATCATCAGTGAATTATCTAGACGCGGCTTTCAGAAATGTACGAAACCTCGGAATTGTGTCAGTGACCTCTACAGATATCAGCTCTCTCTATTCGAAGGCCCAGCACGTTGCCCAGCGTCACTACGGATGCAACATTGTCAGGACGGAGTACTTCAGGGAACTGGCTGCCCGGATGGTAATTGCCGCTGTGGCGAGGTACGCACATTTGTCTCAAATTTTATATGATCAGCTTGCAAGCCTTTTCCTTCGTTGCCAACTGAAATTCAGCTGGGGACTGTGGGAATGTGGTTCATTGAATTTTGCTCTCCAAAGAGCTTCAGAAATCAGAACCTGAAGTGTCAAAATGGCACAGGCAAAAATCGGTTCAAAGGTGACCTGCAAACTTTTGACCTACCAGAGCAGAATGCAGACCACCAGCCATGTGCTAAGAGCAAGGCACTGAGTGGGCAGAAAGAATAAGAATTCACAGTGATGAAAATAAACCGTTTGCATGCAGCTTTTGCGGCTGCAGCTTGTGCAGAAGTAGGGGATGGAAACGCAGCAGGTAGGGGGAGATTTCTGCTTCTGAGGTTACCTCATTTAAATCGCCTGTGTCCTGTCAACTATAAAGAAAAACTTCAGGAAATGTAAAGTAGAGAAACCAGAAGAGTCATTCCATGGCTAAGCCGGAACTGGAACTGGTTATGAATGTTGGAGCTAGACTGGCAATTGGTATTATCCTTGAGAATTAATCCAGTGGTGTTATGATAGCAAAGTGTGTTAGATTTCAAGGAAGATGCTAAGGCTGGAAAGCCATGCCCAGAAATTTGTGGGATTAGCATGCTGGAATTGCAAGACTTGACAGTCTGTTACAGGCATTCAGAAATCAGAGGAAGTTACAGCTAAACTTGTGGGTGAAGCTGGGAATGCAGGAGGAGTTCATTGTTTTCTGCTAATGACCGTGCGTCCTTTTTGCAGGGCTGCCGCTCGATGCAACAAAGGCATTGAAGTTTTGCTTGCAGTGGCTCTGGAACATTTTGTCCTAGTGCAGGTGAGGGTGTTGAGGGGACCTTCTCCAGCAGACGATACGGTCAAGAAAATTCGGTACCTAATCCACTGTCAGTGGTGTGAAGAGAGGGTATTCAAGAAAGAGGGCAACATGATAGAAGGTAACTTTAGAACTTCACATGGGGATCCGCAAGGTTCAGTTGATGAGAATGCTGCAGTCCTTGTATGCTGTCTGCTCAAAAATATAACTTTTTATCCACTTAAATCACAATTTTAGACAAGTTTTGAGAGAAAAAAGGCCTTCAGCTCAAAGCATGTCCCAACCAATACAAAACTATAAACCTTTTTCTTTTGGAACACATAGAAAATTGTTCCTTTAACCGCTTATACCACAGAATTTTGGGGCAGTATAGTTAACAATAATCTAGTCGTAAATCTTTTATTTAAAAGATGTTCAATAATAATTTTCAATAACGTTCAAACATTTTGACGATGTTTATGTGATATGCCTAGCTTTGTTTTTCATGAGCATACCCTATTGAGTTTCAGGTTTGTATTACATTCATGCTTTAACAGATGCACACTAGGCTGAGGTATTCTCTTGGAAAATAAATTCTTGCCCGGCTTTGTCAACAGAGAACCCCTATCGGCAGCTCCCGTGTGACTGTTACAGCCGCATGACAGGCAAGACAGCGAATGAACTTGGTCCTCTGTGGTACGTCTGTTTCTTCCCTCTCCAACAGGCAGGCTCATCGCTAAGCAGGCACTCGCACTGGCGACGTAGGCGGGAACTGCTTTCCGACAACCACTTTTCTGCCTTGACCTCAGCCTGGAGTGGAGCCCATTCCAGTAGGGATGCGCGAGGCATTGATTTTGTGCAGAAAATCCATCAGGTTCCCTGTTTCTGGCTTCCTGGGTTCCAGCCTGCTTTGCAGTGGGCAAGAGTCTGAATTCCCGGTGAGCATGTCCAGCCTTCGCCGGGTGGTCCCCAGGAACTGAGCCCCACGGACTGGGCAAACAGCCCCATTCATTCATGCCCGCTGCTGCCACCGGCGGCAGCAAGTGGGGAAGAAGGTTGGCTGCCAGGAATGGTGGCTCACGCTTCCTTCTTTCACATCCTGCAGCCACTCCCGATCATAGAATAGTGGAGTTGGAAGGGACCATGAAGGCTATCCGTCCACCCCCCCCCCCCTGCTGTTGCAGGACACCACGTTACACCATCCCACTCGGAGGGCTGTCCAGTTTCTTTCTGAATGTCTCCAGTGTGATGCGGATGGTGGTTGGTTGTCCAGAGGTCCGTGAGCATTCAGACTTCCTCTGGGCTCAGCTTGCTTTGCAGGACCGGGCCAAGCGTGGGAAGTGGTCCACACATTCTGGAGGGATGGATTCTGCTGTCCTCCACAATCCCAACAAAATGGGATTAGCGTGGCCCTCAGAGCTAGCTGAAATGTTTCCCAGGTTTGTTAAATAACACAAACATATGATTGATTGTTCAACAGTGAGGGGGTTAGTTGTGCAGTTTTCCATTAAAAATGCATTTATCTTACAATGGTCCTCTGAAGTAAATCAGTCCTCAAGGTTAATTCTCTTTCGAGCCAGGAGTGCCGTCATGCAAAAAAAACCTGTTAGCTTATTGGGGTATAGCCAACTCCATCATTTTCTCAGTTTACAATCTCACATTTGGGAGACTGCCCAGTGTAAAAGCCCCACGACCTTTCAAACTCAGAGAATTGCAGGGATCCCGTGGAAGGTGGGAAGCACACGGGGACAAGAGTTACTTCTGTGCTTCCCTCCCCTTCCAAAAGCTTACGTATCGAAGTCTCTGTTTTTTTCATCATGGTGATGAAAGGGTTTCTCCGAGGACAGCGGTGCCCCCTTGCTTCTGGATCTGAAACCCTATTTCCAACTTCAGGGCCACAGCCAGCATGGAAAGATCATGCTGTCATCAAAAACAGTGGGAGAGCACCAAATTTGGACCACCTTCCATTTATCTTGCAGCTGTCCATACAACATCTAGCAGCTCAGGATACAACCCTGTGGCCTTCCATCATTGTCTGCCCCACCCCCTTGTGGCTAGCACAGGACAAACCAGGCTAGCTGCCTTTCTGAGCCTAGAAGGCAACCTCAGAGGGCTTGAAGGCATTGTGGAGTGGAGGCAGCCAGGGCTGATGGCTCATATCCAAACAGCACCCCAGCCTCCCTTCCTCCGGACTTCATCTAGCTGGCTAAACAAAGCTGTGGAGATGAAACATGGGGACCAAGGTACAGGGCAGCAACGATGGGCGCTTTGGTGCCCTGAACCCTGCATTGGATGCACAGAAGCCTCTATTGTCAGAAGCTTGCATGTCCCAAAGTGGCAGACTAAAGACTGCATCTTTAGTCACTTAAGACAAATCATTCCAGGAGGCCACGAGACAAACAGCTGTTGTGCTAGGCTGTACTTTTGGAGTGCAGTATTAATAATGCTAAATTATTAATGATTTTTATGCTCCAAGTCTTTTTGAGATCAGTCACTGACTGTTTTCAACAAGATCTTTAATTCGATTGCACATGGGTATCCTCCGGGTAAATGTGTGGGAGTTAAGACACAGAATAAGCACTATGTATATAAACTAGCATGGTTGGTGCAAGTGAAAAAATATCAAAAATATCACTTTTCTGGCTAAAGCATTTGGGGCTTTTTAATGCAACATCATCTTGAAATGGGGGCAGGGGTATAATGCAGTTTTCCTAAGGAGGTCTCTATCTTCTGAGAAGATTTGGTAAGCGAAGCTATGCCTGATGTATACAGGCATTCCGTTTAGCAAGTAAGATCTCTTGAGATTCAAATCATCAGAGGACGAAGGGAATCCTTGTTCCTGAGGTAAGCTTCAGGTTTGCAGACTGTGACTTACTGTGGGCCAGTGCTGGATCTATACCAATTGTGTGTACACTGTGTGCTTGTCATACCAAAATGATCAGAAGCAGTGGGCTTGTTTTATTTCATTACTAATCACTGGAACAACCATGTAGTTTTTTGTATTTTTTTAAACAATTGTTTAATTACTTCGGAACAGGCTGATCCTTTCCAAATGCTGTGTCAGCTGCTTTAACCCCCCCCCAACACACACACACACACACACACACACACCTAGCAGGTTCTTATTTCTCAGAACTAAATCAAACTTTAAAATCATATTTCTGTAGATGGTGCAGTTCTGTTATCTTCCAGGTCAGGATCCCTCTTCAACACTGGGTTTCTCAGAAGAATGTTGTTTGAAGCAGTCCAGTATGGTTTAGAAGACATCCAGACGCTTCTAAAAACACTAATCTGTGAAGCGGAGTGCACAACACTGAAGCAGTTTTCAATCCATGGGCCTAGCAGCCAGAACAAACAAGGTGAGATGACAGCTACAAGTGTTACAAAATTTTGTTGGTTAAAAGGAAGCAGCAAGAGAATTTCAAGCTGTAATGGAAGTCAGCTTAGTATGGAAACCCAAGGAGGGATTGCTTTTAAACTCACTAACCTGTTATGGAAGAATATTGCTAATCTGTAGGATACTTATGATTTTCACATATGCAGTCATTCTTCATATCTAATCTTGTCCAAATGGGCTTTAGCTATGATGAAAAAGCATTGGCCTGCCTTTGGCAGAAAGAAACGTTGGCCTGTCTCCTATAGCAGTGAGACATTTCCTGTCCACCAGTCCTTTATTCTGCCTGATAGCCAACCTTTCCCTTGAGCAACTTTTGTCTTCTGTGGAAGGTATCATAGGCATGAAGCACCATATTATTGAATAATAAGGCAAGTTTGCAAGCAATCTGATACATCAGAGAACCATTTCTATAAACCTCATCTTGTCGAACTGTTTGTGTCAGAAAGAATCTACCCTTTCAGAATTTTGTAGGATAATGTTCCATCATGCATTGCCACAGAACTTTGTAAGCAAAAAGCACAGCCTGGTTCATGAGTGGGTTTGCCCGGATTGGGTACTTCAAAGACTTAGGAATGTGAGAGGTTTCCTGTATATGTGGGTAGAGATGGTTCCTGATATCTAAAATAGCAAGTGTTCCCAGCTGCAGGATCTGATAAACTATATCAGCCAAACAGACACGAATTCACAGCATCAGACTGCTTGATGACAAGTGACATGCAATGTGTGAACATACGGTATATAACCAGACAACCAAACGGCAACCAAGTGTGTGAGTGCCGTAAAAGGCCATTCCCGAGGCCTAAGGGTTCAGCATGTGCTTCAGTGTCCTGACAAGCTGAAACAGTCACGTAGCTCTCCTTCCTAACCCTATTGCTATAAATGTTATCCCATTTACTTAAATTTTTCTTCTAAACTTATTTTCCTACAATGACCAAAATGTAATTCCAATTTTCTTGTATTTTAGAGGAATGTGGTGTGTTTATTAAGACACCAGATGCTGCAGCAGATTACTATGTTGTACATGGTAGGTACCTGTCAAGTTAGTACTGTACGCATAGCCAAGGAGAATTTCACTTAGAAGAAGCTGCACCAAGTCTGAGAAAGCAGACCCGGTGATGGAATGTGAACGTTTTCCACAATAACATAAAGCTCTGGGTCACACTGTTCAGATTATCTGGATTTGGAAGGCTTGTCTTGGGTTATTGGTATAAGCTTATTTTTATATAGTTACGTTGTTCTTTTGCTTTGGGGTGGACCTAGATAAAAACAAATCTTACCTGAACTTTAAAGCCCCTCTCATGTTCTAGGGAAAAGAAAAAGCAATGAAATAAGCCAAAACGGAGCAAAGCGCCGGAAGCCGGAGAGTACTGCGGAACATCCTGCCTTTTATTACAATATCCACAGACACAGCATTAAGGGAATGAATATGCCAAAGTAAGTACCTGTTATTTAGAACCAATGATGAAGCAGTGGGAGAAAAGACAGGTACTTAACACTTTTAACATTTTCTCCCCAGGTTAAATAAGTTCTTGCACTATCTTTCCCAAGCTGGCTATCGAGTAAGCCGAACTCATTTTGACCCCATGGGTGTTCGCACCAACGCTCCTCTGGTGCAGTTTAAATCTATTCTTGTAAAATACAGCACTCCCACCTACATGGGAGGGCAAGCTGAAGGCTCTCTGCAAGTTTCTGAGGATTCCCAGGCAGGAGCTGAAGGAGACTTTGCCGAAGAAAGCGTGTGAAACGACACTTCTGGCAAAGGGCTTTTTTAATTGAGCATCCGTGTTCAAAGGTAGAGCTGAGCCAAGTCTCTCACCATCGGTAATTGTGTGTGTGGCTGCTCAGTGTTCCAGGGGATCTTCCGAGAAAGAGAGGTGAACAGTTTTGTGTATGTTCCAGTTACCATCACAGTTCGGAACCGCCGCAGCTTATTTTTATCCAATGCTTGCTTTTGCCTCAGGCACCCATCCCAAGTTTCCCCATTCTTGTAATTCCCTGTTCAGATGTATAATATTATGTTAAGAGGATAATATAGTGGGGAGTTGCGAGGATTCCAAGTGTGTTTAAGCACTGCTGGCACCTACCAATAAAAGTGTTCTCTTTTACTGTGGCTCAGTTTATTGTGGTTCAGCTCTGGCTTAAAGGCTGTCTTTGAGCACTACTTTAAGAATCTTAAGCAGGTAATTCAGCGCACCTAAACTAGTTGCTTTCCTACAAAGTAGAGGTGTTCCTAACATGGTAGATGCTGGGGATAAATGCACCGATGCTGAACTGGATTTCCTTCTAATTTTTAGTGTTCTAGTGCCGTTCGCAAATTGTCATCTAAATAAATATATAATAAGATTACATTTAGTTCGATATCAGTAACATATACTGTCGCTTCTGAACACTTTGAGTGTGGTAATTAGCTATTGAGGTTACTTTTCTCAATGGGAGCAACTTCTGAGACACTTTAGTATCTTGTCAGCCCTGCACTATTCTCTCACGTGAACGTACATAGACCCTGTGCACACACTTACACATACATTGGCTGCTTCTGTGTGAGAGAATCTGTGAAGCTACTTACTACCTATGTGTCACAGGGGCAGAAAACAATCTTTGTCCCAAATTACAGTCGTATTGGAATGACGGCTCAATGAGGGAACAGTCACCTGCTCTAAATAATTTAGAGTTGGATCAGTGAAATTCCACTGCAAGAGGATGTTGATCTAAATCCACTCTTAGCTAATCAGGGAGGAAGTTCCACCTAATATGTGATCATACCCTACAATCAATCAATCAATCAATCTCTCTCTCTCTCTCTCTCGAGATGTGGGCTGAAGGGTCCCAGTCTTTGAGTAGGGCTGTGTTCCAATTCCAAAATGCCCTGCTTGTGAAAACGTGGCAGCATTAAAACAAGCATGTGCGACTTCTTAAATCTAATCACAGTGCTAAAAAGTCAAAGTGCAATTTGTCATTTGTTTAAAACAGCTACTTTATGTACTTCAGTAAATATAAATACTTAGTGAATTCACTGTAACATAAGTAAAAATTCACATTCTCCCACACTAAGTTGGGAACCACACCCCTTCCCTCTAAATAGATACACTTTCAGAATTTCACAGACACTTTTATCTGTTTATAGGGCTAAACATTACCTTGGGTAAATCGCAATTCAAAATTGATCTTGCTGCAGCTGATGTTTGCCCATACAAAAACAGTTCACATAAAAAGAAACCCAGTTATATTTAGTGGACATGCACAAGCAAGCTACATAAATTGTACATTACACCAAAATACTGAACAAAACTAAACAGGCATGGCCCAGCTCCACCCCACCCCACCCCAGGCTTTTAGTCATTGTGGAGTCTCATGGCACAAACTGCTAGCATAATTTAGGAATGTTTGATAGTAAACAACTATAAAAACAGGAGTATTTATACAATAGTTTTATCTTCCTGTAGGACTGAAATAGTCATCAAGAGTGAAAAGCTTACATTTCTTGCAACACTCTGTAATGACCAGTTTCTAAAGGAAAATATGGCAGTCATGTACATCGCTTCTAGATGGTTAACCTTACTAAGGACAGGATGAAAAAGATGTTTAAACACTTTCCTCCCCACCTTGCTCCTTACAAAACTGAGCCTTCCACCATCCCTGGCTTGAAAGTGGTGATAGGCAGGAAGCAGCATCACTTTTCCCACTGGGGATGTACTCCTCTCGGGCAGAAAGTGTGCTTGGAGATGCTCCAGGTGGCTCATCCGCAGGGTGAAAGGTACCATTAGGTACCGAGTTTGTGACCATGCGGATTTGGGCAGCTTCAGGGCTCCTCCTGCTGGCCAAGCATCAGAACAACCACCCCAGTAGTTGCAGGATTAGTCCCAGACTCTGCTGCCAGGGCCTTCATGAGCACCACCTGCACATTCTTGGTCAGTCATCTCCATGAACTTCACTGTAGATCTGCTTTCATCCCAGGGCCATACAGCCATTTTAGTAATGGCAGACAGGTTGACTAGAAGCACATGTTGTGCCTATCCAGAAGCTACCGGTAGTGTGCAGCAGACCGCCCAGCTCTTGCTGGAGCATGTTCTCTGCCCACACGGTCTTCCAGATGCAATGATTTTGTCCTTGGCGCACGGGTCACATCCCACTTCTGAGCCACTTTCCTAGGGCTCCAGGAGATCCCAAGGCTGTCCTCAGTATACCACCCAGGCTGATGGACGAGAGAGCATGAAAACCACGGCCGTATCTGTGATGCTTCCTGTGTTTCCACCAAGACAACTGGGAGAAGTTCATTCCACTGGTCAAGTCCATGGCGTACAACCATGCCATGCACGCACCTAGTCCCTGCTTTGTCAACTATGGCTCTCATCTGCCATAGCTGACATCACCCACAAGCACCGGCCGCTGCCCTTCTCCCGTCTGTCAACAAATGGCTGACCCTGGACCCTGCTGCTTTTCCTGTTCCGAGGTCCTTGCTCCTTCATACCGTCTTCCTGGCTCCTGACCTCTGTCTTGTCTTGGCCGTGCTCGGGTTTCCTGGACGGCACTACAACTGACTCCTGGTTTTTCACCCTGGCCTGTTTGCTGCTGCAACTTGGGACTTGTGATTTGGACTAGTAATTAGCCTCTGCCTTTGCACCATCTTGCCTTGTCGGCTGGGTCCTGGTGCATTATCTGTTATCTGGCCACCCATGCCTCATACCTTGTAGCAACTCCCTCCTACTGAAGGGAAGACGCTTAGCTTGAAGACTCTCCCTCCACAAGTGTCTCCTACCACCTGATAGTAGATGAAGGTCTGCCATTTCATTACAAAAAAGATACCTCAGGTATTAGAGTGATGCAGTCTCTGGATCAGGCAGAAAGTGTGAAGTGCATGGGGAAAGACGGCTCAATAGAGACATCCAGGGAGGTGCCCTATTTGTTAATATACTTGATGAAGATGACACGCCCCTCCTCTTACTGAATGGTACCAGCACAAGAGATGCTGTGGTGGAATCCAGTAGGAAAGAGGGGACTGTTTTAGCAACGCTGTTGAGCCGTGATTAAGACACTACCCCTATTTCCCCTGTAGAAAGTAGAAAGAAGTACACTGGCATCTCAACTTCGTCCAATCCGTGGATAAAGGAAGTATTTTGAGAGGAGCATGACATCCATGAGATCTAGTTCATTCCAAATGGTAGCATTTCACTTATGGAAAGCCATTCCTTCCTGCTGGATGTTATTGTGAATGACACAGAATACCAGGGGCCCAACTTCAACGTTGGCATTCTTCCCATCAGCATCCCGTTTTCAAATGGGACATACCCATGCACAGTAAACAGGAACACCGCCAATTTTTTACGAAGAGGAAGAATCTGCACCAGCAACAGTGTGGGGTTTTTTGGTGTCTACATCATGTACAGCTGACTATCCACAAATGTTAGCTGCTGTGCTGTGCGGATCGCTCAGGATCATGAAGGCACGTACAGACGCCTCTGTGAATGATTCTTCTGTAATATGGAGACCTAACCGCAGAGAAACACAGTACCCTGTACTAGCCAATGAGTGGAGAAGGAAAGACGCTCACACCCATCTTACAATCGTGCTCGATGGAGTTCTTGATCTACCAGTGATGATCTCTAATGATCACTGATGATCTAACAGTGATGACTGCCCAGACCCCTGTGCCATAAGCAAGACTCACTCAGAGTCTGAAGAGAATGGTGGCACTGGAATGCTGACAGGGAAGGAGTAACTACAAAGGAATAGCCTCCCGTCCTAGCATCAGGACATGTCCAGATGGAATCTGATGCTGCAGAAAGCAGAGATAAAAGAATACGCCATCAAGATTGCACAAGGACTAATATCACTGGTGGATACCAGAAAGGCATTCTTGGATATGGAATTAAGGCGGGACATGGAGTTTGTCACTTCTTTCCAGGAAAAAGCTGTTACTGAAAGAAAAATATCAGAGTGCCATTGTGTAATGCCATGTGCAAAACTGTGAATGCTGGGGACATTCTGCTGTCCTTCATTATTTCAGTGCTCCTTTCTTCTTATGCCATCCATTGCTATCACAAGAATGCTCTGAAGCAGCCTACTGCTTCAGCGGAAATAACTGTCTGGTGTCCAGCCCAGTCCCACCTGATCAGTAACTCATCTTCTACTGTCCATCAATCATCTCTGAGAACCAATTATCAGAAGACACCTTTAAAACAACAGAGGACCCAAAGCAGGAGTTTCCTTGGAAAAAACATGGTGCTCAGCAAAACGCTCAGAAAAGGAGAATTTGGGGAAGTCCTCAAAGCAATTGCATTCAGGCCGAAGGGAAACACTGGCTACACCACGGTTGCAGTCAAGATGCTAAAAGATTCTGGAACTCTCAGGACAGCTCAGAGTCCGGCCTCGAATCAATCCGTGTCTCTATAAAAAGGTCTTGAAATAATCGGAGTTTTCTGAATCAAAAAGGGTGTGGCACTTGGGGATGAAAATATTAATTCATCTAAAGATTTCCCTCATGGTTTAATCCAGGTGCCTTTCCCCCTTTTCTTGGCCGGGTCTTTTTATTTTAGTGTATCTCAATCTATTTTAATGCTATTTTAATTTTTAAATGTTTTAAGTATTGTTATGTAGGGTATTTTATTGTTTCTATATATTTTTTTTTTGTGAACCGCCCAGAGAGCTTCAGCTACAGGCAGTACAGAAATGTAATAAATAATAAGACCCCCAAAACACAAGAGGCAAGTGGGAGGGAAAACTGCAGGGGGGAAAGTCCTCCTTTTCCTGGCAGACACACCAGATGAAGAACACAGGAAATGGATGGCCTGAAACACTGCAGAGGCCCGATCCCGTTGAGACCAATGACCCTAAGTATCAACTATTAATATGGCCAAGACAAACTGAGAAGGTTTCTGAAGAAACTTCACCATCATAATTCACTGTGCAAAAAAATGGGGTGGGGACACTTGTACAGAGACAAGTACTTTTCGTTAAGATTCCGCATAAAACACTGCCAATTTCAAAACATGCAGGCCTGATCTCGTGCCCAGAAGCACCGCTTTTCCCTTCTTTTCATTCACGGATGGATGGATGGATGCAGCCACGGGGAGCACTGTTTTTTAAGATGCTACCGATACGCATGCTTCCCTGCACCCAATGGCTTTTCAGAAATCCTTCATTAATTGCAAGCTATCCTCAGACATGTCCATTCTCTTCCTTGGAGCCCCTCCCTTGGGTAAATTCCCTTTCATCCTTTAAACAGCAGTACACTGACACCAATATTCACCTTGGTCAATGTTCTTTTCAATATGATCTGAAATGGGTTTCACCTTCTTACTTACTATCTGAGAATACCCCAGTTAATGTAAGTATGAGAAAGAATTGCACTCGTTCCCAAAACTGACACCTATGGGAACAAACTCAGTGATCCATGTGGACTGGCTGTTTTATTTACAAAACCGAAGGACTCTGTTCCCTGGACAATGCATAAGAGCCAAGTTAGTTCTGCGCGCAGCCCCCCGACCCCTGGTGCCAGCAGTTCTCTAGCATCGCAAGCAGTCAGCTACCAGCTAGCCCACTTCGACCACGCGCGGTCTCACGCTGCTGTAACACAAGGGAGTTCTCTTGGCTGTGGCCACCTCTCTTGTCCCCTCATTAAGGTGCTGGTATAAGTCTGCCATGAAACCTTCCCTGCTTCTAGTATCACGCGCATGAAATAAGAGCCACCAAGTCAGAAGCACGTTTGAGAGCTCCAGTGGAATGTACAGATCATTCAGCCCTCCAGAGGAAAGGAAGTTAAATATCACACAAAATAATGTCGACTAGCTAATATCAATATTCATCAAGGAATTCAAATCTCTCAGCAGTTGTGCATGGTGCTTCACTTTTTTTAAAAGTAAATGAAAGCTATAAAAGTAATTACAGTTCCAGCTCAAAGTCTTTGTCGGGCTTATTTGTGCTCCTTTGTTGGTGCATAGTAGAGCTCCATGGGTTTATTCACTTTCCAGTACTTTTCACTGACCAGCTCCAAGGAAAAGGAGCCATTTAACACCTAGAGACAAATTCAGAATTAGTGCCAAAGTCAGAAACAGTGTTTTTGCTGTATGAAAATGAACAGAATCCATGGCTAGAGAAATAACCCAACCCTGGCACAGAACTGTCTGTAAACAGCAATAGAGACAAATGTTTAGACACAGCAGTCTATAAATAGTCTAATATAAGCCAGATGTCAACTCTACTGCCAATTTCAAAGCAAGAAGCAGCTGCACAGAGAGCAAAGATGCTTCACTGCATTTCCCACACAAACGTCTGCTACAAAGCTATTCTTGTGAGCAGAGTATGTGGCACACTGCTTCAGCAGTGGCAGATCTGATCAGTTGTAGAAGACTGTTTAAAGCACTCCGTTAAATACCGTTACACATAATTCTAGCAAAGCATGAAACCTCTCCTTGCAAAGCACCAGCCCAAGGCAACACATGTCTTCTGACTGCCAACCTGGTGGCTTTCAGAGGAATTTGAACCGTAATTCCCAGAATTCCCATCCAGCAGGGCCATCGACTGGGAATTCTGGGGTCGCAGTCCGACTGTGTCCGGAAGGCACAGGGTTGGGGAGGGCTGGTCTCTAGCAAAGGCGGTGCAAGTCTGTTTGATGTTGAGGTTATTAACTGGAAAAGGATGGTCGCAGTTACTATCAGAACCTATTCTGCCAAATGTTTCTCCCTAATTTAGTCTCCTTTCTTGGGCTCCTCTGGCAGGAAACTTCCAATGGCATCCTTTTTGTGGGAAGGGTGACTTCAGCAAGGGAAGGTTAGCCAACTACATTTTTAAAACTTCCCACAGTGGTAAAAGAGGGGGACAAAATCAAGACTGAAAAGTGGACACAGGTTTCAGCAGCCCAGTTTCCATAGATCCAAACAGGGCATCTGATTCTTTTCAGCGAGCTGTGCACCTGCTGTGCTTCCAATTTTCATACGTCCCCTACATCGAAGCCTTATACCCAAAGTCTCAAGTCCTGCAGTATGGATACTTATAGTTCTAATAAGTAGATTATGCTTGTTACCAGGAGTGAGGACTGCTTCAAAGTGTAAGTACACACTAAACATATGTTAACGTGACAAAGAAATATGTCATACAGGTACACTTGGGAAGCTACAGCTCCTAGGCCTGCTATATTTGCTGTATGCAAAAACAGAAAGACAGTACGAGTCAGTATCAACAGTTTTCAAAACTTATCATCTCTACAGTGTTGAACTAAACAGACTGTAGAAACAGGAGGTAGAGACAACATGTAGGCAAGCAGACACTTCACCGATGCTGGAAGCAGCAGCCATATCCCATTGGATTCTGAGACTTTATAGAAGGAAAAGGCTACAGGGTCAACTTTATCCCTAGAAAAAGCACCAGATTTTTCTTCTTATATAAAACGGAGATCAGGATTCCAGATTAAAAAAAAAAAGGAATCTGGCCTTTTAGCACAGATTGCTTGCATTTCTGTCATGCTTCAGGCGTTCAAAACAGCACCGGGGGTGGGAAGACTTATTAGGGGTGATGCGCAAGACTTTGAAGGTGAAACTACTTCTCCCCCCGCCCCCTTGTACTTAAATGTACAAGTGGAAGATTCCTCAGCTGGACCCAAACTGGGTATCTCTAAACTGTATTGGAGCTTCCCCATTATATTCCAACTCAACCAGCTACTCACAGTGAACTGGCCATTGGCTGTCGCAATATAAATCGTGTACTGCTTCTCACTGGCTGTTTCCAGATTCATCTGGTTCGATTCTCCTTTGCTCCGTAGCTCTTCCAAGGCCAGTCTCACAGCTAGGTACTTGGACAAGTGATCCACGGTGGCATTGCCAGAAGTCTTTATGTACCTGCACCAGGAGCAAGCACAATCCATGTGGTTGCTTACAGAGCAGCAGAAATTGTGACGACTGTTAAAGGTTCACAAGCAAAACAGGTGAAGCCACATGTGCAAGGCAGTGACCCTGCCCTTCCAGGGTTCATTTCGGATAAATCCTCGCAGAGAACAAAAACATGCCAAAAAGCCTAGCATGCTAGCTTCCGAAATAAGAACAAGAGCTCTGCTCACCTCGTCTGTGCGCTGTCATCGTTCTCCATTAGCGTGGGATGGGGTCTGAAAACGAGTTCTATTTCGCTCGCACCATCCAGTACTGGGTCTATAGCAACTGTGGTATTGTTATTGTCCAGTTCTAGCCCAGAATCATCTGACGTTTTGGTCCTTTTGTTACTTGGGCCAGCTTCCTGGTTGCTGTGAGTTGAAGCATTGCTACAGTGTGAGCTGTCTCCGTTGTCCTCTGCCCCACTGCCATTCTCAATCTGTTGCTTCTTGCCCCTTTGTAACCTAGTAAGCACACACAACATGTTCAGAAAACCGTGCAACTCTTCAGCCTGGTGTTGTCAGAGTCCTAGTAGATACACCAGTTCAGTCCATCTTCACATTCTGCACTAACACAAATACCCAAAGTATACGGTATCTGACACACATTTTAATAAGACTCCAAGAACATACAGCTAACCAACACAGTGGATCCAAAACCACCATCCAAAACACCTAAAAAGCAGCTGATTGTCCTGCACTCTTGTTTGAACTACTATTTTCAAGTCAGTTCTAACAAGAATTAGCAAAATGACCCCATATTAAAGGGAAAGCATGACATTTTCTTACATGGGTCCCTAAGTTTCAGATGCAGCTGGAATGATGTGAACGTTATATCTGCAAACCATAAAGTACCGGGGTAAAGGAAGCAAAGAGGGCGGAGCGTCCTCAAACAGGGATTGCCTGCTCCCTCCCAAGCCGGTGTCCCGTGGCTAGGGGGCGGCAGAAGTGAGACACACAAACGAACATGAAGCATGTAGAACAGAGACGTGCTTGCTCTCACAGCGCTCTTCCCCGAGGGCTGGAAACAAGTGCACTCGCAAGAGGAATTTTCGGGAGTGATCACTAGGACTGGGGTCACCTAACCACTCAGAGACATAGCTGGATGATTTGTATGTAGAAAAAATAAAAAGTTTCGTCATGAAATGGCTTGTGGCTGCTGACTGCTGGGAAGGAAGGAAGCCCAGCTCGCAACAAGTACAACTATATTTAGATTTTGCCCCATTTGAAGAAGAGATTAGAACACCTGGCTAAGGTACAGGAAAGGTCAACTGTGATAACGAGGATACAGCATCTTCCTGTTTATTATTAATGGTCACCCAGAGAGCATGAGGCTAGTGGGAGGCTCTCCAATAAATTCAGTAAGTAAGTAAGTAAGTAAGTAAGTAAGTAAGTAAATAAATAAATAAATAAATAAGATATTTAATTTAGTAGAAAGACCATTACTTTCTACTGTTTAATTTAGTGGAAAGGTGGAGAGGACGCACACACATGCATCCATCGTTCAGAAGCTGCAGAGAGAGTTCTTAACATGAAAAAGGAACATCTAGTCCTCCTCTCCCACTCCTTGGGGTATGAATCATCATGGTTTTATGGCAGCAAGTGGCAACAACTCTTCATATAAAATGAACAGAGTCGCAGGGAAGCTGCATCAGCTGTGCCCACTGTACATGCAGCCAAGGACTTGCATTCCACAAAACAGGCACAGGCCTTTCTGTGCTGGCGTTCAAATGCTTCTAACTTTCCTATCTCCAATACGACCAGGCAGAATTTTGCAAGGCAAGCTCTGTCCATACTGTAAAAACATGCAATTTGAAACACAGTTTCCTAGCCAGTATTAGCATGCATTAGCTGCAACAGCAAAAGTGACACTGGCATACTGAACCATTAGTAATGTGAAGCTGACTTGCAGAGACAGACAACAGGTCTGGCCAGCCACGTATCAACTCCCCTCACCAGCAGCAATGGTATCCAGTGCCTCTCTCCCAATTCTGCTATCCAAATTAGCCCTGCAGATTCACATGGGTCTTCCCGCATATAAATGCCACTAAGCAATGGTTCTTTCCTGTTCCCAGCTCTTAACTATCCTGAGCCTCTTACCTGTTCAGGGCCTGGATTTTCAAGCCCTCCTCAATGCTGTGGCTCAGAGCTTGCTGGTTGTTGTGCTTGCTGATCCTCGCTAGGACTCTCTCCTGATGAGCTTCATATTCATCACGACTCGGATAGATTTTACTGATGAGGGCATCGAAGTTCGGGTCTGGTCTCAGTGACCGTTTGGAGACGAGTTTTTTACGACAAGTGGGGCATTCTTTGTTCCTGACCAGGGAAAAGAAGAAAACCAGTGCTGGGAGTATGTCTTTCATACCGTGGTTTGTGTGAGCTTGCTGCCTGACCTTTCTCTTGAAACATTCTCTGTGGATTGTGCCCTGCCCAAGGCTTGTTAGGTGGGCTGCAGTCACAGGCTTATCATGCACATCTCAGAATCCAGGCCCCTGGCCTGTGTCACACTAGGCAGCAGGCTGACATCCCGTGAGTGACACATCGTTGCTCGGCCCACCCCAATTGCCCTTCGCTGCTTTGGAAAGAAACGCACACATTCCCATTCCCCGGGCTAAAGAAAGCAAGTGGTTACTTCGAAACCATGTCCCAACAAGGCCATTTGACTTGAACAAGGAAGAACTAAGTTCAACTCCCTGCTCAGCTATAAAAACCTGCGCAACCATGGACCAGGCACTATCACTCACACTAACTTACCTCACAGTTGTGGGTGCCTGCACATGCACACACGGATGGATGGACGGACACACACACACCCTGAACTCCATGGAAGGAAGATGAGATAAAACTACAACAACTGTACTCTTTTAAAGTGCCTAGGCCCTGGCTAGCTTTGTGGATCCGGAAAAGAAACTTCAGAGGGGATGTGAAAAATGTAAAGGAAAAATAGTTTTAGAGATCCCTTACAGTGTTACCAGAATCCCAAGGTCCTGCTTAGATGCAATAAACAGCTGTGATAAAGAACTTTTGTACATACATCCTTCTTAACTTACCCACTTCTGAGGGCTGTGATGATACAATCAGCACAAAAACGATGCAGACATTCCTTAGTAGTCATGGTGTTTTTCAACATATCCAAACAAATAGGACACATCAACTCACTGTGGAGGCTTCGAGGTGACACCACAATCTCCAAGCCATCTGTTATTGCTTCCTAATGATCAAGAAACAGTGTTATTGGGTAATTATTTCTGTGTCAGGTTGAAATTATTACCACCAAAAGCAAGACAGACAAAAAGAACCCTCCAAGATATTAATCGAATTACTTATTTCTGGCAGATACAATTTTTGCTGCAACATTCCAGATGGCAAATTAAAAATTAACTGCTCTCCAGAGTGGGTGAGGAGGTGTCAATTTCATAATAAAGCTTATGTCCTCCACAACATGCACAAGGAAGTGAGAAGCAACCCGATACTACCTGAGGTGTTCTTTGAAGTTCATACAAGCTGAGCTCCCATGTTTTGCTCAAAGGTTGGGTTCCATTTGTCTGCACAGCCTGCGACATGGCTAAAAGAAGAAGAATACAAATATCAAAATCAAGCATTGAAATAGGCCATTTTCCCAGATGGATTCAGAATGTAAGAGAAGTCTGGCCGCTTGGATGCAACTTTAAGATTGTTTCCAGTTGTGCCGTGTGTCCTTTCCTTGGTTTCGCATGGGAATTTGCTATAGCACAAGGCTATCCACTGAGGGGCGGCAGGAGACGTGTGTGGAGGGCTGTCTCCAAGTTTCTAGCAGTCATTCAGCTCTAGCGACTCCAGAAACCTGTGGAGCCTCTGATATAATGGAACAAAAGGATACTGGGTCACAGCTGGAACCAGGAGCTAAAGCGGCTTCCCTTTAGCCCTCCCCCCACCCTTCTCTCTCTTCTTTTGGCCTAGTGTGCTGACCAGAGCTATTCTTCCCTGAAGAAGAGAGATTCAAGCTGTGGAGTGGAGAGGAGAGGAGAGGAGAGGAGAGGAGAGGAGAGGAGAGCAGAGCAGAGCAGAGCAGAGCAGAGCAGAGCAGAGCAGGGAGATGAAGAGAGACACCCAGAATTCCCAGCTACAGAAAGATGCAGAAGAGAAAGCTCTTCCCTTTGGCAAAGACTTCATATCTGTGTAACATTTCCCACGTTTTTAGCACCTTGACGGGAAAGAGGTCACCCACATGCAACATCATTCACATGCAACCATTTGTACAGGTGTGCCATCTAATTTCATTACTGAAACCCGCCCCGCAGAGGGGAGACAACTGCGACAACTACTCTGTGCGACAACCACTCATGCCTGTAGTATGTGCAGGTAAATGCTGAATCAACATCCAGCTGCATCTGTGTTTGGACAATGGGATGGAAGCTACATTTCTTAGCATTCTGAACTGATTCTGTCATATAGAACATAGTCAATTTAATCCCTTGCGTAGCATTTGACCCCTAGATCCGTGCCATATGCAGTCAACCCAAGAAGATTTTTCAACCATCTTTTCACTGAAAATCATTTTTAGATTTGACAATCCAATCAATAGCATTCTAGCCAGCTAATCAGAACCTCCTCCATTGCTTTTGTTATTCCTTGCTATTCTCTGTTTCAGCTGTTTTAACTTTTTAATATTATTTCTGGTTTTGCTATATTGTTATTGTCCTTTTATCTGTTTTTATGGACTGTGTAAACCACTCAGAGGGTTTCGGCTGTGGGGTGGCACAGAAATGAAATTAGGTAAATAAGCAAGCATCTTTGGATTGCTAGGAGTAAGAAACATTGATTTGGTGTCCAACCAGCTAATAAAAGCTCTAATACTGCCCTTTCCCTAGGGGACAGCACATTTCTTTGCTGTGTCCCTGGAACTTGGCATCTTCCTGCTAATTGCAATGCTATTTCCAGTGGGAAAGCTGTTTGCTCACACCAGTCTGTAGAGAACATTGCTTCTAATAAGGCTGCCAAACTGCTCAGACTAGCAGTACACGAATGACAGTTATATTCTCAGCGTTCCATTGCTGCCAAAGTGGAGTTAGTAACCGTGAATATCCTCCTGGAAGCCACCTGACAACGCAAGGCACCCCACCCTCCTCCAAGTTCTCCACACACCAGAGAACTTTGAAGGGGTCATTCCTTTTACATTGGAAAAGGCAGGCAGACCTCCCCCTTCCCCGCCACCACCAGTGCCACGTACATTCTGCCAAGGTGCACATGAGAAGCAGAGGAATGTCCCCACCGCTTCCCAGCCTGGCATGAGCGAAACAGCCTTTGCAATGTTCCAGAGGAGCTGGGGAAGGAGAGGGATTATGACCCCTGGCATGGTCAGAGACAGCAGACACAACTTCAGAGTCAAAGCGACATGGATCAAGCTAGGCCTGTAAGAAGGCCTCTTGCCACATGTGTGCATTCACAGAACCGTGCATGGCCATCATTCATCAAACATGAAGTCAGGGCAGATACAAGAAGGTAGTACATAGTTAAAAACTGCTACTAAATGGAGAGCCAGCTTGGTCTATAGATTAAGAGTGCAGGACTGGGACTTCAGAGATTTGGACTCATGGGGCTCACTGGGTGACTTTGAGCCAGACATGGACTCTCAGCCTAATCTACTGCACAGGGTTGTTGTGCAGAGAAGCCAATTTCCTTTGGCTTCCTTGCAAGAAGAAAAAAGATGGGCTATAAATGTAACAACAACAGATACACTGATGGCCACCAGCACAGATGCCTTTAAAAGGAAATTACTCACATTCATGGAGGATAAGGCTACAAGTTATACCGTCTATATATTACCTCCAGTATCGGGGGCAGAATGCGTGCAATCCCAATTGCTGAGGAATACAAGTAGAGGAGTACTATTTCATGCATATTCTGTTTGTGTGCTTCATAAACCTGGCTGACCACTGCAAAAAGATAATGCTGGCCTATATATGCCTTTGATCCAATCCAGAATCTGTTATATTTATGAGACAGCTATAAAATCAATTCTCTTGGCATCATAAATTTGAAACAAATGCAATAAAACACAAATATCTAAAAATACACAATAATGCAATAGATAACCAACACAATGATTAAAAGACCAGCCAAAATATGTTGACTGTGCTCATAAGTATACAAGTTAGCAGGAATTATCCTAGAGGAACCAAAGATGTTCTAAGATAAATACTGAATTCTTTGTCTCTGTAAAACTGCCAAAACTACAGTTTCTACTCTTCTACCAAAAGGTAGACAAATGCAATTGCTAGGCATGCTAACCAGTAGTATTGCATATGGCTTGTTTCTCAAATTTCATTTCATTCTTTCTTAGCTGCTATTTTCTATCAATGCCAACCACTGGTTATATAGGGGAAATACTTGGAATACCAATGCATATGCTTCTGATGTTATGACAAATAGCTATGGCAGAACTTTAATGTTCAAAAGCAAACCAAGCAAGGCAGAAAATTAAGAACATGTTCCTAAGTTCCATTAAACCATCAAAAGATATTTGTCAGCAAAAACTAGTAAGTCACTAAAGCTTCACATTTTCCTCTGCTCCAGCAGACTAGCATTTTCATGATGAAGCACTTGTTTATAAGATGACAACTAAAATGATAAACATTAAACGTGCCTTAAATTGCATTGTACAAAACAAATGCCATCTTTCGACTTTTATTAACCTATATTAAAAATGCTTGCTATTATGCCTGCGCACCAACGGATCCCACTGCAATACGGCCAGTGCTTAATCTGCCAATGCCTCCCAGCAGTTTAGGGGTACCCTTTTAACATGAAGCTGCCATCACAAAGGCTTCCTTCTTTCGACAGGTACTGCCTGGGTGCACGTGCTTTCAGTACCCACAGGTGATTAAAGGATGAGGAACCTCCTGTTACCAGCAATTAAGGGAAAGCGAATGAGAGGTACTCAAGGCAGTGTAAGAGTGTGTAAAATGATTCTAGGGGCAAGAACCTAGGAGGGATGCGCATGATGTCACAGGGCATGGTCTGCCAGTATATGGTGCAATTGCTTGCGCAAGCTGAGCAGGCCAGTGCTTGATTGAGAGACCACCTGGAAGCCTCATGTGCCCACCTCAAGTTCTCCATAGTTGAAGAATGGCAAGAGATAAATCTATCAGGGATTTGCAAACTTTTAGGGCACAGAAGCACATTTGGGGATTTGCTAAACTGTTATGGAACGATAGCACAAATTGGCTCTCATGGAGGATGGTGGCTGCTCACACCATGGCTGCAGAAGGAGCCTGAATTAAGGTGGGCAGGGCACAGGGCAGAGAGGCTGGGGGAAAGAGCAAGGCAAGAGGCTGCCATGTGCAGAAACAGCCATTTAATCAGGACTGCTTAAATCAATTATTTAAATCAGCAAGAAAAAGATGGATTCAAACCAAGGTTTTCCAACTGAAGCGTCTTTATATATTTCCTGAACAATGTTGCAAATCTGCAACTTTTATTTAAGGAACTTGTATTCTATGCATTATGTTTTAAAGGAAATAAACAATTTACATTTTTTAAAGCCTCTTTTTTATCCTTTTTAAAAACACTAAGTTTTATCCACCCTGCACAGGGCTGAATCAGCAGACTCGTAAGTAACAGACAATCCTACAAGTAAGCAGTACAAAAAGCAAGTAATTCTCCTCCTCCTCCTCCTCCTCTTTTGGCTGCACTTTTTCATACCCTGGCAACAAGATTCCTTTGACAATGCACATACATAAAAATAACTTTCTAGATAGTGTGGAAGCATTCCATTAAGGAAAACTAAATCAGGCTCACTATTTAAAAAACCCAACATAATCCACATGGGACATTCCTGTGAAGTTTGTTCAACAAATATCTGGCTAGCACTCAGCCAAAAATAATCTTGTATGCTTTCAATACCCTTTTCCCCATAACACCCATTTTGGCCACAGCATCCAAAGAGGCATGTCACACTTTTCACGATCCAATACAAACTGATCAACTCTGAAGTATTTGGGATATGAGACATAACATTTTCAAACAGCAAACCAGCCTTCTAATGCTTCAAAGTGGAGTTCTGTGGTGTTATAACCTACCTACATTTGCTTTCAGTATGGTTTCAAAACATGCTCCTTTGAGCAAGGTCAAGAAGCCAATATGGCGCACAGGCCGAGGCACTGAATGGGGACGCGGGAAGCCAACCTTCAGTTGATTGCTTGGATAGAAACCCCAGTAGGTGGCCTTGGGCAAATCACCTCCACCTCGCCTCCCAGGGAATTCTGAAGCTAAAGACGGAGTAAAGCAACGCATCTAAGACTGTCATCCAGTGCCTGTTTACTTGATAACCGGGCAAAAGGACGGAGCATGTCCTACGCCCATGTAATGGAATGAGGGAGAATCAAACCGTGTGGTGTTGTGGACACTGCAAAAAGTAACCAGCCATGTTATCACTGTTCTCTGCCATACTCAGGGGTGGGACATTAGGACAGCCTGAGACGGTAAGAGCCCTGCCAGATTGGCTGAAGGCTGATATAGCCGAGGATGTTGCTTCCAGAACTGAGCAAACCCCTCTATAAAATTTGCAAGTTAAACATCAAGGCAACAAACAGCCCCCCCCCCCAATCAGCTGTTCCTGGAGTTCAGGAGCGTGTCACTACTGATCAGGAAAGCTGCTTTTAGTCCTTATGGCTGGCACTGCATGGCTCGAGGGACTGGGTGCACTGACTGTCTCTCTGATTGGCCTCAGAGGGTCCAATGCAGGCCCGTCCCCCATGGTACAGAATGGCACTGGGGACCGAGGCAGCAGTGCTGTAGCATTTGCTGGGACTGTTTCTTCTCCACATTCCATTTCTCTTCTAGAAGACCATGCAGCAAACACATTTCCATTGTACGTCGCACAGGTATCGATCTTGATATTTTATGTTAACATCATTGGGAGTAAAGATACAGAAGGATGAAAGTATATCCAACTTAAAATAAGAAAGAGAGCCTTCAGGCTACTTGGAGGTATAAAAATGTAGTATCAATCAGTCAATCAATCAATCATGCTCCTTTCACTTTCCATCAGTGTTCTGCTTAGGGGCACAATATTTGAACACCTCTCTCAGCCAGAATCTTCCCAGACACTATGCTCAACATCTAACATCCTCCTCTGAAAACCTCCCTCCAAGGGAGGCTCAGTTTGTGACAATGAGGAGTGTCTTCTTTGTGATTGCTCCCAAATTACAGAATGAGCTCCCCAAATCCCCAGGTACTGTCAGCTGTGTTAGGAGATCATTCTATGAATCTGTCTTAGCTGTTAAGGTTTTTGGCTTTGGCTTTACATGTCTAGTGAAATCCTATGATGTCTTTACTGTTATTTATATTTTATATTGCATTTTATTCTATATCAATCGTTGCATATCACACAGAGAACATTGGCTACTAGGAGGCACACAAATAAAAATAATAAAAATGATGGTGACAAGTCATGATTCAATTACAATCCACATGCTGGGTTGTTTTTACATGAGAATGAGGTCTTATGTCAGTTCCAGACAGAAGCCTTCCTGATGGTCAAGACGGCTGGTTTCCTTTTTCAAAAAATCTGGAATTATACTGGGCCATCTGCACAGTAGAAGGCATTGTTGGTTTTTAGTGTGTGAGGTGTTTTTGGGGGAGCGTATCTTACAATCTCCCATCCACATATGTGGATTTAACAAGATGGGCTGCAGCAAATGCTACCTTTTTCCCTCCCTTCCACCAGCAATTTCCTCCTCCCACTTCATTATTTCTTAGCAGATATGTGCAGTGAATCCATACATGTTTTTAAAGTACTATACTGGAAGTGCACAAAAGCAGTAGTTCAACCCTTTCCTCTCACTCCAAAATGCAGCTGCTTTCTTTACTCCTTTTACAGAAGATACTTCCAGACCAAGTTTTTAATCATGCAATTGCCCCCCCCATCAACAGAATGTTAAAGGAGGAGCAAGTTTCCAGACAGCATTTTCATTTTCCTTTCCACAAGGCAGAACAGCTGCACAATGCTCTTCTGACTGGTGGTGCTAGGAGCCATCCCTCTGGAATCACCATGAAGAGACACATATATAGTAGAACATCCAGCCACAAAGATTTCCCCTTTTTTGCAGAACTGTTCCCAGGGGGAGCAAGGAAGCATTTCATTTGAATTAAATGGTGACATGTATCGCAATCTGAAATGACAAAATGATGGGATGCTTATCTGTTCACCAAGCAGGTAAAATAAAATCACCTAAGTATCTCTTTAGAAATAATGTAAAATAGAAAAGGCAACTAAACACAGGAACAGTTATAAATATAGCCGAAGCAAGAGAAGACAAAGCAACTGTCTTCCATTTTGCATGCCCCCCCCCCCCCCGGCCCCAAATCCTCATGGTTCCATGAAAGCACAGTGCAATTTGGAATGCATAATCAGCCACTAGAGCACTTGAGGACAGGTACCAGAAATGAAATGACAGAGCTGCACAGAAAAATTCCGGCTGTGTATTCCTGGAATACAGCCCTCAGTAACATCTCAGGATGCATCATAAACAGAACCCGGCAAACCACCAAAAAAGTTGTGATACCAAGCATGAGCAGCGTAGATGTTTGATAACACACCTGTTGATGTAAGCCCTACTTTTGTGTACTTTGGAAAAATCAACAGGTTGGATTTTGGCCGAATGGGAAAAGTTGGGGAAAGTGGGGTAAAAGCACAGGAAGATTACATGATGACAATGCCGTGGAAAACTTGTCACGTAAAGGCAATCTGATGGCACTTTAAAAGTCTCATTTTAGGTCCTCTTTGGGCTGTATCCTGCTTCCCCACTGCTTATTTCATGCTAGCAGGACTCACCACTACAGTAACAGGAAGCTAATTCTTCTCAAAGCTATTGCAGAAACACTGGTTTCCACAGTGAGCCAAGCCAGTGGAACACCCTCCCATGACCAATCCTTTTCAGAAATTAATAATTCTGCTTGTTTCCCATCGTACAGGTTTAGATCTTCCTAATGGGCAAGGAGGGTTGAATCCTGCCTTTAGAATGGGAGAAATACCTGCACCCCACCTGATTCCCCCCCTGGCACAGGTTTTAGTCAGGGTTAGCATGCTAGTCAATTGACTGGTCAGACTATCAACTGACCAGCATGATTTGATTACAGGGGAATACCATAAAATATTCCATCAGGCTGACAATACCTGAAGAACTGACCTGCTGCCTACTTAGTACCTTTAACAGCTGAAATTGCTGCTATTGCTTCCCTTTACTGTGCCTGTTGCTGCCCTTGGAGTTCTTCCGCTGAACTGCGGGACAAAACCACTTCAAATAAATAAATAAATAGTTGTTCTACGATATAATAGCTGTTCCAGGATAAAAGCCAAAAAAAGAATTATTAGGTTAACCCTCCCAATTCCTAGAAACCTTACCCAAATGTCAAAGACTATAATAATTCATTACTTCTTAAAAGTATGGTGTCATTGTTTCAGAATGGTTTTGTCATTTACTGGAGGACAAAAAAATAAATACAGAAAAGTTCATACTTTTCGACCACTGTTTGACAAGTCTTCTGACCAACCACTGCTTCGAACTTCAGACAGTTTTACAAGAGACTACAGGAAATCCCATCACAGATATCTGTTTGACTGCACATCAGTTCATTTTAGTATCAGACACGACACACATCCTCACAAAGCAGCCTGATTTGTTTGCGACGCCTAAAGCACCCCAGCTTGAGTCCCTTCACGTCGAGACCAGCAGCAACTGCAGCGCATCCTCGGCTCCTCGGAGGTCTGGCCGGGGGAGCCCGCATCTCCGGGAGGGCTCAGACCACACCAGGGTGTCCCCTGACGTTGCAGGAGTCCGGCCGCCGCGCTCCCCTCGCGGGCAAGGCGAAGGCGACGCGCTCGAGTTGCGCTTCGGCGAAGTTGCTCAACAAAGGCGCAAGTGAGCTGCGCCCGGGGCGCTTCCATCCCCGGGGGGCGTCCCTGCAGCCCCCAGCGGGATGGGGAGCGCCTCGCGAGGACGGCGCGCAAGCCCCCTTCCTGCCGGAGCCCCCGCGGCCCACCCGCACGCAACCCCGGCGCAGCGGCAGGGCCGAAGCGCTCGCGCGGGTCTCGCCCCGGAGGCGTCTGAACGCGCCCGCGAAGACCCGGGTCACGCGCGGACGCGGCGGGGCCGTCCCCGCCTGAAGGGGGCAGGTGACAGCTGCGGCGGGCGGGCGGGCGGGGGCGCGGGAGCGATGGGGGCGCCCGCTTCCCGGGGGGCGCCGGAGGGGCGGAAGACGCGGTCGTGGGAACGGGGCGCCGCTGCAGCCCGGGTCTCCTCGGAAGCAAACCGCACCGCTGGCGTGCCAGGCAGCGCAGGCGGCGGAGGCGACTGTAGCGCCGGGCAGGGGCCGGCGCGCGGCGACCCCCGCCGCGCAGGGAGCCCCAGGGACCCGCTGCCCCGCCGGCCAGCCGGCCGGCCGCCCTCCCACTCACCGGCGCCGTGGCTGGCTCCCTCTCGCCCGCTCGCCCGCTCGCGCCCGCCCGCCCGGCCTTCGTGCGCGTCGGGGTCGCTCCCCCCGCCGTCGGCTCCCGCGCCGCCGCCGCCTCTTCCCGCAGCCAGGGCTGAGGCGGGTGGCCGTCCGCGGCTGCCTCAGCGCCTTCCCCGCAGCGACACAAGATGGCGAGCGAGCCGCAGACAGCCGCCGCCGCCGCCGCAAAGCACCTTGGGAGGAGAGGAGAGGGCCATTCTTCGCGGCGGCCGAGGCCGGGCCGCCAGCCGAGCGGGCGGATTGGGCGGCGCCGGAGGCCACGCCCCGGCCCCGCCCCGGCGCTGCCCCTCCCGCACGTGCTGCGACACCGCCGCCTCTCGGCTCCCCCGGCGGAGCGCGACGCCCCGGGCTCTGCCCCGCGAGGCTTACCGTCGCCGCCCGCCTGCGCGCTGTCGCAGCGTTCGCGTTTTGCAGTGGATCGGTTTCGCAGAAAGGAATCGAAAGACTAAAAGCAGAAAACCCTGCCTTTCTGCCTCTACCCGTAAGGGATCAAAAGCCGGGCGAGTTTTTCACGTGCGCCCTCCACGAAGGAATCCTGTTCTAGAAGCCTTTTGCAGAATTAGCTCCTTCCCCTTCTTGCCAAATTGGGCCTCCACTTTTTAACCAACGCTACGGATCCACGTGCTTTGCAGCAACCCCGATCTTCTCGGTCAGCCCCGGGTTGCTTTCCCCTCCCGCTTCGTGCGCCAGGTTGCTTGCTTGGCTTCCTTCCCCCTGCCCAGAACTTCTTCAGGGGTTTCTTCTTGCGCAAGTGATGCAAGATGCTGAATTATCCACCTTCCCTCTGGCATAGGGCACCATTAGCAACCTCTTGCCTGAATGCACAGCATGCAAAACTGTTTTGTCTTTTCCCTTCACGTGCATCTGAATGTTTGATTCCTTCAGTTTCAATGCAGATACTTTTCAAATCTGGTGCGTGATTCTCTCTACCTCCTAGACCTTGGCTTTTATTTACCACCTACTTACTATTCATTTCTCATAGTTTAAAAATCAGGCATTTCTATATTTTATGAGTGCACAAATATTAAAATAAGTGGCACCTGTTCCAGACCTGTAATTTGCTGAGAGCTTGTGGTCCCCTGTACACTAGCCTCTAAAGACTTACTGACCTGGTTCACACATAATGACTGTCCATGGATTGCTTAAAGCATAGGTTGTGGGGGCCACAAAAGAGCAAATGGTCTCCCACCCAATCATCACTTCTGCATTGCATTTCCTTTCATCAGCAACCCAGAAACCCACGGGTTATCACTGGATTAAAACTCTGGATTGCTTGTCCCTCAACAAGACAAAGTTCTGGGTTTGCACATTGCATCGAACAACCCAGCTGCAGATGGCAGTATGGAACTGTGCTCCAGCGTGGGCTGCCAATTCCTGACTTAAACAGCCCATGAATTGGCATTGTTTGTTTGTTTGTTCGTTCAATTTGTTCGGAGGCTTCCTCCTAGCATCATGCTGTCTGTGCAGCCCAACTCATTGCATAACCACAAAGGTGGCCCATCCCATAAAAACTCCCACAAAATAGCTTTTTTCCTAGTCCTTTGCTTTAGAAAGAGGATTCAAATGACTAGCTAATGGAGTGCAAAGTCTACACAAGTTCCATCTGCCAGGTACATCAAAGTATTCCGTTGGTCTAGTTTTGTGAGGTAGATAAAGAAAAGCCAGCTGTCCTGGAAAACCCAGCCAAAGCTCCAATTTTCACAGGTCCAATTTCAGAACTGTTCACACCACACTGCCTATTTCTCAACATTCAAAAAGTGTTGAACCCTACTACAGCTGGCCAGTCTTGTTGATTGTCTCTGCAAAATTACTCATTTCTTCTGTGATAAACTAGTTGTTTAAAGTTTGCATGCTTTTGAACTTAATTTTTAGATTCTACAAGGATAGGAAAAAATGGTCAAATTACTTAGATTTCATCCTGGTGCTCTGAGAACAAGAGAGATTGTTGGAACATAATTATAATTCTTATTTGTTCCAAGTTGTACAGAAAAGAAAAGAAACTCCAGTAATGTTTCTCTTGCACCTGGGGGGTGGAAGGAAAGACATTAAATGATATTAATCTTTAAGCAATAGAAGCAGTTATAGGAGGGTGCCTTTTTCAGTATAAAAGCAGAAAGGGCAGGGTACTTGATTTTATTGGTACAGATTGTTTTTGGTTAAAAATCCTCATAACAACAACAATCAAGCTCCATCCCTCTCCTTCTCAACCCTACGTTATGTCTAGTTTGCTCTTGAGTTAAATGCATGAATAAAACTATGCAAAACATGTCGACATCTTTGCTGGCATCTTTTATATTCTATCCTAAGTTCTGTTTATGTTTGAGCTCGAATAAGAGTATTGTATACAGTTTAGGCTTGCAAGATTTATAGTGCAACCCTCTGTATGTCTCTTCAGGGCTTACTCTCAGGGAATGTATAGAGATGGTAGCTTCAAAAATTATTGTAGCAGTTCTGTAGCCCTGTTAGAAGTAAAAGAAAGAGGGGCAATCAGAACATAAAGTGATCACAATATTTGCAAGTGAAAGGCTGCAGCATTCAGGAAATTTATAGGCTAGACATCCTATTCTTTGTTCAACTGTACAATATTTAATAAAATCTCTTAATAATATGTTCAATAGTGACAATGCTGAGAAGTGTACAGCTAACATAGAAAGGATTTGTTGAAATACGTTGGAAATTAATATCCAAAGATACATGCATCCTTTTTCACAAGAGGGTATGTAGTCTTACCCCTTGTTTATCTCTTCTCATATTGCTGGCATCTTACACAAATGTACAAAATATACTGTTGAACACTTACTAGACCATTGTATAGCATAACTTTTAGCAGGTTTGCTTTGCAGGCAAATTTACAACTTCTAAATATCCCTAACCAACACTGCAGTTAAAGAGACTCATTTCTTGTTTCCTTTGCCACTGGATACCCCCTAGATGAAATTAGGAAAATTGGGAAAAGAAATTAGGAAAAGATGTCAAACTTTCTCACAATTGTAATTTGTATGGCATAGACACACCTGAAAAGCTGTTATTAAAATGATTAAAATCCATCCTCTTTTGCATTGCTTCAGATTTTCCCAGAAAGTTCTTGTGTTACTCTAGGCTGCCACCTTGTGGCGATTTTCCACGAAAGGCACACCTGTAAGGTTTTTCGGGGGTTTTGCAGACACCTTAGGGGGCTTCAGTGAGATGTGCCAAGGGAATGCAACAAGGTGTGGCAAGGGATTTAGCAAAGTATGTTTTGCAGGTGAATTTGATACAGTTATATTCCACCACTCGATGCAAATGACAACCACATTTGCCGGGTGCCATAAATTAGAAACAGCAATAATAAAATATCAAGATAAAGCAGCAGTTTGGGGCTTTTATGGATCCATACTCAGAGGCAGGGGAAATTAAAAGGGGTTTACCTGGGGCTGGAAAAAAATGCCGGGAACCACCAGACGTGCTTTCCTGGGGACACGCTGCACGTCAGAACTGTAGCAATTCCTGCTATTTACAACCTCCCTCAGCTGAGATTATGGAGGCCTACTGGAGGAAGGTGGTGGCCTCCAACAATTAGCAAAGGGTACTGCGATTCTTCAGGTGCCCGAGTCCCAAGCTACGTAGGGTTTGGGAGGAAAGCCACACCCAAACTGTACTGTTTCTAAAGTGAGGAGCAGAAACCCCAGTGAGCAGAAGTATAGAGAAAAGGCATGGAGCTGCTTTTCTCCAAAAAAACGTGGGGACTTGGGTACATTGCTGGAATACAATCCCTACCAAGAACCCTACCAGATTCCTGGCCCCGGAACTCCAAATGTAAACACATCTACACTGATCTATTAACTGGGGTATTCCCTGGTTGTCAAAGAAGGGAAAAGGCAACCATGCCACAAAGTTTAAGCTGAAATGACCTGCCATGTCAGTGGACCCTTTGCCGGAGGAAGGTGGCCAAAAGTGGCTAGGCTTCCAAGTAATATTGTCCAATATGAGACTAAGCTGCACCTCACCCACTGAATCTTACTTTTGGCACCAAGCCAAGACTCTTATTTAGTATCTGTTTTTAGGCTGGATTATTGGTTTGCTGCTGGTTCATTGTTTTATTGGTTTTTGTCATGGGTTATATTGTGTTTATTTCCTCCTGTTTCCTATTTATATGGTTGTATTTATATTGTGTTTTAATTATACTACATTTTATTGTTTGTTTATTGTTACTTATTTTTATCTGCGTATTGCACTGTGAGCCACCCTGAGAGACTTCCGCTATGGGGCAGCATGCAAATAAGATAAACGAAATGCGTAGAAAGCTATAGCCTGGAGATGAAGGTCCTCTTCTCTTGTTTATCAGCTACCGGTGACACAAAACTGCCAGCTGGCCAGGGGGAGAAGAACTGGTTCGGCCTGTTCCTGTGCCACTAGAAGCCACCAGGCAGGTAGAAGTCAACAGGTGAGTCTTTTCACAGGATAAATAGTATTCTGCAAGAGTCAGTCAAGACTGTGAACCTTACTATTTCCAGGACACTGGAAAATGACCTTTGCATGACCTGGTTCTGCTCCTGTCCTGAATCTGAATCTTCATCGCCAAGGCTGGCCCATCATGTTCGCTACCGGAGCTCTGCAGTCCAGTGACGCAGTTAGAACTTCAGGCCAAAGTTCAGGACTCTACAGGCCATCGTCCTCCAAAGTCACACAAAAAGGGACAGGTGAGGATGGTGGCAGATGCTGCTCCCATGCTTTCCCAGAGGTGCTCTGTGTGAGTTTAGGAGCAAAACTGCAAGAGCCGGTGTGGAGCCGTGGCCAAGACTGAGGAGTAGGAGAGCTGGGTTCAGTCCTGGAGCTCACTGGGTTCCTTTGGGCCAGTCATGGACTCTCAGCCCAACCTACTTCACAGTGGTGGTGAGGGCATGATTGAAAGGAGGAAAGTTATGCAAGCCACCTTGAGTTCCTTGAAGGTACCAAGGCAGGATATAAATTTAATAAATAAATGCTACCCGTACTCAGAGTTGCTGTTGTTGTTTTTCCAAACTCAGGCTTGCCAAAACATTTTCCCATTCTGGTTCTAAGCAAACGGCGATGCCGTCGTGACGTACACAATTCACATCTTCTCCACATATCCTACAAAAATGCCAAAAATAAGGCTGTCGTACTTCAGGCACATCATGAAGGGCAAGAATCCCTGGAGAAGACAATCATGCTAGCGAAAGTCAGAGGCAGAAGATGCAAGTGAAGAGAAAACATGAGACGGATTAGTTTTGCAGTTCTGCAGCAAGTTACCTGAAGGGTTACAAATGCCGCCGGGGCAGCTCGCACTGTTCACTGGACGCACGCAGATCTCCAGACCAGAGACATCCTTGCAATGAGAGCCGGAATAACAGGACTGTGCCCTTAACTGATAAGTTCAAGCAGGAGTACAACACAAATCACGAATATTCTCTCCCCCCCCCCGCCCTTTCTGTTAATAGATTACAGTGTTTTGAAGGTTTTCCCAACATGGAGCCGTTTCTGGATCATAGATCGTAACACTGTAACCCTCTGAAGCGTGTCTGTCTTTATTCTTTAATTACTCACTCGAGAAACACTTTAGCATCACCACCACAAGCTTGTGCAGGAGGCTAAGCTTAGTGAAGCTGCTTTATCCCTCCGTTCCAAAATTCTCACTCTCCTTCTTCCAGAGGTTTCTGTGCTATGCTAGCCCTCCATATAAGGCATCATAATTTACTAGAAAGACTGTTGAAAAATATAGCCAGTTGCACACTCCCTGGCTATAGTCCAGGGAGCTGCCCTGAAATCTTGAGAACCTTCGGTGGGAGATGATGTATGTGGCAGATGTCTCTGACATGCCTCAAACTAATTTTGCAAGGTACTTCAGTTTCCAAAGTGGCTTGACTGGAGCTGCAAAGAACAACTCTGTGAAAACCATGAGCCTAAAGCATCTTTAGGCATCTGGAACTAGTTCAGCTTTTCTTTGGATACTAGTCTGCGTGTGTAGGCAGTAGAAACGATTGTCTGAATTCTATGGAAATGAGGTGGGATGGGTAGAGAAAATGTTAGAGGATGTTTCTCTTTCATAATTCGCAATTCAGGTTATTATAGATATAATTATGAAATGCATGAGATTTAATAAGCTGAGGGTAACACCCATGTGATAAAAACTGTGATAGTGGGTTTTTATATTTATCATGTGCTTGTCACTCCGTATTCAGTGTTGTTTATGGGTTCTTTAGACAATGTTGTGACAATTCCTCAGTCAATGTTGTTGTTTCACTTCAGTGTCTAGGCAGCCTCTTCTAATATTGAGAGCCAGTGGGGTGTAGTGGTTAAGAGCATGGGCTGGGCCTCAGGTGATCTGGGTTCGAGTCCCCGCTCGGCCATGGAGCCCACTGGGAGACTTCGGGCCGGTCACAGACTCTCAGCCCAACCTACCTCACAGGGTTGTTGTTTGTGGGGATAAGATGGAGGAGGAGAATGATGTAAGCTGCCTTGAGCCCTTTGTAGGAAAAAGGCAGGATATAAATTGAAGAATAAATAAAAAATAATAATATATAGCAGGGAAAATGCAGCCTTTAACTGGAGAAAACCTGGCATTGCTTGAAGAGATGCACAAGTCCGCATGTGCTGTTTCCCTAAGGATGAATGCAGGCTTTCCAGATTTCCCCCCTGTTTTTGGAGGGTGGGAGGGTCCTATAACAGCAACAACAGAAACTTGTACCATCACAATTACAGGCTCAATCTCAGCTGATGAGAATCAGCAGCTGCATCTGTAGGGAATCCAGGCCACATGCGACAAACTGCCTGCACACTTGTGCGATGATAGCAAAACCATTTATCTGACACAGGGTGCCAACCAGGGTGTGTTGTAGCCAAGGTGCTAAGCCAAGATATGGAACTGCAAATGCGAGTCCCTTCACTTGCTTCAGAATGTGCTAAGCTAGGCCTAGTGTGTCTGGTGGTGCAGAGCGGGGCCTTGGGCTCCTGCCGGAAAGTCCTACCATAATGGCGCCGCTGATTCCAGATTCCTGTGCCACTCATGAAGGAAACAACACTGTGCCACTGTATGAGGGGACTCATCCCTGTTCCCCCCAGGCCCCAAATCCTCTGCAAGGCTCTGCTTGCCTTATAGGACATGTTCTGGCTCGCTGGGGCAGCGAGGTGAGACGCGACATCAAGCACCTTGTCCTGAAGGCGAGGAATGAAGGGTTGGCACGGAATCCCCCTGGCCTGGCGGTTGGATCTTGCTTAGCAAGGGGGCAGTTCAGGGGTGCGGGGCAGAGTAACCAACGGGGCTCATGGGAGTTGTGGGGCCTGCCAGGATCGGCCCCTCATGCCCATCATCCACGGCTTGAGCCGGATGTGTCCAGGGGAGCAAGGCACCAGGCGTCTCAGGGGCAAGGTGCTCTCACGGAGCGGAGGTGAACTCTGACCCGGCAGCGGGCACCTTCCCAGTCGCCAGGGCATGATGGGCCCTGGGGAAAGCCGTGCACCGGGGCCCCCACGACAACTACAGCTGCTGTTAACTTGGGAAGTTTTCCCGTTTTCCAAGGGTTACCATACGCAGATTAGTATGGGGCCCGGGGCAAGCGCCCATCAGACCCTGCCAGGTGCCCTCGCCTCCTCTACGGCGGACAGACGCCGCCTGCGCTCTCCGCGCACGTCGGAAGAGGGCCAGCCCGCCCGAAGGCGAAGGCCCGGCTGCAGCGCATCACCCGCGAGCGGCGCGGAGGGGCCCCCGGCCGCCCCGAGCCCCGGCGAGGAGGCGCGGAGCAGGGCGGCGCCTGCGAGGGCGGCGCGCCGGGCGGGAGGAGGCGCTGCGCCGGGGCGGGGGCGCGGCGGCTGCCAGGGCCGAGGCGCTGCCCGAGGCAGAGCGAGCGCGGCCCGGGAGACGCCGAGCCCAGCAGCCTCCCGCTCCGCTCCGCTCCGGCAGCAGCTCGCCGCGCACGGCGCCACCATGGGAGGCTCCAGCTCCAGCTCGCTGGACGAGAGCAAGTGCACCTACATCCGAGGTAGGGCTCCCGCGCCGCCAGGGGCCAACGCGCGCGGGGGGCGCTCGCGGAGCGCCGCGGCTCCCCGGCGCCGGGAACGCGCCCGCCCGCCGCTGGCTTGCGCGCTTGCGCTGGGGCCGGGGTGGCGCGCCGCGCAGTCCTGCAGACGTAGCGGACTCTGGGATCGGGGGCGCGCCGCGCTGCTTGCAAGCCGCTGGGTGCGCCCAGGGCGGCGGGAGAGGGAAGAAGCGCCGCGGAAGCTTCCCCTCGGAACAGCCCGGCCCGTGAGAACGGCTTGGCGTGGCGCGCGTGTTCCGGCGCCGCGATCCGGCGCTCCTGCGGGCTGGGCGGGGAGCGCGCCGCTGCCACGCCGCCGCTCGGCGTGCTCCCGGCACCACCATCCGCGCGGGCCCGCGGCGGCCGCAGCCCCGTCCGGCACAGCCGGCTTCCCCGGCTCGTCCCCCGCCGGATGGTCGGGACTCGCGCGCCCAGCGTCCTCGGCTGTCGGGGGCGCCGACGGGGGCTGGAGCCCGAGGCCCCCTCCTCCCCGGAGCGCGGCCCCGCGCCCTCCCCGCGCGACTGCGCTGACCCGTGCAATGTGCGCGCAGACTGCGAGCTGCCGAGGCAGGGGCTGGTGCCGAGTCGCGTTCAGACGGCGGTGCTCCAAGCCCCGGGCACGCGGAAGCGAGGCGGCGAGCGGGCGAGCGGGAAGAGGAGCGCCGCTCGGCTCGGTGCGCCTGGCCGAAGGGAAGCGCACGGCGGGGCCTTGGCGGCCGCGATCCAAGGCCAGGCGGCGGCGGCTGGGTAGAACTGGCGGAACCGCACGCGAACCTTCCCACTGGAACGCACAGCTTATTGAAAGAGAGTTGAAACCATCATTTTATTGATTTCAAAATGATATGGGTGCCCCTCCAGTCTTCCGTCCGTTCATCTCTGAGATGCCTCCAGAATTACATTTTGATCAACTGAAAAGGCGGCCTATTTATTTATTTAATTATTTTTAAGTGTAGGTGGCAAGCAGAAGAGGCATTCTCTCCTGCGGGGGGCGGGGGGGGGCGGAGGATGCTTAACCTAAGATAATGGGTTGCATCCCAAACTGTAGATGCTGCTGACAACCCTGCCCTTCCTTCTCCCACCCCGAAATCTGCTGCAGATGGTCCCCAAGCCACCAGGGCAAATTTGAGAGTCTGCGAAGGAGATGGGGAAGATTTGGCAGGCTGGATGCTTTCTTTTTTCCATGTGCAGACTTAGTTGATTAGGAGCACGATGCTTGGTTGATTAATTAATCACATCCTCTGCAGAAGTTCTCAGAAGCAGTGCGGCTGCATATGCAACCCTAGCAGTCCTCTGACCGTTCTGTCATTCCTGTAATACAGTGCAAATGCACACAGTTTTTTGCAGTCCTGACAGATCTGCTCACAACAACCCTTTGAGGTGCACCAGGCTGAAGCTAGACAAGTGTGCTTCCGCTCTGGTCGGCTCCCACAAACTCAAGTCTGTGGCTTCCCCAGTGGAGTCAATCCATCTCATTTGGGCTTCCCTTTCCTCTGTCTCTGTCTTGCCTTAGCCATGTTGGTCTTCTCCAGGGAATCTTGCCTTCTCACAATGTAAGACAGCCCCCATTTTGCCATCTTTGTTTGTAGAGAAAGCTCTGACTTGAGCATATATCACATAAAAACAACTACTTTTAAGAGGAGGGGGGATATGAGGTGACAAGTAACGCATCTCTCCTTATGTTGAGTCGAGCCCAAAGAGATTCAGGAAGAGGCCTCATGAGCTACTGGCATTCTTGCTGGGCCTTCAGGTGAGTCAGCCTGGTATGCAAAATGAAGCATCCTTAGGCTGCGATCCCACATACGTTTACCTGGGAGTAAGTTGCAATGCCTTCGGTGGGGCTTATATCTGAATAGACATTTGTAGGAATGTTGGTCGCCTTGTCAACGTTGCCCAGCCTGATTCCCTTCCTATGTTTTCAGCTTGCAGCTTCCAACATTCCTGACCAAGGGCTGATGGGGAGGCAAGAGAGAAAAACAGTTGGCAGGACGGGAGCACTTTGGGAAGGTTACTGTGATCTCTGTCCAGTCAGCCTGGGATGCTGTGAGAAGAGTGACCAAACGGAAAAGACATTTGGTCACCCTAGATCAGTTCTGCCATTTGCATATTTTTGGGAGAAGGGATCACTTCCTGTAATGCAATGGATTGAGAACCTAACAACCCTTTTCAATATCTATAGATTGACTTGCGAATGGATACACAGACTGCTTATGTCTGCCTTGTTGAAGTTTTCATAATTTTTTTAGAGAGGTCCATTTTCATATATATGCATTTCACATGTGTTGATTGCCACTCTTTCCAGGGGACTCTGTGGTAGCTGCATACCAGGTCTGTGGAAACCTTGATCCTGGGTTCAGATAACAACAAGTCATAACAAGCCATGGTGGTACTGAGAAACCGCAGAGCAAACCTTTGTTTCCTATAGTGGCTTCTAAAGACCAAACTTACAGTGAAATCCCACTGGGTTCAGAGAGACCAACAATGGTGAAAAACCATGGTTGGTTGTTTTGTCTGAACCCAGCCAATGTGCTTCAGAGCTTCACACAGGAGAAAGCGATTTCCTGTGTGCTCAGCTTCTACAAGTAATACCAGAACAGGCTAAGTTACCTACAAGGCTGTTACCAAAACATCCTCTCCTGCTAATCTTAATAACCAAGCAAGTTCATACTGAGATAGGCAGTTCCTCAGATAGGTTTTGATTCAGCCTAATGAAATACATAAACATTGATTTAAACACACACACAACGAGAGAGAGAGAGAGAGAGAGAGAGAGAGAGAGAGAGAGAGAGGGAGAGAGGGAGGGAGGGAGGGAGGGAGGGAGAGGGAGAGGGAGAGGGAGAGGGAGAGGGAGAGGGAGGAGCGAGAAGTGGAACACTGCCCATGTACTTTAGTCACCCTTGATGTCCAAAGAGGGAACTTCTCCAAATTGAAAGGATTAGTTAAAAGGAAGTTGAGTGAGGGAGTCAAGAGTAAATCTCTTCAGGATGTTTGGAAGCTATTGGAAACCGCAATAGGAGAAGCGTAGCTAGAATATACAGCACAGATTAGGAAAGGAGCAGACAAATCCAAGAGGATGTCAGCTTGCTAACGAAGAGTCCCCAGGAAGCTACAGATGACAAGAAGCCTTCTATTAAAAGTACAATACTTGCTCACATGAGGAAATGAAAAACGAGCATATGTTCTGGCAAAACAGAAGCGAGTTAATAATGTAAGTGGGCAAAAAGAAGAGATTGAGGGGCTAAAAACATTTATCACCAGCAATGGCACTTCTGTTAAATGCAGGAGAAGCAGGAGGCTGGTCAGGGAAACCATCACACCGTTTGACAAGGAAGAGGGCAAAGGATTGTTCAAGGAAATTAGGGGTGCTGCAAAGAGGTTGAATGCACTCTTTATATAAGCCTTTGGTGTGGGCAGATACCCAGCAGGTGCCCACACCTGAATTGTTTTTATAGGGTGGGGTGGACAGGTGGCACAGTACTGGGACTGCTTGAAAGATGGGCAGGTCACAGGGTCCAGATGGCACACACCCACCTTAGAAAAACGAAATGTGAAATCATTCATCACATGAATAGGCTGCATTACTGAAATTTGCAGAGGGTGGGGAAGTAGGCAGCATAAGGCTAGGATTTGAAACGGGTTACAGAGGGCACGAAGGGCTGTATATAATGGCCCCATGATCCATATGGAGTCTCCAATGAATTCTCAGAGCCTGGCTTTCTGAGACAAATACAGATATACAAATATCTGTACAAATATAGATGTACCCTGTAATCTTCAGAGCAGTTCCCTTTTTATGTAAGCAGCATCAGAAGAGTAGATAGTTTGGCCCACTGCTACAAATAGACAAGTGGAAATGCAGTTTTTGTGGTTATTTATCTCATATGAAATGCCTTATTATCTTCAAGTCCCCGTGCGTTTCTCCACCCAGCTTTTATTGCTCAATCTTTGCCCAAGACTCCTGCTTTTGCTTCTTCTCCATTCATTCACTTCAAGTTCTGCGGTCAGTTGCTCCTTGAACTTGCTCCAAAGGAAGGATGCTGGGAACAACTCAAGCCTTCTGCAAAGACTTCTGTCTCCTACACGTTGAGCCAAAATACTGATGAAATGGCTTGTGTAAACATTGACTCGTAATACTGTTGCGACCCATATACCTTCCTTCCTCTATTCTTCCCTTTTGCTATGAGATGATTCTAACTTTAAAAGATCAACCTTACATTAAAATAGACATCAGTGGTTCTCTGCAGACCTTTGTTGTAACAGCCGGTTCCCAAGATATTGGGCATCTTGTGATGTGACTGTGAAACAGAGCTTGGGATGAAGTGATGCAGATGAACGGGCAGAGAGTTACCAGATCACTGCAACCAGTCCAGGGACGAAGAGGAGGTTCAACCTCGTATGAAACCCCTTCCCTCCATTCAACCCTTCATTTCTTTGTAAGTGATTGGTTGCCATTAAGTCCTGTGGGGAAGAAGAAGAGCTGCCCTTGGAAACTGTGTCCGGGTTTGCATGACGGAACAGCCCATGGGTTAAACAAGGCTTGAGTGGGAGTAATTGGGTACATTGCCTCTAGTGCGCTGCTGCTTCAGCTTTTGGTTAGCCACGCAGAAGCCGCTCATTCATAGGCTGTTGAGTGTGTTCTCCAGACCTGGCCTGTTGCCGTTTTTGTTTTGGAGGTCAATCAACCCAGAAGTTGACCATAGATGGTTGAGGGGTAGTTGACTGAAGGCGGGCAATCCTCTCTGCTTGCTGTCCCCCGGGCCGTTACGTCTTGCAAATAGATCATCGCTGTGATGATCCCCTCCAGTCTGCCACCCTCCTGTTAGAAGCGTTGATCCTCCTTGTCGTGCTTTGTGCAGGGAACTTCGCTGGGTGACCACAGCACAAAGATGATCTCCTGGAGCTTCAGATCTCCTGGCAGTTCTTGCACATTGCAATATGCAGACCTTTCCCCCGTACGCTCCTCCTGT